AGAGACAATATAGCCAGTCCTCTTGAGAAAGAGGAAGTCAGCGTGTCAGTTGCTGCTGCCATCTAGAGGCCAAATGTGTAACTATATTAATGAAGCACAAATCTGCAGTATGTAAACAGTTAATTTTGCGACTAGTGCACAGTGGCGTAAATAAGGGTATGCAAGGAATGCCATGGCACAGGCTTTCCTGCCATTTCGGAGAATTGGGAAAAAGTTATTGAATGTTTAAAGAATAGATTCGACAGGGAAGAGCTATTGAGTTTTATGCACATGAACTGGGAGTGTCGTAATTAAAAACGCTACCGAAATAAAGCGAAAATTAAATGTAGCAATTATAAATAATAAATTAGAGTCCCATTTAAGAGCATTAGATGACAAGAGACAAATATGCTGGCAGACTGCTTCCTTTTAGTTGAATCATGCATTCCTGAAGACATATTGGGAGATTAATCAAGAAATAATCTAACAATTAGTAATCAAGAAATTCTTACTATAAAAGCTTAAGCAGTTACTTTCGTTTTTGAGAAATGAAATCGAGGGGTAACAGAAACTTTCGCTTGCTAAGTCAGGATATAAAATGCTTGAATCTGAATTATATAAAGAAAGGAAAACGTTAATTCCCACTATAAATGATTTGTTTTCAAGTGAAAAAAGGAATACAAAATTAAATGAAGTTAAACAATGCATATTTTATAATAAACCCTTAATGAAAATCAAGACTGTTTAGCCCATAAAATGACTGTTAAAGAAAAATAGGACATTGTAAGTAATAAAAAGTCCTGTCATATTTTGTTTTAGAACTGAGTATTGTGCAAACCATTGTAAATCTAAAGAGCGATGTTTAATTTTTTCTTTAAGACGCTGGGCAGTTGTATGTCCAAAGCTGACTACGAATCGACAATTTTCCGAAATTGGAAAATCCAATGAAGTAAAATTCATGGGATCGAGTAAGTTCAATACATCATTAGCTATTTTCTGTTGTACTGAAGAAATCTTTCTTCAAAATTTATTAGTAAATTTGGTAACAAATGCGAAAAAACGCTTAGTTCGACTCTAATCGATATTAGCTGTTAACGATCATATTTTTAAAAAGAACAGCTGAAGGAAAGGTCTGTGTTTCAGGTAGTTAGGAAACTTTGATATGTAACCTATCTGGTAGCTCAGTTTCACAGCGAGAAAACCACAAATGTTTTTTGCTACAATTAAATTGTGCTAAAAGCAATTATGCTTGTAAGATGCAGTTTTTAGATCAGAGTATTATTTTTGGTTCTGTGGCGAGGCTTTCGCATGTAACTTGGATAGAAGAAATTAAGGAAAGGGATATCCATGTAACTGACACAGGGAAAGGTTAGTCACAAATAGAAATTTTAATTCGAGTCGACGAAGCTGGTAAATTATGCATTGGGAAACTATATAACCTATTAACTGAACCGAAGAGCCGGGAGCTGTGCTCTATATGTCAACGAGTGCATCGCGAGTTGTAGCGTGGAGAGTCTCGAGAGTACGTTAAGTTCCGAGAATGACCAAGCAGAGTCGGGAGATGTACTCTGGTGCTTTGCAGTGAAGCTGTCTTTACCGTTATTTGCCTGATCGTGTGAAGGCTGTGTCGCTGATTGTTCCAGCGAGTTTATAGTAGAAGATCTTCGACGACTGTGTAAACGTGTTATTTGGAGCTATCCTGATTAATATTGGTAAATAAAGTGTGTTTCGATACTTCATCAAGTGTCGTCGTTATTCACTCCAAATCTACGAACCCCGTATGAACGTGAAGAAAATAACAACTGGTGTCAGAAACATAACGTAACAATATATATGGATAAAGAACACGAGTATAAAAAAATGTAAGAAAGTTAGCCAAGAAACGTTATTTGAAAGGAAATTTATCTGGCTGTACTTATTTCTTCATTTATTTAATTTATCTAATTTATTGCATTTATTTAATAAATATGCCTTTTAATGCTAGGTACGCATTATTTCTTGTCTTTATGCTATTTCTTTTAGCTGTTTATGTCAGCTTTGCTTAAAGTGCCGTCATTTTTAACTTTAGAAATTCAGTTCTATGTATTATGCATACATCATTTTCCCACTTCCTTTAGTATCCATTACAATATACTTCTTTTTTATCATGCAAATTTTATTCAGGGCAGTGAATCTGTAGTGGAGTTTTATTTGTTGTGTAGAAAAAAAATATATATATTACTCTTGGCGTAAAAAGAGAATATTGCGGAGCAATTTTGATGAGTCGTAATTATGTCTACTTTTTCCGCTCCAAGTTTATAATGAGATCTTGATTCTTGTGTTTAGTGGTCTATTTTAAAAACTGAAGACGTCAAATCTAAGATGGCGCAATAAAAATATCTGGTCTACTAGTCAGAACTGAAAATATGATGAAACTGCACCTTCATTTAATTCAGATAAAAATTCCGTTACTTCTTGTCTTCCGCAAGCTACATTGTATTTTAACCTCGTAGAAAGAATTTATATATTTTTCATTTTGATCATTCTCGAATCCATTTGAATAATGTTTTTGCGTGGCATTTCTACTTGCGGACAGAATAAAGGACTCTTTTTTTTTTTTTTTTTACAACATGGATTGTAAAATGGATTTAAAATGTATTCAGAAGAGATATTTTCGTGACATATGTAGGTACGTAAGTACGTATAAATCTCGCATAACTTAGAAACGAGCAGTCGTAGAGCGTTGAAAATTTGTATATGTGACTGTTATAACACGTAGTTGTGCACCCCCCCTTTTTCACTGTAATAAACCGCAACAAAAGTTTATGTAGATATGTATTCCTACCCTGTTACTCGGCTCAGTGAAGTCAGTATTTTTATTCTTACATGTTGGTAAATAGTCTTTTTTGCTTTGAAAGTGGTTGAATTATGTTGTTCTTATGTTTTGGTTAAAGTTTTTATGCCTTTAATTAATTTGCATGCAATAGTTATAGAATTATCAGCAATTTAAAAATTTAAGTGGAGATGCTATTTGTTCACATCTGAAACTCTAAGTAGAATAGTGAATTAAGTCAGTTCGTGCCTTTTTTTTTTTTTTCCCCCCACATGTGAACGAAAGTAAACTTTCAATTTTGTGCACTGAAAATGTAGTCTTCCTGCCCGTTGGCCGAATTGCTTGTTTTGGCGTAGAAACTAATTTTTAATTGGAAAAGCTGATTTTTTTAACTATTTTTAACTGCATATGGTATTTTAGGGTCTTCTATATTTAACAATTTTTAATGAACATATTTTTGAATTTTTATGCATGAAACCTAAATTGATTGAATAAGAAATATATCTCTAAAGAAATTCGGGGAAATAAGTTTAAATGAAATGCAGCAAAAAATGAATGTGTATAATTTAATAGGCCATACAAAGAAGTCACGTGGTGTCCACATCAGATACTTTTTCTATGTCTCTTAGCTGATCTATATTTCATTGTTAAAAGACTATTTGATGCTATGCAGTCACGTCCAGCAGCTGAAACAAAAGCAGACCGACATGGATGTAGTGAAATATAAAGTACTTAGCTTCATTACTCTAAAGATGAATTAGGAAATTCAATTCAAACCGAAGCAAAACACATTGTAAAAAGTATAAAAATTTGAGTTTGAATTTAATAATTTTTATTTGAGATAAAATACTGGCGACAGCCTGACTGAGTAGACAGAAAGCGCTAGGAAAGCGAATTAATGAAAATCAGATAATCCGCATAGCCTTTCGTGCTAGAGCACAAAGAACGGAATGCTGCATTAGATATATAGCGCTCTTTTTTATTGCTTTAAACATGATATTTTAAAACGTGCTCGTAGATGCTTTTCAAAGTTGAAAGTTAACAATCCAGTTTATTTTTTTAATGTATTTCTAAATTTTCGCATCTAATTTGGCGTTCTCCCTAGCTGTTCACCCGAAGCAAGTGCCTCATTTTCCTCGCCTTTGTCTTGGCTCTGCGCATGAGCACACGTTCACATTAGGCAACCCATTTTAAATTTTACAATAATACTACTAATCCTACAGATAATAGATTACTGTTTGTTTTAATGATAAACACAGCCCTTAGTTTAAAATGTTCACGGAAAAGTCACGTCACGCATACAAAACTTGAAATCCTCGACTTTGGTTTGAAAGGTTGCCAGTAAGCGTTAACGTATTTTATATAGAAGAAATGTATAGAATAACACCCTTCACAGTTCGTGCTGTAGTGCAAGTGCAAAGTACCTGAAATGCAAAGCATCTTCCGATTATTCGAAGTGATATCGCATTCTGAGCAAATGGCGTTTGATCAAAGCAGCTTATGATTTTTTTTCTGGTTGATGTATAAAATATAGATCCCAACCAGCTTACTCGTCAGATTTGTCATCCTCCGAAGCCGATATTCTCTTTCATTAAGATGATTATACAGGCTTAAAGTCTTCAGGCAATTCAAGCATTCCAAAACGAAGCGACAGCCATTCATGATAGATATTAAAAGAGTCTCAGTACTTTCAAGAATGCTAGAAGAACTGGAGCAAATGCGTGTATTCCGAATATTAATAAGAAATGTGTTAAGAAATGTGTTTTTCATTTATTTAACGAACATCTAAGTAAAATCAATATTATCTATTTTCATTTTCTCATTTACCAAATTCTTATCTTAAACGTAGGGTTGCAAAACAATAATTAATACTACGTGTGTGTGTGTGTGTGATTATGGCAAAGCCTCGAGGGCTATCTGCCTAAGAGGAGGGATGCCTTCGTGGAGGACTTTCTAAGGGAAACTGGCTCGTATACACGTTACACATGGGGAAAACCACGAAAACGCTCATGCAGCCAGCCCGTTCGCGGGATTCGAACCTCGGACCGAACTACCAGTATTCAGCGATTTTACCGCTCGGCCGCTGGTGGGCTAATTAATACTACGAAACGAAACAATTACTGCGCTCTTCCTCACAGTTGACGTAAACTGCCGACTGTAAAACTGGATCACTACTATTCACAGATAGAATCACAAGCAAAAAACGACATTTCGAAAACAAATTTACCTCTTTATTGAAACACAGAAAGCTTACATTGAGCAGCATATCAATTCAAGGGGAGAAAGAGTTAATTTACACAAGAAAAGAAAAATATGTAAAAAGATGAGACTAGGATTTATAGATGGCAGTGATATGCACTTGTTAGCTTCTTCTCTTCAACTTCAAAATATCATTAGGAATTATTACTTGGCAGTGTTAGCATTTAAGAAAAGGTCTTTGAATAATTTCTCCGTCGTTAACTATTTATTACAAAATTAAATTAATATATCACTCAAGAAATAATAACATTTTGATTACACAACCAGAACTTTCTCATTTAATAATTTTAGTAGTCCACACGTTTTTTTCAATTATATAGTAGAAAAAATAATTTATATATGTACAAAAATTACATATTACTAAATAAAATATTTCTACATACAACAATTAAAACAGTTACAGGAACCAAAGGCAAAAATCTAGTTTTATGAAAGATAATAATATGATTCACAGCATTTTCAAGCATTCCATAACTAAAGTTAATGAATTCAAATGAGAAAAGTCTGAGGAGCAAGAATAACTGACATTGTACATAATTCTGGATTATTTGGGAGGAATAAAGTACATATTAAAATGTATAATTATAATGGAAGCTCAAATACAAGAAATAAAAAGAAAGAATAATTTATTGCTTCCGAAGCAAATGCCATATCAATACAATGCATTTCTTAAAAAAATGCATAACAGTTTCTCATATTGCAACAACACACATAAGCTATAAATTAATTTTTGATAAATGTATACTTCATTTAAACTATGGTAGCAATTATAGTAACACATCCATAAAAACATGACATTTAAATAAAAAATATTTTTATGGCAGCTATGTTAAGATATTAAAAATAATTACACGAACAATATCATTTTAATATGGCAACAACATAATAATTATTGGCACAGCACATTTCATAGAATAATATAAAAAAGATTACAGTAAATTCAAAATTGTTGATGAATAATGGTCGTGAATGACAATACACATAAGAGGAAAAACTGTATTTTTCTTCATCGAAATAAACAATATTTTAAATACAGCCCTAGCATTTTTTAAATACAAAAATATTGTATGCTCTCGGGCTGGTTATATTTTCAGCTTTTTAGAAAAGGACAAAAATGTTTAAGTACAAATCATACAGTGAAAATTGTAGCCCTAGCAAAGCATTCTAAATAAGAAAATTATTGTGGTTCAAGGAAACAATAAAATTTAAATTTACACTGTACTGTGAAAAAATTCATTTGTGATGAAATGCAGAAAAGCTAAGAATATTCAATAGCTGAATTTTTTTGAGCAATTAACATACTAAATCGGAAATTTCATACCCATATTTACTCAGTTGTATTCTACAATTATTGTAAATATTGATTAAAAATATTTATTTATTAAACTGAATATACCATTTCGTAATTTCATTACTTCTCGGAATTCTTTCATTTTGCATAAATTTGTATCTGCTTCGGTGTAAAAATTTCAAAAGTAATCAAAGTGCTCAAAATTTTAATATGAACGTTTTGTGATTCATAAAGCATGAGCAAAATCTCGCTTTATGCACTATAGCAAGCTTTACTCATAAATCAAATATTTTTAAGTTTACACAAGGATTATCTACTGAATAATGAATTCAACATCAGGATTAGCTGCACAGCAGGTTAAACAACTTTGTTCTCAAATCTTCTTTCGACTGTTATTGTAGTGAAAGAGATTAAAAATGTAAAATACTACAAATAGTTTCACATTTTTAATTATGATATAACGTGAATCAATATAATTTTTCTCATTCCATTCCTCAATTCTCACAACAGTAATTCATTTAAAAAATAAAATTTAAATGCAAAAGTTAACATATACATTTGAAAAATCTCAGTGATTTATAAATGAGTTTGAAAATATGCTGATATAAACTGAGCTAAAAATATTAAGTTTATCTCCAGCATCCTATTTTTGATATCATGCAGTTCTCGGGCACGCTTTGAACCAATATTTCAAACCGTCCATCAACTGAGCAGAAATAAAGCAATAACATCAGCAATTTTCTTTTGGAAAAGTGTGCTCAAGCAGCGTGTACTTCCCGCACAGTGCTGTGCCCGTAATTTTAACTCAAGTCTTTTTTCAGGCACAAGAGCATCCACTAAGTTTGTGACAGTCCAACTTCTCCAAAACCTATATTTTAATTTGTGTTCTTTAAGCAGACAGCGCACCGACTTATACGAGATCTAAGATCTCCAGCTTTCAGCGTAGTGCTCACAGGGCGTGAAAATTGGTCATTAGGATCAATGGTCGTTAACCAGAAGCTGAATTTGTTAGCAAAATAATGGCAGGTGCCACGTGCACCGTTACATTCGATGAAAGGTGTGGCGCGGAAATCTTCCAGACAACTACCAGGACTTGAAAGAGACTGGCCTCCGCCTTCTGCTCCAGCGGCGGTGTGCTATAAAATAAAATTAAGAAACAAATAAATAAGTAGTAAATGAATAAATAAATACGTTAAGTTTAAAAAATGCAGATATTTTTATATTATCAAGCACATTTTGATATACCAATAGCAGGTCCGGCACTTTTAGTAATAAAGTGCACAACACATTAGATCAGCGGTCGCCAACCGGTGGTCCTCGGACCACTGCTGGTCCGTGAAAACCTTTTGATGGTCCGCAGAAATATTGGGACATTATTTACATTTTTATGAAGATTCAGTTCAAAAAATGACGAGTAACAAAACCTATTATGGAATATGGATTATACATTTTTTAAATTTTAGTTACTACTTTTAGCGAAATTCCTCCCGAATTTAGCGACTTTTTACATACTTTCGTGGGTGTATCTAGCGACATTTGAAAGTGAGAGTTGGCATCCATGGATATGCTGCTGTTATCAATAAATAGCGCGAACTGGAATTCTCTTTCCTTTTGAATTACAAACGTATGCTATTATAGTCATTCATAACAGAGTTTTTCTCCGCGTCAATAGGCATCTTGATGGATTTTTATGAGAACCATCTGCATTCTTGTTTATAATTGCATCAATGGAAGTTTCCGTTTTTGTTTTGTCTAACTGTTGATCGATGGCGTCATTGCTGGGTAAGCGATGATTATTATGTTTACAAGAATTAAAAATTGGCGGCATAACACTGTCAGTTTATTGATATCGCTTTGCGTTTGCCGGTTTGTTCTTGCTTTTCGTGAAGTTCCTTTTCAGTGATATGGAAATGTCAAGCTTTTAGTACAAGAAGGTAAGATTTTTGCATTTTTCATGTAATTTTTCAATGTGAACGAAATATGTGTAGTTTGCTGATTACTGTTGTATAAATGTATCTTTTATTTAAATTCATATTAATGGTCTGCCAAATATTAAATTATAGCCCGTGAAGTTCTAAGGGTTGACGACCGCTGCACTAGATACTGATATAGAGATTATCTTTAATATAATTAAACCGAGAAATAACAGAAATTAATTTAACTAATATAGAAATATTTCTATGAAGGTAATTATTGAACCTGTATTTCATAACTCAAAAGTCATCATAATTTGGGATGCAGAATGATGATTTTTCTCGTTAATAATCCAGCAAAATAATCACCGACGAAGTGAGATTTTTACATTGATTTCGTGACGTTCAGTGTCGAAAATGAAAATTTAAATAAGTAAGCGAAATTTTTGACGTTCCCAATTTGGGTGCTGAGTTTCCTAAGTACAGATATGTTTTTGTTGACTAAATTCCAAATATCGTCTGCGCGTGTGGTTAATTTCAGATAATTTCATTTTGCAGTCTAAATATCTGTACTTTTCTAAATACCGTCTGCTTATTAATTGCATATTTCTCTCTTTTGTTTTTGGCATCTTTCTGGCATTGTTAATAGCCATAATGTGCGCATATGGGGATCTGAAAACCCCCACGAATACCGTGAGGCACAAAGGGATTCCCCAAAGGTTAATGTGTGGTTTGAACTAATGCACGGCCGAGTCCTTGGGTTTTTCTTTTTTACAGAAAAGACGGTCTTGTCAGTCGTATATTTACACATGTTGGAAACTAGACGACTAGACCACAACTAGACGAGCTTCAGCCAAATGTCTTTTTGCAACAAGATGGTGGGGTACCATCTTTCGTAGTTCTTTGAATGACCATTTTACAGGAAGATGGGTTGGGCGAGGAGGTCCAATTCCTTGGCCACCTAGATCACCTAATATAACGCCGCTGGACTTTTTCCTTTGGGGATTTGTAAAGGATAACGTTTACAGGAGGAGAGTGTCGAATATTGATGACCTAAAAGCCAGAATTACAACCGCAATAGCCTCTGTGGATGCCGACATGCTTGCCGGTACCTGGCGTGAAATTGGATATCGACTTGATATTCTCCGTGCGACGAAGGGGACACACGTGGAAGTTCATTGACAAGGGTCATGAAACTTTTTGAGTCTATCTAACCATTTATGTTATTAACTTTAATCTATCTTTATTATTTTATGAGTTATTAAACATCAAAATGGGTCCGGGACTTTATAAACACCCTGTATTATAAAACAGTTTTAAATTGAGCATATCTTTAGAATTTCCGATACAGGGTCTCGTGTACTGGAGATAAAAATGTTTTTCTGTATAACGTTGCCATTGCTCGCTTTGAAATCGTTGAGTTTGTTAATTAAAAATTCGTTAAAGTTTTACAAAATATGAAATCGATAATAAAACAAATTCCAAACTTCAAATTTCGGCTTCCACGTGCCCATATTCGCAGTAGGATTACGTCATTCAAAATTCGATGGCTTATGTACCGTTGTTTTATCACAATGCGAGAAATATACATACATTTATGCAGATTTTTTATTATTTAATCTCTTCAAATATAATGCAGGATTCTAGCATTTGGTGGCAACAGTTTGAAAAATGAAACGGACATTTATAGTGAACCAACGCAAAAACACAAAACGAAAACAATAGTCCTTCAGGGACAAAGCCCCTTTGGACTAAAAAAAATGAAAGGCTCACTTTAGGACACATGCATGAGTTTTTATTAAGCAGTTAGGTTAAGCAAAGGGAAAAAAAATCATGATTAAAACAAAAACAGAAAAATCAAGCAGGAAGTATTTTAATGCAATTACCATTGCAAAACTATAACCTATCCACAACATATTCCATCCTGATGGACACTCGGGTATGTTCAGAGACTGACTGTGTACTGCAATTGCATTGGCTGGTGCTTCACATACTGAACATCTACTAATATACTCTTGAATGACAGATTCGCCGACAGGCATCATGGGAATGGGGGCATTTGTCGACAACCAATATGATTTATCATTTCTACTGGCATAATTACAAACACTATTAAAGTCACAGAATAAGAATGGCATTGTACTAAATCTTCGCAAACAAGAACCAGCAAAACCTGTAAATAGAAAAAATAGATAAGTCAGGTACCAATAAGTACAAACTTTTCAATACTGATTAGTTCAGTATTTCAGAAGTTTGCATTTGCTATCACTACGCTTTACATCAAAATTATCAGATACAGGCATTTTTATCATCAGAATTACAATTGTAAAGAATCTCAATTTAAATGTAAATTTTTCTTCAATAATTTTAAGCTGAATTTCGCATTAAATCAAAACATCTCTCTGGCATTCAGAAAAAAGGGTATGAGCGTATTTACTAACAAATGTTTCTAAATGAATGTAATATCTAATTTTTTTAAAAAATTATATACATATTTCTCACCTAAATCTTGATTATGAGATTTTTCATTTCCTTCTATGTACAGCAAACTGTAACCGTCCCAAAGTTTTTGCATGCCTTGAGGACATGTCGGCACAAAGTTGGACTGGCTATGTTTCACAAGCAAAATTCCCATCAGGTAATCGCCCCCTGGTATGCCTGGTAGACCTGCGGGTCCGGGTGGTCCTCTCACTCCAGGTGCACCTGGGGGTCCTGGTAGTCCTGGTACACCCCGATCTCCCTTTAATCCAATAGGTCCTGGAAGCCCAGGTATTCCAGGTTGACCTGGAATTCCTGATTCACCTTTCAGCCCTGAAATGATGCAGAAGTTGAAATTTAAGAATTGTTGTTTAATGCAATTTTCTCGTTTTCATGTTCTTAATAAATATTAAATGACGCAGTGAACGAAAGACGATAAAAGATGCAATGGACGAAAATGATATTATTAGCGCAGTGTTATCCTGCATTAATCCTAATAAGCATTATGCTGTTTCGCTGCGTATGCTTTCGAAAGAGCAGAAGTACTTGTTTCTGGGGAATTTAACTATTTGATAATGCTTAAATAACAGGAATTTACTGTTTAATTTTTTAATAGTTGCTGTTGTTATCCTTCTTCATTTAAGAATTGATATTTTCTTCATTTGCAGCGCTAATTTACTGTGCTTGGACATACCAAAACACTTTTTCTGACTTATTTATATAATACCACGCCTGCTCCAAAATAACATTCGCATGTACTCGCTGATCGCTACAGGAATGGTAACTATTATTATGCGATGGGGATGGTTAATAAGTCTCAATAAAGCAGTAACACATCTTATCTTGAAAATTCTATGTAATTTTCATTTTGAAATTTTTATTGTACGTTATTAATGGCAAGTAAATAAATGTAATATTTCGCCGCAAATTATTATGCGCTTTGATTATTCTAATATAGAAGACCTACTAAGCTAAACACTAATTTTACATCACACGTTTGATCTTCGATATGTATAAATTTATGTTATTTTTCTCCTCTTTAGTATGACTACGATAATTTTATCTTTTATCTTATTTCTCATTGTATAATTCAACAGCAATTCCTATTTTTAACGAGAAACGGTTTATTCATTATCAGAAGAAAGTTAATGCGTTTTCAGTTTTAAATTCACCCTAAAATGTACTTATAAAACGATATTCAGACCGTACTTATGACACTATATTCCTTAAGCAAATATAAAAAAATTATTGTTTCTAAATGATTTTGCTGAAGGCAGTCAATGTGTATTTATTTTTAGCTTTGAAGGACAGTGATTTTTATGTCGCTATTTCAGTGACGACTTTTATATCTGTATTTCAATAATCTTTCAATTCAATTTGTCAATTTTCAGCCGAATTGAAAATCAAAGAATTAATCTCTTTAAACTGCAGTGCAAATAAGTAGTCAATGTTTTTCTTATAATTTTTGGTCCTTTGGAATTTGAGAAGAGTACAGGGATTAGAAAATTTGTTGCAATCTGGTGGAACTGAAATATGCCATTAGAGAAAGATTTTGCGTGTGTATAATGTATGTGTTTGTACACTTATGTAAGATAAAAATTTTAACTTTAATTTGCAATAGTCCCTTAACTCTTTACTCTAATTTGGTATTTCCCCTTTCCATCCTAAAAATAGCTTATAATAATAAATCACTCTGCGTCGTTTCTAAAATAATCCGTGTCATATATGAAATGCTTATGACGCAGATACTTACATAACGCTTCAGCCAGTAATGATTTCAAATTTGACACTCAAAACTTAAAACTAGCCAATGGGGACAAAGAAAAAAATCTGAATTGCAAGTAAATCATTCCGATTTTCTGTGAATAGGTAGATAGCTATTGCTGCTTTTCTTATCGCAGCATCTTAAAGATAAAAAATTGGCCAGGAAAAAGCGCGGTTCAAAAAATGTTCAAAAGACCTCGATAACTGCATATTTCTTTACGCATTTACAAGTCTCAAATATCCAAATTATTTCATATATAATGAATATAACGTTATGACTCAATAATTATCGAAAGAATCTGCCAAAGACGTCTCACTTTAGAAAGACGCTGTTACATTGATACTTAGCTACCACATTTGACAAATAATCAGCCCGTATAATGTATGCCATTTTGTGCTTATGGTTGCACGTTACGTGAAATGATAAAAAGACAAAACTTTTAATATTTTTTTAAGTTATGGCAATAACTTCATATTTTAAAGAAACTTAGCTATTGCAATAACAACTCTTTTACTGTTATGTTAAAAGAAAAGTTTTATTTACGAATGAAAAATTAGCTAATGGTGTAGCGAAAGTTTAAATTTTGCTATAAGAAGTTAAAGTTTAGGGGTCTAGGCTTTAAGTTATGATGCGCTGCAAATTCAGAAAATAATAATAATAATAATAATAATAATAATATTAATAATAATAATAAAAAGATTCAGATTTTAAATTACAATCAAAGGGCCGTTTTTTTAACGTTTTGTGTGTTACCTTTATTTATTAAATATCATGTTCTCTGCACTTAAACCATAAAATTCAGTTCAAAAGCAATGTCGCAAAATAATTTTAAATCTTTAAATTTAATATCTTTAGAATTTCCGATACACAGTTCCGCACGCTGGAGATAAACAGGTCCCCCCCCGTAGAGTGTTGCTGTTGCTCGCTTTGAAATCCTTGAGTTTGTTGATAAAAAATCCGTTAATGTTTTACAAAATATGAAATCGATAATAAAAATACAAATTTCAAATTTGGTCTTCCATATGCCCATATTCGTAGGAGGATTACGTCATTCAAAATTCGATGGCTCTACGTACAGTTGTTTTATCACAATGCGAGAAATATACATACATTTATGCAGACTTTTCATTATTTAATTTCTTCAAATATAATGCAGAACTCTAACATTTGGTGGCAACAGTTTGAGAAGTGAAACGGACATTTATAGTGATTCAACGCAAAATCGCAAAACGAAAACAATAGTCCTTCAGGGACAAAGCCCCTTTGGACTAATAATATAAGAAAAAACGCATTACCATTAAATCCAGGTGGTCCTTCAAGTCCTCTAGGGCCAGGAGGCCCTGGTTCGCCTTTTGGTCCTTGGTCTCCTTGTTCTCCCTTCGGTCCTCTCAAAAGATTCAGTGGCGGTGATGTTCCTTTCTCTCCTTTCAAACCTGGCAGACCAGGCTCACCTTGGGGAAGGGAAAAAAGATTTCTAAATCCAAGAAAATAATCTCGCAATTTCTGTTAGCGTCCAGTTTTTGTCAGTATATCCCTCAATCGTCAATTTTCGAGATTTCGTTTGTCCCCTTTATTTATGTAACATCTAGGAAATTTTTGTATTCCTCTTTTTTTTTTTTTTTTTTTTTTTTTATTTAGTTAAACTATAACTTCCCTGTAGATATCTTTAAATAATATACTGCACGGAAAAAAGTTTTTAAATTTCCGAAAGCTTTGTACCTTTTAATCTTAAGTGATATGTTTTAGGTATGACACGAAAAAAAAAAGCTGATATAATTTTTATTCGTTAAAGATATAATCACATTAAATTAATTTGTAAAATTTTGATTCTTAATTCTAATTTTTTACCCTTATACCTTACTCTATTTTCATATTGGGAAAACTTCAGGACCACAATATGGAGCTTTACTTCACATTAGTGATTCGTTAGAATTCTTTATACAGGTATAAGGTATTTCTCCTGCGTTCTTGGTGTGGTTGTCTGCACGTTGGGCGAGTATCCAGAGGTCCATGGTTCGATTCCCAGCGAAGGCGCTCTCATTTTTCATGACTCCTGCCTCCAATTAACCAAATGTGTCTACAGTGTCGCCCGAACTAAAAGGGTTGTGGATGATGATTCTCCCCACCCAGGATTTGATGATTGGATCCCCTAAAAACCTCAGTCGTACTTTAAAGGGGGATATATAAGGTATTTTCTCCCGCCTTCTTGGCATCCCTTCGTGGTGTGGTGGTCTGCACGCTGGGCGCGTATTCCAGGGGTCCGCGGTTCGATTCCCGCCGAAGGCGTTACTAATTTTTCAATCTCTCTTGCCTGCTTCCAAAAATACTTAATGTCTCTACGGAGGTATCTCCTGCTTAACTGACGTTTAAGAAATTTCGTTTATACGAAAGACCTAAATTATCACTTTTTTTTACGCTTACTCCTCCAAAAAAAGTAATGCAGGAATTTTGCTTTTACAAAAAAAAAAAAAAAAAAAAAAAAAAAGTTAAAAGCGTAAGTATAGCGTTCTTTTTTTAATGCGATAACTGCAGAAGAATGCGACTAATTATTACACAATATGCGGGTTTAAGGTAGTTTTTAACAAAATAGTATGATTGCCGGCCACGAGCTATAAGGTAGAAAACCAATGCATCGGTCTTAGCAGCCAAAAACTTATCTCACTGCAAGCCTTCTACAATATAAATAAAGAGTACAATAAATTTTTCAAATTTCGACACTGGGGTAGGACTCCAGCGAAACCATAGACGCAAAGATTTTATAGCTACGAATGAGGACAAGATATTTATATTTGACCCTTGTCATCTCTCTCTTACAAGAAAGGTTTTGTATCTCTAGCATCAGTGCACCATAGTCACTACAATCATCTTTGTAGCTTCCAGAAGACTCACTCTTTTTTCAGCTTTAGAACTATTTATTTCTAATTATATTTGCTATTTTCCAATATATCTATGTATATTTATATTTATCATATTATTATATTTTTAATTGCTATTTTATATTTTTTAAGAGATGTGTGGTATGGCATAAGTTTGTTTGAAGAAAAGAGTATGTGGAAACTTTTTTCTATAAACTAAAATTGCTTCTTAGATTTGTACCGTTTCGGCTAAAATACCTTTTACAGGAACGCTCAAATTTCACAAAGCAAGAGAAATCTGAAAAAAAATTACGCTTTATTTGGAAAAGCTGTATCTTTATTTCATTTACTTATTTATATTTACTATTTACGTATAGTGTATGTCTGGCTTCTTTGTCAATAGCTACACTGTTGATAAATGAATTAAGTTAACAGAACTTTTTTAAATGCAGTAAATAAACGTACCTCGTGCTCCCTCTAAACCAGGTGGTCCAGGTCGACCATCATCTCCCTTAGGCCCAGGGAAACCAGGTGGTCCAGGTAAACCAGCATCTCCCTTTGGTCCCGGTAAACCAGACAGACCCGGAAAGCCTTCACGTCCTATATTTTATATAAATAATTTTTTTAATAAAAAGAGATAAAATTTGATATAATGTAAGTAAACATTTTAGCTCGTTAAACCAACAAAGACTATAAATATTCACACATGACTCAGATCCATATTGATCCTTTTTCGATCACTTGTGCAGAAACTTAGGGTTTAATTTGTGTATTTTCTATGTTTACAATGTTAGACCTTAATCTGTAGAAATTTTCTATAGAAAATCCTTTCCCATTACAGGTTGTATACACTTTCGCACAATTATTCTTGGTAAATGATGATGCAATTACAAAATGGTTTCAGAAATGAATTCGTAAATTCATTATATTTACTTATAACCACTGAGGCTCCATTTAATAACTCCAAGACACATTTTAAGTCATTAAAATATATTTTCTAAATGGTGCCTTTCAATAAATGAAAATCGAGTAACTTCTTAATGAATGTGATTGTTACGTGTTTTCTTATATATATACAGTTTTCTATTTGTGCTATATCGCCATTATCCGTACTTGAATATTAATTTACAAAACTGGAAGAAAGTTATTTTTTTTAGTTATAAAGTTTTCAGTATTGTCTGCTTGATCTTATGCTCTCTTGCCAACTGTTTAATATGTGCTTAATATAAAATATTTGCTTCCTCTATTATTTTTCCTGCGCAAATATACAATAACGGTAATATGAACAGGTAGCCGTTTAAAAATTCTCCATCAACGTGTACTTAACTTTGATTATTTCTTCGGCTTCTAAATCTGATCATTAACTGACTTTGCTACCTTAGAAATTAGGTTTCCAATTGAAAAAAAATAACACTGCCTTACCATACTATTTTTTTTTTTTTTTTTTTTTTTTGGAGATTTCATGCAATTAGTTATAGTCTGGCCATGAGAAAGCACATTTTCTGGCATATTTTGTAAAATATCATTTTTGGATACAATATTTTATATGAATATTATTTGAAACTAACCAGTTATTGTGATTTAGATTTGTACTTTCACTTGTCCTTTCCGTTCCATCACCAGAATGCAAATGAGATAGCTAATATTTAAACTGAAATTTTTGGAGTTTAAGAGAGAGCGTGTTTCTGTCTTCGCGTGCACGCTACGTTAGCTCCTGCCAACTCGAATAGTTATAATTATTTGGCTTTCTGTTATCGCTGCTGATATGTTGATTTTGACACTCCAGTAAAATTTCTGAGCGAATTTCAAGTAAGATTTAAATTGCATACTCTTTGACTACACATTTTCAATCCAAGTTTAACTTGCATTCGACTAATTCAGAAGTCAAACAACAAAAATCAGCGTTAATTTACAAAATTTTCACAGGACTAGTTTCGATGGTTTTACCGAACCATCATCTTTTGTAAATTAACGCTGATTTTTGTTGTTTGACTTCTGAATTAGTATTTATTCGGCGTGTTATTGTGTCTTAATTGCATTCGACTGTTCTTTTAGTCGCATCACCACGAGCTGTGGCTAATGCTGTTAGCATAATAAAGTGCGTTTATGTTTTAGATTCTGTTTAAGTAAAAAGTTATTTAACCTTGTAGTTACTTCAGGCTGAGCAATAATTCGCTTCACGCCAGATAAGGCTACTAGCTCTAGATCAAGTAATATCCTATAATTTTTATGAGACTTATTTATTATTATTATTACTTTTTATGATGCTCTCTTAGTATATTGAACTCATTGTGGTATCACTTACTCAGTAACAAAAATTAGCTGGCCCACGAAGTTTTGTACTTAAAATCAGCACTCCATTATTTTGAACTCAGAATTCGTACATCTATTTATGGCGAGAAATACTTTAATAAGTAACCTTATAATGAAACATTCAGGTGTTTAACCAGAGTTGTGAGAAAAACTTCTTATTGAAATGAAAATTATTACGGAGAGTAAAGTCCAAACTTCTGCATTAATGAACAAATCAACACCAAATCATATTTGAATAAATGTTCGGTAAAACTGTTAAATGTTCCGTTGTAAAATTTTTTGAAAGGAAAAAAGTGTCCACCATATTATTCCTGAGACTTTTCTTTTTCGACAAAGTTTAGGGCTGTTTTTAAATTTCATAATTTTTTTAAAATGCCGAATGGTAATCGGCCAGCCAAATAAAACATTTAGCTGGACGAACTGTGCTCCGTGAACTCTACATTTGTCAACCCTGCTATATAAACCGTTCATTTTATACCGCGTTACACTGTTTAGCTTCTCAGAAACATTAGACATAAATTCGACATAATTTCATAATGGTTGGGTCGACACTTCTTATATGACTGATATATCTGCATTATTGTCTAATTAAAACAAATGTTTTGTTAAAAAATGGGAGCGTGAGATTTCAGTTTACATCATTTTGTTTTGAAATCTGCAATGTCAGTCAGAATAATAACACTAACAACACTTTCTGTCTGCCAAGTCGTAAGAAGAGGGCAGGTAACTTATATTATTGCTTTATATTACAATTATAAAGATATCACCAATTATTATTGAGTTTTATATAAATACATACAAATGTAGCAGATGTGAGGAAAAATAAAGATTGTTAACAAGAACAGAGACTAAAATTTTAATTCTCACCGATACCAAAATGTTTCATTTGTTTATTATTCTCATCTATTTTCCGTTGTGACTCTTAAATAAGAATCAATTTACACTGCCACTTCCATTTTTTAATTTAATTTGTCCAAAACATGAAAGACTGGATAATTTATTTACAAAAATACCTTAAAATACACAGAACAGTGTATTCATATTATAAAAATAATAGTTACGTCAATATTAGTAAATCAAACAATTAACATACATTTTCTGTTAATTTAGACATTTTTTTAATATTATGATAAATATTCAATCAAGTTGAAATGTGCACTTCTCATAGTATTAATCTTTTTTAAAGCTCTAATAGCAAAGCATGAATTTCTGTCTTACTGTAAATCAGAGATTTCAGGTTAAAATACAATTTGCTTTTACATACCATGGAAACTCAGATCACGAAGACCTTTCAACAAAAACAAACTATTGGAAAAATAAATATCTTGAATGACGCACGGTATCTCAGGACGGCAATAAATGATTTTTAAAGGTGTTTTGAGGTAAGCTATAAACTAACCCTTCGCCAGAAAGGAAATTGTGGCCATATTATGTTGCAAACACAGATTCTGAAGGTTTGGACTCTTAATACATATTTTTTGCTTTTATCTATGATATCATGCCTAGACTTAGAGTTAAAAGCAAGACATGGAACAATTACTAGACAGCCTTAAAAATGAGCTCAACAAGAAGGAATTCATACAACTTCAAAATCGGTAACAAATCTTCAGAATCGGTAACAACAGAAAGGCGGGTGGAGTAAATGTCTTCAAGAGAAAAAAAAAATTATGCTAGGTTTTTATTCTGGGAAAAATGCGCAAAATGGAGCGAGCTGCAAAGTGTTCATGTAACGATATCACCCTGATAAAGGAGCAGCAAGATATAGCATTAACAATTTCAACGACAATGTCATGTCTCAAGTTAGAGACATTTTAAAACGGAGACAACAACAAATTACACTGGGCAAACTCAGACCCAAAGAATCCAGTGACACTAAAAGATAAAGAGAAGATAAAAGAATGGTCTCAGAAGATGCCCCAGAAAAGCAGGGCTAATCTTACGCTATTTTATTCTGCTAATAATTAATTACAAACTCATAGTTTTTACACACCTGGTGGACCAGATGGTCCTCTTAGTCCTGGCGGTCCATCGAAACCAGGTAATCCCCTCTCTCCTTTAGCTCCTGGAAATCCTGGAAGTCCACGTTCACCCTTTATTCCTGGAAGTCCATCTCTACCTGAAGCACCTGGGAAACCTGGCTCTCCTCTCTCACCTTTAAGTCCTGGTAAACCAGGCGATCCTTCATCACCTGGTGATCCGCGGTCACCAGGCAATCCAGGGAATCCAGGTTCACCTGAAACAGAAGAGGTATATGTTACCATAGGTAATTTGAGAAGAAGTCTTAATATTTAATTTTTACGATTTTATTTTTGTGGAAAGTTTGTGGCAGTCTTATGTTCGACTGCGTGTGCCGCCAGATGACGTCATGTTGTTTACGTAAAAACCGCGAGCGTGACCAGCGAACTCGCACACATTGTCCTTAGTTCGAGTGCAAGGATGTTCGAATATTTGTATGGAAGTTTTCGGTTTTAATGAATAGTTATGTTAAAGTCTAGTTGTGTTAATGAATAGCCGTGTTAATAAAGTTATGTTTTAGCGGAGTCATGTCTTTGAAGAATATTCACCGAACTATAACCCACACACCATAAGTTAAATACAGCGTATCTTCTCTAAAATGACCACCCATGTTATAGAGAATGAACTTCTATGAAGCTAATTTTCAATACCGATGTTTATTTAAATTCTCTGAAATAGTGATCGCTTTTAAAGATTGGTGTCCCGAAAGAGCCAACTGTAATTTTCGAAATAGCATTCATACAACTTCAAAATCGGTAAAGGGAAAAAATACCGAACAACTAAACAATTAGTATTTGAAATGAATATTAAAATAAAATGGATTAAATAAAATGCTAAAATTATCTATCATAATACTAATTTAACTTGAAATTTTGTTACCTTTTAGTCCAGGTGCTCCCGGGAATCCATCAAGTCCAGGTTTTCCAGGAAGTCCAGGTTCACCTTTAAAACCTATACCAGGTCTCCCTGGAGGTCCTACAACACCGGGTGGACCAGGTTCGCCTGGAAATGCAAGTTGAAGTTATTAATTCTGTAAAGTGTAAAAGAAAATTGTAATTCTTACCAGAAAAAAGGATTCGTTAACTAAAGATTAAAAGAAATGACAAAAAAAAAAAAAAAAAAAAAAAAAAAAATTAATTTTACGGCAAAGCTGAAATGGCAATTGTCATGTAAAAAATGCGATCTTTGGCAATCACAGAAATAAAGAATGAAAATCGCTGTTGATTTTAACAACTTTTAATTAAACTGAATTTAAAAGCAAATATTAGACCTGAAAAGGCAATAAATTAGACTTTTGAAGAAGTCGTATTTATTGCCTTTCAAGTTACTAAACCTTATATCAGACGTTCAAAGAGGAAAAAAAAATAAATAAAACTTAGTTTTAGAATACTAAAATACTTAATACTATGCGTCTAATACTACAAAATATATACTATAATAAATAATACAGTATACTATGCGTCTAATACTACAAAACTTTGTGCGTTTTTATTAACTGTCATTCCGCGATTTTTACAACGCTATAAACCTAGTTTGACGAGGGATGAAATAAATTCTTCGGAAGCAGAAAGAAATTTGACGATACGGTTTCTTGCGGGCAGCAAGTTTTGAACACTGTCATATTGTTTGTTCTCTGTCATATTGTTTGCTCTCACATCTCTGACTGTTTTGTATCAGCTTCATTTTCATCCACATTTCTATTTTACAAAAGGTTACAAAAACGCCATAATTACGTTCTAGTGGATATATCTATAGCGAAAATGATCGAATTTGGAGTTTTGAAAAGCCGCATGTGTTCAGCAAATCTCCTTCACACCTTGGGAAACTCGTGCCTGCTGTGCAATGTCAAGGCGATGTACGTTTAATCAGACCCTTGTATTTAAAGAAACTATAGACGCTGAAATCTATTAAGATACCTTATAGAAGTTTATTTCTGTACTTCGGGATAATGAACGCCATTCTTTGAAATACAATGCAAAGTCCGAAATCCGGATGTCCAATCTCCGGAATGATCTAAAATCCGAACTCCAAATCACCAACAACCTTTTTTTATTTTTATTTTATTTTTGTTTAATGCTTTAGGTTTGTGCATTCGATTTTTTTATAATAAAACAGTTCCACGGTACAACAGTAAAACAGTAGTTCCGATTCTCAATTTCCTCTGCATTGACGCCAACCTGCCGAATCATTGTGTATTATTTTTTGCTTTCATCACCGCATGACTATTAACACACTGCGGCTTGAGGAATGACTCACCACCGATGTCTAAATATTTTTTTATATTATTTGATGATTACCAAAGTGCATGGTAACTTTTACGTTTCTATTACGCTTAGCGATAATTATACACTTCAGCTAACTCTGCTCGAAGTATTGAGCATATTAACGAGGAGAAATTGAAGAGAAATTTCTTTCTATATGAGGAAAAAAAAATCTGTAAATTATACTTATAAGCCAAAAGATTATATTTAGTGCTGTTTAAATTGAGAATAACTGAAGCCCAGGACTGCTGCCAGAGCTGGTGCAACAGAATTTGGGAAAGGCAAAATCTTTAGAATTCAGAGAGGCACTCGGCAGTAGAACTTCGGAGCCGCAGACACTTCATCGGGCCGCAAAATTTTAAGCGCTGGACCTGAATAAGATTTAAGTATATGTGGAAATTTATTTATTCGGGACTCTGATAAGCCTTAAGCATGCTATAAGTACGATAACTATCCTGCTTAACTTCGTGAACGTACGATAGAAACAAAGAAAACTTTTGGTTGAACAACATGTCTTTAATCACTGATCTCATGATATATATGAACGGTGTATAGCTAAGCTTTATAATGATAACTTCGAGTTGCAAGGTTTCCAAATATCGCAAACAAAAAGCAAAATTTTCCAATTAATAGGCCCACCAGCGGCCGAGTGATATAGTTGCTGAACACAGGTATTTCGGTCAGAGTTTGATCCCGGCGAACATGCTGGATGCATGGGCGTTTTCGTGGTTTTTCCCAAGTGTAACGTATACACGAGCCAGTTTCCTTTAGAAAGTCCCCAACGAAGGCATCCCTCTTCTTATGCAGATAGCCCTCGAGTGATTTGCCATAATCAAACAAACTTCCAATTAATGAAATTTGTGAAGAAATGCGGAGAAATGGTAATAAACGAAGATGATGTAACAGAAGCTTTTCCTTGCAATGACAATGCCCTAATCACCAATCAACTAACGCGCAGCGAAATCTGTAGCATGGTTCTAAATCCAAAAAATATCGCTACGGATAGTGAAAAAAGTGAAAGAGAGGTTTTTAAGGAATGAGTTACAGGATTGAACACTGGAAATTTGTAACTGAAGAAGAATTTATGTCTATAAAGAACAAATATTTGCATAACAAAACGAAGCGAACTAAACAACTTACATCGAAAGAAATGTTTAAAACGAAACAAATAAATATTGAGGTTATTTATTTATAGTTTATGTTTTATTTATTTATTTATATTTTATTTCACTTTTTATTTATTTATTTATTTTTGTAAATTTGGATTCCCTTAGGGTCATGAATGCTTCATTATTTCCTAAATCATTACTTTGTATTTTTGATTTTTTAATTTCTTTATGTCTTTTTATTAGATTTAAACTGATGATCCGGAAAAAACCCTAATCTGAAACCGCCGAAATTCCGACGAGTACGCATCTCGGACTTTGTACTGTTGCACGATGGTATGATATGTCATAAAGCAGATTACACCATTTTATACAAAGCAGCGTTTCGAGGCGACAGAGTCATGCCTAAAAGCTATGGCCCTGAGATCTCTAAACTTTAGCAGTATACACTACGCTAAGCACTTGGGAAAAATTAAAAATGAACATCACTGCTACCATGCAAAAAAGCTTTGTAATATTGCTAAGAAGACAGTGAACCGTGTACAAAAATACACACAGATTTCATTTCCAACACATGCTGTACGCAAATTATATTTTACAAATACGTAGACTTAAGTTTCTGTGAATTATGTACCTTTTAAATTGAACACTTTTCATTAAAAATTTAAATCACCATGCCTGTGCTTTTTGAACATGTTAAAACATAAAAATGTATTTTATTAATGACATCTAACAGACATAATTCTGACATAATCTAATAATATAATTTTTAAGCTTTAAAAATTGCTTTAAGCTTTATCATATACCTATAACGAAAGCTTATTTACTTCACCTTTGCTTAAATTAAATAGTTCCATTTTTTTTTCAGGTAAAAACTATACGAAAAATTTGGGTTTCACTCAGAGTCAAAAAATACAAAAGCTTACACAGTCTGATAAAAATATACAAAATAAATTGTTTTAAATTATGCTGTTGAGTAGTTTTGACTATAAAAGAGACTACTTCATCAGTAATAATCTTTTGAAACGCAAACAACTGAAATCTAATAAAATAATGTTACGACAAATGGCTGTTTTATTTCGTTCTGCTTAATCAGCCTCTGTCAAATATTTTAATTTTTTTCAGAGAATTAATGAATTATCTTAATTATCTGAACGCACTGCTAAATGTCTCTAATAACCATTATCTACATTTATACGAAAACAGGTTCACATCCTTGTTCTGATATGTATAATCTTGCCTCAGACGTTATTCTAGTTTGAAATTTAAAGCTACTAGATCATAATAATTGAAGCATTTCATGTATGTTATTAAATTTATAGTTTAATTTTGCATTTTGACTTACTTAAAATGCTTTACAAACCTGGTGGTCCTCGTAATCCTTCAGGACCCGGAAGTCCTTCCAATCCTGGTAATCCACGTTCTCCTTTTACGCCTATTAAGACAGAAAAAAGTAAATAAATATTAAAGTTTAATTTACGAGTATGCTGCAACCCTCCTGGCCTCATGGTGAACGCAAAGTTATAAGAACGAGTAAATGTTTAATTCAGTAGTTTGCATTTTTTGCATCAGGATAGAAAATATATTTATACCTGGTACTCCGGGTGTGCCAGCAAAACCTCTTGCACCTTTAGCGCCTGGTAGGCCTGGAACTCCTGGTAGACCCGGTTCTCCTTTTTCACCTTTATCTGCTCTGTCGCCTAAAAGCAAAAAACGTAATATTTAATTTTTTACGCAAATATAATTACTTAGCAAATATACAACTTATGCAGTCTGCTTAGTTCCCAGCTTAATTAATTCAAATAATTAATAGCTCGGAATTTTTATGTACATATGAGCATAGTTATTACACTCGTGCTCAAAAAATTAACAGCAAACGCTAAAGGAAAATGTAAGAAGGGGAATTAAAACATACAATTTATATATGAAGTAGAAGTTGAATCATCGAACGCAAGTAGGGACCAATCCCTGGTCAGAAGAGTTGTTCGTAACTCTATAGAGGCGTCACTGCGTGACATGTAGCTTTTGATTCTAACGCGAGAAGGGCTACTCGATATTACTTGACTTCTTAATAATGGCAGCAGTCGTGCTTGGATATATGTTAAGCATTTAGTTTTAAATTTAGTCAATAAAGAAACTTTTGTTTTTTTTTTTTACTTCTGCATTTATACCATATATGTCAAAATGTGTAAAAATCTTAAGTAACAGCACATGTAAATAAACATTTAAACTTAAACAAAGTACATTCTAAATGAGAGAGGAAAATAATAAAATTAAAAATAAAAATAAATAAAAAATTAAAAAAACCCTTACTTAATTATGTGATTGAAATCTTATTTATTCCAACAACTTAAACTTTTATGACATTTTGAATTGCACAAGAGTCCCTTGCTTTTACAACTGCGTTTAGTTGTGGTGACAGCAGTGACAGCTTTGTGCAGCCTTGACCGCGTGCTTCTACTTCTCGAATTAGCTGCAGCTGCTTTTCTCAGAGACCTTTCTTGAGAAGAAATCTCGTCTACGGAAAGTAAATTTTCCTTAAAAATTACGAAATGATTACGGGTATAAAGCTGGTTGAAGGTGCCATTTTTATTTGCTAGTTTATAAAAGTCGGAGTCTTCTATTCTAACAACAACTGCCGACGCATTTGGCCGTCTGTACGACTACGGTCGACATCAGGGACTTGCAATCGTACGGTATCACCAATTTGAGCAGGAAGATTTTTTTTTTTTTTCGGGGGGAGGGGTGTGGTTCGTAATCATTTTCGTTGTTTGCAACAGAAGATTCTCTTTCGCGGCCGATCTTTTTATAGAAATTAACTCGTGTTGTTCAGTCCAGGCTTGATCCGAAGACGTGGTAGGTTTCAGGTCCTCCTCAATATTTTTCTTTGGAATATGGTTTTCGGTATGGCCACAGCTCAAATTTTCTTCAAAAGTATTTCTTTAAGCCGTTCTTCGGTTTCAAAAGTATTAGAAATTTCTTAAGAGTTATTCTTCGGTTTCAATATTTGCGATTTGTTTCGGCAGGCAGAAAAGACAATACTATGCCTCTTCTTGGCTTAATGCCAAACATAGCTTCATAAGGAGTTATCAATTCCGGTGAGGAGAGATGTGTTTGAAAAATAAAAACAACTTAATTCTCGTTTACTCGCTATTAATGCATTTAACTTTTCAGGGAAAAGTTCACGATTCACTGCAGTATCCATTCAACATAAATTAGTGTATACACCATCCCAAATAGGTTTTCTCCCTTGCATTGGCGCATTCCCGGCTGTCACCTTGACCACATCCGGAGGAGTAGGGACGACTTGCAGAAACTTGACAATAGCTGGCTACTGCAGAGCGTATAATTTTCAAGAAAAAGCCAGTGATATCGCCTCATTTCACAAATTAGAATTTTTAGATATTTTTATTTTTAAAACTGAGATTGATTTTTAAAAATTTAGCATGTTTATCAAGCACAATTAATGTTGCTTGCTTTCAGGTTTGGATATTTTTTTAGCTTTTCTTATGCTGTCAGGAAATTTTTATCTACTTCTTTTAAAAAAATAATATTTTAAATCTGAACTAATAGAAAAATTCAAACAAACAATTTTCTCTTGCAATTTTTATGCTTTTTATTGGTGTAAGTAAAAAATACTAAAATCCAAAAATGGATTTTTGAAAGTTTTACTTTAAAATTCTTAATTGTACTGCTTTTTTAAAATTATATCTGAATATTATAGCATAATATTCTACAAAGGAGTTTTATTTCAGTAATATTTCATAATACATCATAGGGATAAACACTTTTAACACTTTAATAACTTTTATGCATTTATTCTAATATTAAAAATTGTATTTAACTGTAATAATTAATTGTGCTAGTATTTTATAGTGATCATTTTTTAAATTTATTTCTAGTTCTGCATAAGTTTTCTTATTTATTGTGAATTTATTTTATTAGCCCAAAGAAATGGCAGCTCAGAAAAGCTATTAGTTTCGAAACGACATTTTGCTTTGTTTCACTATAAATGTTCGTTTCACTTTGCAAACTGTTGTCATCAAATATTATCGCCCTGTATTATATTTAAAGAAATTAAGTGATGAAGAATCTGCATGAATGCATGTATGTTTCTCTCGCACTGTGAAAAAAACAGCGGAATTTAGAGCCATCAAATTTTGAATAACGTAACCCTCCACCCTATCATGGGCACCTGGACGGCCTAATTTCGAATTTGTTTTAATCCATTTCATATGTTGTAACTTTAACGAAGTTTTGATTAATAAACTCAAGGAGTTCAAAGCAAGCAATGGCAACCCTTGTACAGAAAATAACATTTTTATCTCCAGCGCGGAAATTCTAAAGATATGCTATTTTCAAATATTTTGTGATATTGCTCTTGAATTGAATTTTATGTGGTTTGCTTGTGAAGAACATGATATTCAGTAAATAAAGGTAACACGCAAAACGTTACAAAAACGCTCCTCTGGGCATAATATAAAATCAAATCTGATTGCTTCCAGAGTTTATCTTTTTTTTCCCCTCATTTCACTCAGAAAAGTTTATGCTCCCAGTTTTATGAATTACTAAAACAAATAATCATCTTGTAATGTTAATAATTAATGATCATATAATCAAATAAATGATCGTCTTGTTATGCCATAATAATTTTAAAAACTACTGCTTGAAAATGCTCATAAAATCAAAGAAAATTATCAGATCTCGTTTAATTTTACCTTATTTGTTTCAAAGCATCAGATGCTATCAATATTATTTAATTTAATTTTATTTGTACACAAAAATAAGTTCATAGGTTTTGCGCCTAGAATATTTACCATTTTACTAACGTAAAGAAATTTATACAAGAATTACGCTTGAAAAAATGCGCAAAATATCATATGCTATCAATATTATTTAACTTTATTTGTACACAAAAATAAGTTCATAAGTTTTGCGTTTAGAATTTTTAACATTTTACTAAAGTAAGGATATTTATATAAGAATTACGCTTGAAAAAAAATGCGCAAAATGCAGTAAAAAGTGCTTTTGTGAGCTATATTAAATCTTATTTGCATAAAATGTGACTTTCATAATCTCATCACTTGTACAACGTATCAAATTTAATAATCAAACACAGTTATGTGATACAAACGCCATAGATTTCCGCGTTAAAGTAAGCCAGGTCGTCCCTACTCCTTCTTGCGAACATGTGGGTGACGCGCGCTCCACCCACTGGGTTAGTCTATCTCTTATAAGGTCCATGTTTTCAACCCCCACCACAGTAAATCTGTGATTGTCGACATACACCGGTGATGGTCCGAATGTACAAGAATATAACCAAATATTCGGTCTTTCACCGACGTATTTGGTATGTGTTGACATTCACCGGTGAATGTCGACATTCTCCAATTTTGGTCTTTCCCAGTAACACACACACACACCATATATATACATATGGGCACATACATACACACATAGGTAGTACTGTAGGGTTTTTCTTAATTTGCATAACAAATTTATTTAAAGTTTTCCTGTTCTCAACTTCTCAAACTTTCCCTCACATTCTCTCGCCAGGATGTAAATTTAAAGTTAGTGAAGTGCTATTTAAACGTGTGATTATCTCAGTTTTATTCAGAGCGTGTTTCGCTAGCCTAGCGCACGTTTCGTTGTTATTTCGCGGTTACTCAAGTAAGTCTTTGTGGCCTTATCAGTTTAGTATCCCGCCGGTTAGATCTCTGTGAGTCCATCTTTTAGGAGTAACTTTGAAGTGCGTGTTTGCACTCGTTTAGTTTTAAGATTTTTGATTTTTATTCTAGTCGAACGTTTTAGTTATTGCCGAAAGTAGACGGTGTTTTTGTAACGCACGAAGTCCGTGCTGTCTGTTATTTTAGTTTGAGAAATAAAGGGTTATTTTTCACCCTTCTTCTGTGCTGGTATTTATTTCACACCTGTGCGAGAATTCGCCAAGTTCATCGTAGGATCTAAGTTAGTGCACATGGAAAAGTAGAGATAGGTCTTACAATATATATATATATATATATTGTAAGACCTATCCTATATATTGTAAGACCTATATATATATATATATATATATATATATATATATAGATATAGATATAGATATTTTATTATATATTTTTAAATTAAAAATTTTTATTTTTGATTTGTTTTTGCAAAGATTGCATTATATTTCTTATATTTTGTAATTTTCTAATGTTTATTTCAATTACTTTGAATTCTGTTTCATAATGCCATTTCCAATGTTTAATTTTTACACATAGTTTTGAATTAAAATGCATAAACACGAGGGTGTCGGGGGACAATTACTCGAGCAATATCAATTTTACTGCAGAAATTGCATTTCACTCAAAATTGAATTAGCTAAAATGCTTAATCGGGATGAGTTCTTTGTTTCTCTGCATTGGTTCTTGATCCCTTCTATTCACGGAAATGTTTGGCCTGGCTTGAATTGCCGGTTTGGCATCGCCTTATTTCTAGAGTAAAGGACGAAACACCTTCGTATTTATTTCTTAATTATTGTTCATTGAACGGGAGTTGTTTTGTTCCCCTTGAAAAGTCAACTAATTTCCGATCAACGGCAATGATTACTTGCATTTAATTTAATTGCTTGCTTTTAATTTAAATTTTGTTATTCATGATTTAATTCAAGTCCCCGTTAAACATTTTTAACAATTTACATTCAAGCTACTTTAAAACAATTTTCAAAATTGAACTTACTAGCTATGGATTCTCTCTTTTAAGATAATTCTACTAAAATTAATCTTAGGAGATAATATAGTCAATATTTCTTAAGTAAATGATATATATATATATATATCTTTCTAGATCTTCAAATCATTACCTACAAAAAAATTTTACTTTTTGACAAAACAAGAAACTTCAATTTCAATACTAACAAATTAATAAATTGGAACTCCAACATATCCAAAAAGTAATTAACAATACTATAATTAATCAAATACAACGAATTAAAACTATATGCACAGATACAATAGATTTACAACGCGAAATTTTGATCCTTATCAAAATTCTCAAAAATAATCTAATTCCCTTTCAATTTATCAACCGTTGCCTTAAAAGAGCAGGCGTTAAATACTCACTCTAAATCATTTAACTGATAGGGATATGATAATTTATTCCTAAACCTGAGAAGGCGGTATAAGTTGGATGACTGTCAGTTGAAAGATTTTGTATATAGTGTAATTACTCAATTGTATATATTGTAAAAAGCTAATTGTCTTCAGACATATACTGTTACTATACTGTTACTAAAAAAATGGGGCCTATTTTCCTGCCTTTAGACTGTCTATTAGCTCTTGGACAGCGAAAATGCCTTTTTCCTTTCTTAAATTCTTAATCATTACGACAGGACAATTAGCCAGAAATTAATTAATTTCCATTCACTAGTATTTTCAAAAAAATCTTAACAGACGGTCTCTCTCAGATAAGAACTCCACAAAACACATCCCTCAAGAATTCCAAGTCCCACCCACTACCATAAATTACTTCACCCAAGTCTTACCGACTGATATTATTCAAAGCCCCTACTGCCGCTAAGAATTTTCGGACACCCTACACTTCTGGGTCAGACACGAAGAGAACACTTTGCCAACTCCCCCACTAGAACGAATGTAAGTTACTTAATACCTTTCTGGCCTTTATATCTTCATGTACATTCAATGATCTTATTTATATTATTTTCTATATTATTTTTATATTATTTTATGTTTTCTTTGATTTGTTTTACAAAGTTTGCATTATTTATCTTTTTTATAATCTTCTATGTTTATTTCAACTTTACTTGAATTCGATTTCATAATAATGACAATTTCCCATGTTTAATTTCTGCAAAATATATAGTACTCAAATACATAAAGATGATAGTGTCGGGGACGGTTACTCGAGTTTTACAGGATTTCTCTACAGTAATTGATTTTTACTCCAAATTGAATTCACTAAAAGATAAGAACTCCACAAATGAGAATACGTTCTTTGAGTAGCAACTATTCGCGGAAATTTTTGGCCTGACTAGAATTGCCGGTTTGGCTTTAACTTATAACTCGAGTAAAGACGAAACACTTTCATATTTACGTATTTTTATCAATTACTGTTCATTGAACGGGAGTTGGTTTGTTCCCCTTGAAAAGTCAACTAATTTCCGATCAATGACAATAATTACATGTTTTAATTTTTCCTTTTACAATTGATATATTATTCTTCGTAATGATTTAACTCCAGTCCCCGTTAAAACATTATTAACATTTTGCTTTCAAATTACTTCAAAACATCTTTCAAAATATAACTTACCAGTATGGATGCTCACTTTTTTAAAATAATTCTACTTTAATTAAACTTAGGAGATAATATAATCAATTAATCAATACTGTTTAGGTAATAAATTATATATATATATATATTATATATATATATACAAGACCTTCTTAAGTATTGTTCTGGACTTCAACTAGGAATCAATTTTAGCTGCTTTTAAAATCTTTACTTAAATATTTACTCAAGTTTTGTTCTTGATTTGAATTATAAATCAAATTTGAATACCTTTTTAGATATGATTTGGTTTTTATAACTAGTTCTTGCATAACAAGATGGCGAAACACATTCGCTTCTAAAATTATTGTGTATTAATCGAAAATTGATTTGTTCCCCTCGAAAAGTCAATTAATTTCTGATTAATTGATAACAATAATTATTTCAATATTGATTATTAACATAAAATTTTTACTTTCAATAGATAATTTCCGTATTTTTTATAACATTCATATTTTTTTTCTAGAAAATAATTCAAAAACTACTATCAAATATCTTCATATTTTCTTACTTAGCATCTTTATCACAAATATTAAGCTTTTTAGGTGCAAATTTACCAAATTTAATTAGTTTGAATATATATATCTACAGATACAGAGCTATACAGATAGCTAGATATGCAGAGATATTACATACTATAAACACAGAAAGAAAGTCAAAATAATTTTTCATAAAAGGTTGTTTCTTACATAAAGAATTCAGTTATGGAAAATACAAATCGTAGATTACAACCATAAACGAAGGAATATATTACACCTTAATGGTATAAACCAAATACAGAAAATCACAAATAAGAGGTACTTTATTCTTTCATTTCAATTGCATAAATTCTTTTGGTAAGCTTTCGATTTCTACAACGATACTTTACATTTGCTTCAAAATTGATTTTTCATACATTATAAAGCTTTTCTTATAAAATGAGAATAAGCTGACACATGGAAATATAGTATGCTAACAATGTTATGCATCAGAAATGAAAAATAAAATGTTACTCACCTGGGGGACCTGGGTATCCGCTTTCGCCTTTCTCGCCTTTAAATCCATCCAAACCGGGTAATCCAGGTGGACCACCATCTCCTCGTTCACCTTTCGGGCCAGGGAAACCAGGAAGTCCTGGCTCACCTATTTCTCCTTTCAAGCCTGGTACTCCAGGAAATCCGGGTTCACCTTTAAATCCTGGCAGACCAGGTTGTCCTGGTAATCCACGAGGGCCAGGGAAACCTGGGAGACCAGGTAATCCCTATAAACAATTACAGTCAGTTAAGAAGTGCTTAAAACTTCCTTCAACGCATTTTGAATAAACCTTAAGTTCAAATAAAAACAAAAAAAAGGGATCACGATATTAAAATTTTATGCTAAGCTTGGATGTTGCGTTTAATTACCTACACACAGTTTTAAATTGCTTTGCCCCACAATTCTCACTTCATTGTATCATGTTACTGCCTTTGAAGTACATACATTATAGTTTAATACAAAAGGGAAAAAAACAGGATTTAGCAGTTGTAGTAGATCTAAGTTACTGAGTGACTACATTGTGACTGACTGCTTCTGCACCTTTCCTTGTATGACTGCAATGTCAAAACGAAAATTTAGGAATCGGAAATGTTCTCTTATACATAATTATGTTAAGTGAGATTTAATTCTTAGAAGTTAGGAATGGTAATGATTAGCTACTATACTGTTCCTTCAGCAACTTGGAAAACTCTTTTAGTGCCACAGTTAGCTGTAGAGGATTTCGGTCCTCTTAATACGGAAATTATAATAAATCAAATCAAATAAAGATTGCTTAGAATTAAGTAATAAAATAAGTATAGTATAACTAATTTATAAGGTTGTTATTTACATTTATTAATTATTTACAATTCCAGCATTTACTATAACTTCTTCTTTCCGTTTCCTTACTAGAATGCAGATTAGTTAGATAGTATTTAAACTGATGTTTTTGGATTTTAAGACAGAGCGTGTTTCTGGCTTTCATGGGAACGTTATGTTAGTTCCTACCAAATCTGATAAGTTGTAATTATTCGGCTACACGTTATCGCTGCTGACATTTGAATTTGATATGCCAGTTAGAATTTCTGAGCCAGCTTAGATGAAAATTTAATTGCGTAGTTTTTTACTACTATTCTATGCTTTAAACAGAAATTTACTGTTACTTTATTTGCATCACCACGAGTTGTTGCTGATTTTGTTAGCACAAGATCGAACATTTGTGTTCAAAGTTCTATTTAAATAAAAAGGTTTATTTACTTTCAGACATCGCGATAGTTCGCTTCACGTCTATCATGGGTTTTGGAGAGATTAAATTTTTATCAGATTTAGGAAGACTATAAATTTCTAATGGTCAATTGGTGGCATCTGCAGCTGTGTCAGTGACGTTTATTGCTATTGATTGAGTTTCTGAATGAGTATTTGCATTCAGAATAGAAGACATTAAAATAAATACAATTGCGAAGAGAAAGCCCATATTTCTCAAAAATAATTGATAAAATCAAGGCTAAAGTTCCAAAGAACATTTATATTATTTAAATTCCTCAGTTGCCAATAAGCTCCCATGTTCGAACGAGATCACGGATCTTATATTTACGCATGCTTTTAGAGATTATATTCGACTCCGAGCTTATCTTTTAAAACAGAATATACGTTTAATAACTTTTCTTTCAACTTGCTTTGCGTATCTTTATTTTTGGGAGGTGAGCTGAGAGCAGTGATGGTTATTAATCTCAATTTTAGGACTAACATGAATATTTATATTTTTTAAAATAAGCGTTTACAAATATTGAGATAAATAAATGGATTTTTAATAATATTCCATAATTTTATCACTCCGTCTGGTGGTCAAGGACCTAATTTTGTTTTCACGCTACTGTCACCTTTATTATGATAAAAAAAACTTTACGAAATACTTATATCCACAAATCAAATTAAACAAGGAAGTGATCCTTACAGCTTCTCCTTTACTTCCAGCAAATCCTGGCAATCCTTCTGCTCCTTGCAGTCCAGGTAGTCCTGACACACCGGGTGCTCCTTCAGGACCTCTCTCTCCAGGTGGACCTGGTAGACCAGGCAAACCTCTTCCAGGTAGACCAGCATCACCTTTCGTTCCAGGTAAGCCATCAAGTCCTATTTGAAGTCAAAGGAAAAGATGTGCGAGTTTTTAACCTCATCATTTCGAAATAAATATATATTTTTTTGAATTAGAAATATCTTGATAACACAGTAATAGTAATAAAAACATAGCATATTTACTTGGTAGCATTTTCACATATGATTCAGGAACGTTTTTTATGATAATAATATACAACGTTCAGACAAGTAGCAAAATGCAATGTGGAGTTAAAAATAATAGTATTGAAGACAATAACTGTAAATGATTTCCCTTAAATACGAATCCAATCTAGTAATATTATTACATCTGTTTCTTTCACTTTTTTAATATGTTGTATTCTTCTTCTTCCCAAAGAAATCAAGTGCTTTGTGAAAAATTTTCCTTTCGAATTACAAGTGGTAAAATTAATATAAAAGAGGGATTTAAAAGAAAATGCGGCATGTGTAAAAAGGAATATTAATTAGGTAAAGAAATTGCGAAATGGTGAAATGTTAGAATAAGAAAAGAATTAGAATTTTTATCATAAAAATAAATAAAGCGAAAATTACTTAACGAAGCAGCATTTCCTTACTTGTAATTTAAATTTTTTTGGAAGTTATTCTTTTCTTTTACACGTCATTTTTATGGAATATAACGTTCACGTTTGGCCAGAGCAAATTAAATCAATGTAATACACGACAACAATGTAATAAAATATCTAAGACAAAGTATTTTAAAAACATTTTTGGAAAACCCTACATGTTCATATGTCCAACCTAACATTCAAAAAATGTAACAGTATAATATCATAATTTCTGATCTATTCTTGAACATTTATGTGAAAAAGGGAAGATCATTTTACATGTGAGTCCGTATCATACTCAAAATAGTATGAGTACTCAATATACAGTAAAGTACAAAAATAGTACTCAAAATACAAGCTCATGACTAACGTTAATGAAACGTGTTGCACTATATTCAAGTTCGCTACTTACGAATATAGGCCTCTTATTCAACAGAATAATACCATGTCAAAAAGGATCCAACTAAGATAAAAAATTTATTTCTGTGCCACTTTTCTTTTGCATATATAATTATCTTATCGTATTGCATATCCTAATAGTATCTTGATTTTGGCAGGGTGGGAAATTTCCAAAGTGGAATTTTCCCCACTATTGTTTTTTCTTTAAATTGTTTAAATCATAATAAACTAACTGTTATATAACATTCCAGCAAATAATCTCGAAAACAAGTACACGGGCATTGCCTTCAGTTAAATAAAAAAATACCATCATAGAATTTTCCTAACAAAATATAAAAAAGGGTAACAAATACTTAGTCATATGAAACCTGCATAAAATGAATGTAAAAAATCAAATATAAGAAAAAAGTATCAATACGTAATGTATTTAATTAGTTTTATAATTTTGCACTATGCTTTTAAGGATACTAACCAGGTGGTCCAGGATTACCAGGGAAGCCAACTAAGCCTGGTAGCCCTGGCTCTCCTTTTTCTCCTTTAGCTGCTGCATCTCCAGGTTGACCTTTAACTCCAGGAAACCCTGGAAGACCCGGTTCACCTTTTAGGCCGGGAGTTCCAGGAAAGCCATCTGGTCCTGGTAATCCAGGCACTCCTCTGTTACCTTTCTCTCCAGCTACACCCGGTAAACCATCTAAGCCTGGTGGTCCTGGGGAACCAGGAAAACCTGCTATGCCTCTTTCTCCTTTTGCACCTGAAAATTCAAAACACAGTTACTTATCAAGTCGCCAAATAAAAAATTATACGTTCTTAGGTTTCACAATATAAACATCTAACTTAATAAGCTTATTTCAGACAATCACTCAACGAAAACTGCTAAATTAGCACACAATACAAAGAACTGACAATATCGCATCCTTTAATTTAAAGCGCATAACACATTTTAAAATAAGGTACACACAGGAGATTCAAGTATTTGTAAACTTCTAAGAAATAATTGAGATACCTGTTATTTTTTTTTTATTATTATTTTTTTATTTTGAAGACTTACTAATTGAAAGCTGTTAGTTCCAATGTATTTCTTCAGAAAATTGATCTATTATTCTTAATATTAGAATGTTACGTATCAGCTTGCTTCAGAGAAGGTTCAAGTTTCCCTACAGTTTAATTGCTTTGTTTTCCGTACATTAGAAAGAAGGACAAGAAATTTTGCTTCTTTGAGAAAACAGAGATTTTCAGGCTTGGAAAAATACTGTAAATAAGATATTTCAAGGCAAAGAACGTTTTACAAAAATAAGAAAAAAAAATTTAGTCTTTCCCATTTTAGGCAACTGTTAACTTTTTGGGTACTAACTGGTTTAGCCATTTAGCACTGGTTTAGTATTTCAAGGATTCGTGTTAAATGAATAGATGAAGCTTTAAAAAATGCTCCTTTGAGCAGTTTTGGTTCAAACTATTATGCATGTTGTCAATGGGTCTGAAATTAAGGCAGATGAAAAAAACATGTGGAAAATTTCGTTTGTGTTATTGGTAAAGCTGCGGATGATCTGGGGGAAAGAAAACAAGGTCCTGCTTGTATAATTTGAGCTTGAACTAGTGTAAAAATTGCCAGTGAGCCTCGAAGTACGGCAACAGAAAGATTGCTTGTGTAGGACAATTTTTTAAAATCATTTTTCGCTATTTTCTCGTTTTGCTTTCTTTCTAGTAAGGAACGTGCTTTCCTCCAATCGTCTTCTTTCCCAAAGAAAGGTTCGATTTGTTTCGATTGGTTTTCAAAGGTATTTCGAGTTGCCTTTCTACCAGTGACAGATATGGTCAGTTTTGATTGATAAGTAACAAATGACATAAATAGTTAAAAAATACTGGAAAAAAGCGAAGGCAATGAAAGGATAGCATAAAGGACGAATAATAGTTGTATTGACTTAACGCTGGATTTGATATTAAGAAAAAGAACAGCAGCCTTGAAAAGCAGACTGAAGGGGGAAAAAAGGAAACCAGTGCTTCTGCGGTAAAGTAGACTAGACAATTTTAGACATTACTTACGCATCCTAACACAGGATATGAGTTTCTCAGAACCCCCTTAAAATTATCTTCAGGCATGAAGAGCTCGACTAGTGGGAAAAAAAAAAAAAAAAAAAAAAAAAAAAAAAAAAAAAGCTCTCAAGGTTATTTCATACAGGGTATCCATGAATGTTTATTCTGATTACAAAACATGATAACTCATGATTAAGCACAGATAACGAAACATGCATTGGACCTCAAATGCATAAATTCTCAAAGTTTATAATCATATTGGAAACATTTAAAAAACTTCTACATGTGCCCCCCTGGCAGCCTGCAAAATATCCAAGGAGTACTCAGTTTCACATTAAAAATTTCTCCTGACATACTGCCCCCCCCAAAAAAAAATTTTTTTTTTCTTCCTTTAGGTGTATGTTACAGACACCACATAACATTTCCTGATGTTGTGACCTTGCGAGAGTGCATCAGAGATGCCATTCACACAGTGACACACGAAATGTTGAATTTAGCCTTCGTTGGATATCTTACGTGATACCAGGGGTGTACTTATAGAAGTTTATTAGATGTTTTCGGTATTTATTTTATACCTTCTAAATTTTGAGAGTTTAAGCATTTGAGGTTCAATGCATGATTCGTTATCTGTGCACAAACATGAGTTATCATGCTTTGCAAAAATCTCAAGTTGCCTAAACCGTTATTTTGTAAATTGTATGCAAATATTTCTGTGCATTTTTATTTTAATATTTGCCTATATTCTGTAAAAAGCTGTTATAATATCTGACACAGTATGTGTTTCTATGCAACTGATGTAAATATTCCTATAATTTATGCAGTGAAACTTTTAAGCTTATGATATATTGTTCACTTGCAGTAACCTAGGTTTCCAATGGTTCCTTCAAGGACTGTGTATTTACGTGTAACTCAACAACACGTTTTTAATTTATGTCGTTTGTATAGCCCTTCCAGGCCTTGGCTAGATTTCCTTTTTTACAGGACATGCAATAACAGCTTAAGCAAAACAGTAGGCATGTTGTCCTCATGGTGGTGCAGAGGCAGAGAAACTTGAATCTCTATGGTGATGAAGGTTCCTGAAAGATCGCGTCAGTCGATGAAGCAGACGGCTTTTGCCTGAATTAAAAACAAGGCTAACATGCCACATTTCTGTAATTCCTCAAGAAATCCTTTCTACTACGTGCTATAACATTATTTTAGCATGTGATTCATGCAATTGGAATGTACAATGTACGCTGAACGAATGCTGTGATGAAATAAAGGACATTTTTACAGATTTTTGTGCGCCACATATTCCCCTAGTAATCGAAATTTAAAGTATTCATTTTTATTGCAGCTGTCTTTTCCCTATCATCCATATAACGTATACATCAGTTTTCAAAGTAATACGTCTACCGGAATGGGCTGTACATAAATTTGAGTGAGGTCACTTTAATTATAATCACTCCGTATCTAACATACTTAAATGGCGATCCAGATAGTGTCATATTTTATACATTTAAATGTTTATATTAAATACAATCAAATTTAATAAATTTATATTAAATATAATCAATCAGAATTATATGAATGTGAAATCTGTTATGATACTTTTTTAATCAAGTTTAAACTGCATCGAGAATAATTTAAGTTATGAAATGATATGTAGAGAGTCACTCGTATAACTGTATCTTAAAATAATAATTTATATTAACTATTATAGAAATCCTTTTAATATGCGAGCATGCTGAATTTTAACTGTCTAGTTTAGTAACGTTTAAGAATGAAAGCTAATTACCAATTATAAGTAATTAATGCCTAGAGAACTCGGGTACGGATTTTTGCACACAAACTAGGTATGGTTAGAAAAACTGTTATGAATGATATAGTGATCATATGTACATATTATGTTTTTTTAACACATTCCAAAACCCAGGGTTCTTTGCAATATAATAAAAAACCTTTGCCTTTTATGAATTTTTCGGTTGCGAAAATAACCTTATAGAATTAAATAATTTGTTTCTTGCTTGCGTTATGCAAATAACAGAATTACATTTTAATGGTAAATCGCGATCTCCAAAAGAGCAGTGAAAGTCTAATTTTGGAGGAAGGGACGTTACGTTTAATTACCGATATCTCATGGAAATGATTACAGAAGCTGAAAAAAAGCATTTTTAGTGTTTGCCGCTAGCTTACATGAGAAAAATATAACATAAAATGCTCTAAAATATTTTTACTGTTATTAATACCTGATATAAATTCCAAAAAGCATCAGAATGCTTCTGTATAAATCAGTGCAGTATTAACATCAAGGCACACAGTTAAATGGTATTCATTTTCCACACTGGGTACACTTATAAATACTTATAACAACCTGTGAGTCAAAACTTACGATTTAGCATTATTTTCCTTAATAATTAGGAGAAAATAGTTGCTGTAGCAGCAAGAAAAGGTATTATCATGTTTAAAAGCATCTTTTACTTAAGAATTAAAACGGAACACATACGGGAGTTTAAAAATTATTAACACAATTCAAATATATCTTACTCAGTTCACTAATACTCAAATATATATTACTCAGTATGACTTAGAAAAACGTCTCTTTCAAGTTAACAACAAACTGCGATAATAACGAAAGAAATTTAGCATAGTTTACCAAATAACTTGCTTTTTGCATAAATTTGTTATCCAAAAGAATTTTTAAAACCAAACTTCTAAGAGCTGCAGGTTGCGACATTATTGCATAATGCTTCAAATTTCATTAACAAAGTTTGCTACATTTACATCTCTGTTATCGCTTCATTTCGCCTTGAGGTTCTCTTATTCCAGAATCTATGCAGATTTAAGTGCCAATTACTTTTCGAAAAGTCTCGCACCCAGATGTGAAAGCTTTGGCTTCAACGACGACTTCCTGCCGTTTAATTTATCTATTGCCTCGGATTAGATTGAAAATCTGAAGAATGCCTAATTCATAGATTCAGAGTTCAGAATCCCTTTTAAGAATCATCATGGAAATTTTAAGCCTCCGTTAAATGAAATTATACATTGTAATTAGAAGCAGTTTTAAGAACTTGTATTTACAGCCAGACCAGATGATTGGTAATATCGTGTTTTATTATTTTTAATTTATGCCCAGCAAGTGATGACACAAAATAAATTTAAAGTAACCTGTGTCTTTTGCTTAAACAGATTAATTATTCTAGTGATACCAAGGAATCAAAGTATTACCTAGATATAATTGCATTTGAGCCAAATTTTATCCAATTCGGGATTTAATACAAACATTTATCCAATGGAAGATTTAATTCAATCGCAGTATTAAAACCTTGTGGTATTTTAACTGCACCTTCTGCTAAATCATGACATTTATGACTATTGCGATCATTCGATTTCACAAGATTGTGTCTGTGTCATTGTCGGCCACAACTCTTAATATCTCATACGTCGAAATTATAGGATCAGAGGACGAATACTATTTAGATATGTTTCTCTAAAGCTTTCGCAATATAACGAAAACTTCAAGTTTTGTGCTTTATGTTTATTAGCTTCAACCAGAAGTTACAACATCATGAAGCTTTAGTTCTTGATTAACCGTTCTTTGTTTCTGGTGGAGGCGATCAACTAACAAGACAGAATTAAATTGAAAATTGAGCAAATAGGAAATATATCTTGACCTGAAATTTAAAGCGCAAATATTCCTGGATCGATTTGATATATGTATAAATAAAGGTATTAGTTGTACCTTGTATGCCAGGTAGACCATCTAATCCCTCTCGTCCTGGTGGTCCGGGGGTACCCGGCGTGCCATCAAAACCAGGCAAACCAGGCAAGCCTGGTATGCCTGGATCACCTTTTTCGCCAGATAGTCCTGCAAATCCTGGAAGTCCAGGATCTCCTTTTGCTCCGGGAGGGCCTAAAACATAAGCGGAAGAGTTTAGGAAGGTATACATGTTATGTCAATTAGATTGCAAACATTAAATATTTTCCACTCTTTAATATAAAATGAGAAAATATCGCAATTTTTTATTCCGCTTGTGAATTTCAAAAAATTTTATTTTATTAATTTAATATTTCCAATTTTTGGTTCGGATTGTAGGATATCAATGTGGGATAAAATGCATAACAGAGAATAAAAATAAATCATCATCGTTAAATATCGAAAAAAATTTCATTTGATATTTGTTAAGCATAAAAGTTACAAGTTCAATATACAAACAGCATTGTAAAAAATCTACCGAAAACAGGTGAAAAATATGTATTCAAGTTTAATATAAAATTTGAACAGTACTGTGAAATAAATTATCGATAGCAAAACCTTTTTCTTAATTTTAAGAACATAATATGGAAAATTAAAATGAAATTTTCAAAACAATCTTTAAATGGATTCATTTGTAAAGTTTGGATTTTTATTCAATTTTTTTAATATAAATTATTTCCTTTACTATGAGACAAACCAGTCCTAATTATTAATACCACATTTAATCATTGAGTTCATTGGTGAATATGCTTTTGCAAAAAGTTATTTATCTCTTAATTATAAACATTTCTTGTTCGATTAAATGATCCAGATTTTGTGACAGACATTTTTTGTTAAAATTCTACATTAAAATATCCTTTTATTTATTCTTTTAAGTTCATTATACATAATATTTTTACTGTTCATACAAATTCCCCTTTTCTGGTCTTTGCATAATGTGAAAAGTGTTACCAATATTGAATATTTTTCGAAATATTTCATTACCTCCAGTATTTAGAGTCAACATTATTCATTTATTCATAAGACAGAATACAGCCCATCTAAACAGCGAAGCTGTCTGTAAGGTTACAGTCAACATGCATCATAACTGCCAACCTTAAAATACGAAAAATTGTAAAGCTCTCGCACTAAAAGCGGAAGTTTCCGGGAAGCTTTCGCTAAGCCATTTCGAAAGAACTTCAGATCGATTCGAAAGAACTTCAGCCATTTCGAAAGAACTTCATTCTCTTTATGATGCATGATTTAGATTATTCAAACTATTTATAATGTGACTGTGATGTAAAATATATTGGTGGTTTAAGACATCGACTGCCGTGCCGATGAGCGTGGGATCAAATCCCAGAGAAAACATGGATGTTTGTAAATGAATACTGTGTGTGCGGCATGGGGGCACTCAAAATGCTGGTGAGCCGAAAGTCCTCTCCAGTGGTTTGATGGTAGAGGAAGAAGTGTGGAAGACCCTCAGACTCCCATCTTGAAGCACTCTCTATATCAAAATTAGGGCACAGCTGCACAGTAAGTGAGGTGGGACTCTATCTATATAACCAATGATGAAAATTTGGTATCCCACCCACTTATATCCTGTACCTGTACAATATCATGGGCGTATTTAGGGGGAGCTGAAGGGGCTGCAGAAATCTTGAAAATTCAATGATAATCTCGGCGGGATTCGATCCTGAGATCTACCAATTTGCTAGCTAAATACACTGATTATTATACAACAGAGAGGTATGAAAAGAGTGCCTTTACTTGAGTTGAGAGTTATTAGTTTAATAAGTTAATAACTAATTGTGAAATATTTAGTTTTAATTTTGTTTATAAAAATACTGATTTAATTAATAACAACTTCATTTCCATCGGTACTTTATTACTTTAGAATTTTGATTTTTATACCTCCCATGCGTTAAGAGACTGCAATTATACTGTGCTGTGAAAAGATTCCACTCAACTAATATAATAATTATTTGAATTCTGTAATGGTAGAATTTTCAAAGAGCAGGTAGTTATTAAAATATTTTCTAATTATCATTCATTTTCTGCTTCCTAAAGAGAATCGAGAGTCGAAATATCATAAGCGTTTTTTCCCATAATATTTTCATGAAAATATTTAATTGATAATACAGGATTACTCATTAAAAATGATCAATGAAATTTAATAAAATAACGAACTGATATCGTATTTGATACAAATCTCTGAAGAATCGTTATTGCCATTAGAAGATGGTACGATAGAGAATGCAATTAAATTAAAAAATAAATACCTGAATGGCATTCTCAATCTAAAGTTCCAAAAAGCAGACCAATCATATTGCACCTTCTCTTTAGTAGCTTTCGTCTTGTAATTGCTCAGATTCATCTTTTCATATAAATTATTTAAAAATGATGGTTCGCTTCGAAAGTTCGAAGTACTTTTCCGATAGGGAAGAAGCCTTAACGTGCCAATACAAAGCCTAAGTCGTTTCAAAAATGCGTCAAATTAAATCTCTTCTACATTGTCAAAGTATTAATTTTTGAAACAAGTTTATATCAAACTCAGTCGTGTACAGAAGAGTACACTTTCAAGTACGCTTTCCTCCGAATTAACAGCAGCAAAAAATTAGCCTTCACTAGCTAACCATGATTTTTATTATTTGCTTTATAATTTTGGAATAAATGTTTTTAATGACAATTTTACCTGGTAATCCACTACGTCCTGGTAGCCCTGGTTCACCTGGAGGTCCTGGTAATCCTTCTCGAGCTGGTTCGCCTTTTGCACCTTTACCGCCTGGAAAACCGGGTAAACCTGGATTGCCAACTTCTCCTTTCACGCCAGGAAATCCGGGTAAGCCACGTTCACCTAAAATAGCACACAATTAAAAATATGCGGTAAAAGATGTTATCTGCTTTTACACAGTGAAGTAAACAAACAGTGTAAAATTAATTCTTGCTTAAATACATTCATTGCTTGAAGTAAAAATGAATTGTTTTTGAAGTTACTATGCATTGACGTTTTATATTTAGTTAATAATATAAAAGGTTAATTTTACTAAAAAAAAAAAAAGCAGATTCTTTATTACTAATAAATACATACAGTAAATAAATACAGTAATACAAATACAGTAATTAAGTTAATACATGCAGTAAAACTCCACTTTCTAAAATTTGTAACAAGAAGCATTTGCTATTTAGGAGGTCAGGAATGTTCGCTTAGGATGACATGGATGAAATCAGGTTATTGAATTAATATTTTAGGAATAAAGAAATCTGGCTTTCTAAAATTAAGATCTAAGATTAGGGTAAAATTTATATAACTAATATGCATTGTTATGATTTTTTTGCAACTAATTTATTTCTGTATGAATTAATAATCTCTGTTGCTGTGGTTTAATTTAAGCTTTAGTTATAGTTTTATTTAAAAACACCGTTACAGTTTTGCAAAGTATCTAGAGAAATTAATAAGTACCTATTGGAATACGCATATTAAGTTTATAATCATTCACGTACACAAGCTAGAAAATATTATCAAGATGGAATCGTATGAGCCTTAGAAACATGGTAGTTTGAATATAATACAGAAAAATATTTGGACTGCTTATTAATAGATAGGAGTTATTTTCTATTAATCTAAGAATCTATATCTGAAGTAAAACTACCGTATTTTCCGGCGTGTAACACGCACCGGTTTATAAGGCGCATCTATAATTTCAAACTATATTTTTTAATTATTAGGAATATTTGCCGTATAACGCGCCCCCCCAATTCCTCACGAAAAAAAAAAAAAACTAAGAGATACATGTGCAATAATGCTATTATCTTCTGAGGTCACCTATTCGAACATTTATCCTAGCCTTTCGAACAATGGTAAATCCCACAGACAAGCGATTAGGGGAACAATATTATGTGTGGGGGTTAAATGCTTGGAGGAGTAAATATTCGGGCAAATTGTATTCAATGCAGATGTCCAAAAGAATGCTACACCACTTCCAATCTGAATGAAACTTAAAATTGTAATTTAGATTTTTTCTCTTTCTGTAGTCATTCGAAGCCGATATTTTAATAAAATAAAGTGAAAATCGAAGGCTTTAGTAAATCGCAATTGCTTTAGTTGAAATGCAATTGATCTAGGGCTCATTTTACTAGTAAATATGGCTCCCGCGAAAAGAAATAGGCACAGTGCCGGTTTCAGATGCAAAGCCATTCATTTTGCGAAAGAAAATGAAAATCGTGGTGCAGCAAGGATTTTTCGTGTTGGTGAAAGATTGAACGGATAATGATTACTTATTTATGGATCTAAATAACAATAATTATGAAGATTAAATAAATTTCGATGATATGCCTGAAAATATAACGAAGACGAGCATGATGAACTCTTCATATTATCCGATAATGAAAATGTTTAATTTCATAAGGTATGTAATTTATTTTAAATAAATAGCATTTCCTAAATAGCATTTGGGTGCATGTAAAAAAATCTAATTTTTTCTTATTTTTAAGCTATTATTTTTATATCCGGCGTACTCGCAAATTTCGGTTCTATTTTTTGTATTAAAAGTGCACATAATACGCCGGAATATACGGTAATTATCTAGATTTTGTAAAATTATTCCGAAATAGGGGAAAAATACTGTATTTTTATTTAGGTAAATAAATATATTAAATTTCTTCAAAATATGTATCAGTTTAAAATGGGTATGATATGAATATAAATTTGAAACTCAATACTGGAAATGAATTTTATTTCTCCCTGTTAGAAAGCAATTCAACACTCACCTTGCAAGCCAGGAGGTCCTGTAAATCCTGGATCACCTTTCTGTCCAGGTAATCCTGGAAGACCAGGAGGGCCGGGTCTTCCTATTCCAGGTGAACCTTGATCACCTTTTTCACCTATGGATTCAAAAAGATAAAAGTATTAAAGCAATGCATTCTAGAAAGAGTTTTTCTTTAAAGATAGTTGAAAAAATAATCACTAGAAATGGTAGTCTTAAATTTACTTGTTTTTAAACTTGATAGCGACCTATTTATATGCTATTTATAATCTACCTAATATTTTTGCTTAAATGTTTTAACATTATTTTATTGAAAAATGAATATTAGTAATAGAATCTTAAAATTTATTCCATTCATTTTCCGTTAAAAACGATATATTAACGAAATAATTATACTACATCGAGTAGTTTTACATTAAAAATGCCTATGTTATAATACTAAGTATTTATAAATATTCCCTAATATGATCCACCTTTCTGGCAATAACAGCTCACAGATGCTAAATAATAGATCCTATAAAGTTATGAACATCCTATTTATCCTACGTCCTTTGCAACAGTTATATTTGTTGATGCCCAAACTTCGAAAGAAAATCAGCTTATCTGACACTCTTTGTTTGACATAATCTGACATAGATCACATGTATTCAACCGAGCTACTGTCAAGGGATGATGAAAACCAAGGCACTGTGGTGCATTTCTCCGCCCAATGACAAACAGAACGTGCATCCTGATAATGCAATGCTGAAAGATGGTGCTGTGTCAAGTCTAAGAACTAGTACATAATGTACACAGAGTTATAGCCAAGAGATATAAGGTTTAGAAGATAAAGCTTTCCGGACTTGAACCAGCCTGCCAGGTACCAATAATAATAGCAATGTGATCAACGTATACGATTTAATTCTGACTACGCATCATGCGATTTCTTAGCCACTTCTTTAGGATTCAAGAAAACATTACCAATCACTTCAAGTGACCGTTTTCCCTTTGTGGATGGTCAATTGGTGACGTCCTTTGGCCATTGAATGGTGTTGTGTGCGATGACTGGGTATCATTACGGGTGTTGTTGGTTTCTGTCTGGAGAACTGTAAGATATATAGTGTATAACCACATGGAAAAGGATCGAAGCGGACTGCTGTTTAAGGTGTAGGAAGTGGAAGATCATTACATTTTGTTGCTGAGATACAATATGCGACCCCAAATTATCACTTCCAACATCAATGACGCATGGTTAAATATCTGATCAAAGTTAATGCAGGTCTAGGATACCTTTGGTACAGTACTATAGAAGCAACCAACAAATACGGCTGTTCCTGAAATACAGGCATCTCCCTTCTGGGCCACAACTATTTATCTATAAGTGATTAAAATTGATGTATAGCCTCATTAATAATATATCATTATTACTTTGGGTAATTAGTAATAGCCACATATAATACTGATACTGGTGGTGCCACATATAATACTGCTACAAGTTGTTTCGTTTTCAGGTTGGGAGAGTCTTATCATGGCATTCAAAACTCCAAGATTTCACAGAACATAGAAATAACATTTATTAACTATAAACTTGCATCAAAATTATAAGACATGCGTCATTTTTAATGTTCAAGCATCAAGAAGAATATTTTTCATCGGCGCGCAGCAAGATCGCCACCTATCTACCGAAAAGATGGAGCAGATACTATCCGGAACACCACCGATGTCGCTTCAAATATATTAAAATAAAAATTTTCATAAATAACGTTCTTTATAATACGAATAAAATATTTATAATAAATAATCATTTTAAAAAATGGAAAAACAATATACAGAACCTTTTGCGCCTGGAAAACCAGGTAATCCTTCATCTCCACTTGGTCCAGCTTCTCCGGGAAATCCCATGGGTCCAGTGCTACCTTTGTCTCCCCTCGGACCAGGTAAACCTGAAATTTTGAAATATGGATATTGACTACGAATTTTAAAATAAAAGTATCTTAAATTACTAAAGAATTCTTGCAATAGTTAGCTCCCGAATTCTAAACTACTCGCAGAATTTCTGTCAAGTCACCAAGAATTAAACAAAGCATATTTAGAACTTTATTGTAAATTACAACGAAGAAGTAAGCATGCACTAAAAACATGTCAAACTACCGATAATGCGTTCTTTTAAATTTAAACTAATCAATGAAGTTTTATATTACACTAATTTAAAAACTGGTACGCAGGCATAAAGAATAACGTAGCTGAATAACCCATAGCTATATTTTCCAGTTGACGCATTTCAGTCATGGCAAAGAGTAAAAGTCTGAAATTCTCTTGTTTATTCTTTAAAAAGGACAATGAGGTCTTAAAATGTTAAAAATTCTCCTTCAATTTATTCACACACTATTAAAGAAAAGGCTATTAAAGAAAAGTAACAACAAAAAATGTGCGTGAGTAGTGTGATAAAATGTCCTCCACGAAACATCCCTCCCTTTCCGTGTAGTGCCTAATGCAAAATAATAAATAAATAATAAATAAGCACTGTGATAAAGAGCATAATCAGCTGCTTCAATAAAATTTGTCCTGGGGGTGGGAGAGGGAAGCGTATTTTTTCCTCCCCTTTCATCTGAAAAATGCTGCATTTTGCATATAATTCGTTTTTAAGTTAATGAACTATCAGGATTTTTGTCTACTATTTTAATCTCGACAGCATCTATAAAGAAAAAAAAAATTTAATCTAAAATTATTTCTGGTATCCGGTGGCAGCGGGCAATAACTGATTATGCACGTATTTTAGCGAGTAATAAGAGCTTAAATGTAATTTACTCTTCTCATCCAGCAGACTATAATAAAGAAATACTTGCCAATAAATTTGAATTATTCATGAAACAAAAATCCATATTTTAGATTGAAATAGAATTTTCTTAGCATTAATTACAAATTATTTAATTTTATGTAGTAAATTTTTTGTCCAGCCAGTGTCAGTGCTTTTAAGTTTCAGAAGGAAAGTTTATATATTTATATATTTTATATATTTATATTTACATATTTTATGTATTTATATTTATATTTTATATTTTATATTTATATTTATGTATTTAAAAAATATCTATGTAACAACTTTTTTAAAAAGTTCTATAGCAAAGCAGAAAATGTTTTAACATTTTAATTAATCATGCAGTATGAATGAACAACGAGTAACACAGATATTGCGAATACCTATTTCTCCACAGATAGACCTAAATAACAGAAAAGTACTTGAGATTATAAAATGTACATATGATTAATCAGAGATTATAATTAAAGGTACTTACGTATTAGCGTAAACACCTTAGCACAGTTTTTTTTGATAATTTTTTAGAGAAGAAAAGAATGATTTTATGCACATTATCATTTATCCCCAAAAGAATAATGCCTTATAATTGCAAAAAAATATATTTTTTGTATATATGCTCATCATTATACATTATTATTATGCACATTATAATTTTCCCGAAAAATCAATCAATGAACATACTTACAACAGCTTTTATCCTCTCCTGAGAAATTTCATCGTAATCGCTTTATGAATGGACACAAAGCAACTGATGTGCTCTTTAGCGATTTTGCGAACAAGCTTTTTATTCTTGCAGAAATTATACCGCAGATTTTTTCGATGCCAATTAAATCTTCCAAACCATATTTTAAAATTAAGTTTAAGACAAAATATACAACTATTTTTCTGTAAAAACCGTTCGAATACAGCAAAAAGAACGCGTACCAAAACGGCGTCTCTGCTTGATGAAAATGCTAAACTATTACGCGCTTGATAACCTGAAGCACTGCTATACACGTGGTTGCCAAATTTCAACATATTCCGAAACTCTGGCGACTTCTATTAAGGTGGTTGCGCTAATACCCAAGTACCTTATAAAATACAACTAAATAATCAGAAAAGTATAAAATACTGTTCGGCACAAGTATTTGTTATTCCACAACAAGTTATGTTAATTTGTCTTATAACAAAAATATAAGAACTAGTGGAATAACAAATATTTGTTGTACCGAACACTATATTTGTTACAAGACAAAAATGTGAGAAATAGTGAAAATAAAAAACACAACGTAATTTGATAGAAGCAAACTGATGCTTACGATCAACGTATACTCATTTTATCAACATATAATTATTTAATGATATTAAATGTGCAAAAACATATTTCTTAAAATGTCTATTCTTTGTAAACATTTAACCTTGTATAGTAAAAAATTGCATCCAGTTTTAAATATAAAATTCAGATAAGAAGTTATAAACTTAGTGCAGTCCAAACACACGATTAAAAATAATCAAAAACTAAACTATTTGTTATTTTTTCTCAAGATGATAACCTTATAAAGTATTAAAATAATGCGTGAAAGTAAACTTCGTTTTTCAAATAAATAATTAAAAAAGATTGATTTTCAATATTCTGTTATTTCCATAATGAAAGAGATGAGTTCTAAACATTTAAAAATCGGGAAGTGTAAAAATAAATGTTTTCATTATACATTATCACCGGAATGTTTGCTAACTGGATTAAACTGATTATTACATTTCAATATCAAGTACATGAAAAACGGATATTTTAGATTTGAAAGCGCTTTTTATGATTTTAATGTTTAGTGTATATATACACAGCTATATAAAGTACAACTCCAATTATCCGAACTCCGACTATCCGAATCGCTGATTATCCGAATCGCTTTCAGAATTTTAAGAACCAACTGAAGAAAAGGAGAAAAAGGAGAAGCTCAAGAAAAGAAAAGGGAAGAGACAGGAGAAGATGAGGATGACGCGTCACTTGAGGAATTAAGAAATATTCTTTTGAAAATTCCTGGATCTTCAGAAGTTATTACTGAGGATACAGCAGAATGGATGATATATGATTCGTCAGACCCTAGGTTTCAAATTCTAAATGATGATGAACTTATTGAAAGAAGATGACCATAATGTCGAAGTTGCAGCAGACAAGGGACCATCAGCTAGTGCAGCGTTTGCCGGCCTTGAAAGTGCGTTGAAGTGGATGGAGCGTCAGTCCGAGTGTGACCACATGCAACTTCTCATTGTCAATCGGATGCACGACTTGGCTGCTCAAAAACGGATAAAGACAGTCAAACAGTTTTCTTTGACAGAGATGTTCGGCAAGCAATGACTTTCAACACTTGTAAGTTGAAAGTAACTTGTAAATACTGTAAAGTACGCTATATAACATGTACGTAACAGTGTTGCATTTTCATTTTAATTAATTAAAATTATCTTTTTTTTTAAAAATAGTTTTTTCTCCCATTTTCAAAATACCGTATATACAGTAATTAATTAAAGTGTACGTAGACCCTTTCTTCGGAAAAAATCCACTTATCCGAATTTTTGATTATCCGAATGGGGTCTGCTTCCAATTGATTCGGAAAACTGGAGTTCTACTGTATATAATCAGAAATTTAGTATCCAAGTTAGCATTAGAATGCATAATTCAGTTATTTCAAAGAATACTTATCATTTCATGAAATAACTGATGAAACCAGTTAAAATGAGTAATAAATTAATAATTCCACTCTTAATTAGTTATTCTATGAAATAACTAATAACAGACAGTTCAATTCTATAAATTAATATTATTCTATAAATTAACTAGTAATAGACAGTTTAAGTGTAAAATAAACAATGTACCTGAATTATGCAGCATGCAAAATGTTACTTATACAAAGACACAATAAAATGAATTACTAAAATGACACTTGGAAGTTCATAGAATCTTATTTCTAAAACAAATACATTTTTTGTGATTGGATTGTGAACATTGCGATTTACACGAACAGCAATTTATAAATCCCTTACTGGTACCTAAGTTTTGAGCTGTAGCGACCGACTGGAGCGATTTCTCTCTGCCCGGCATTTTTTCGATCTGAATTAGTTTTTATTCACAAACGCTGAACTGGGATCGGGAATATAACTGTTTTATGTGGTTATTTCTTGTTCCGTCGTTCCTAAAAAAAAAAAAAAAAAAAAAAAAAAAAAAAAAAAAAAAAAAATTGAAAAAAAAAAAAAAAACAAAAAAAAAAAAAAAAAAAAAAAAAAAAAAAAAAAAAAAAAAAAAACAAAAAAAAAAAAAAAAAAAAAAAAAAAAAAAAAAAAAAAAAAAAAAAAAAAAAAAAAAAAAAAAAAAAAAAAAAAAAAAAAAAAAAAAAAAAAAAAAAAACCTTTTTCGGTTAGTTTTAAGATAACAACTAAAAGCGATGTCGTGTTACATCTTCCTCTGCCACATTTTCAGGTACTGGCATATTAAATGTAAGCCTCGCAGCGATTTCACAATGAGATTTATTCGATATTAATTTTCTTTCTTAGCATGAAATTCCAAACATTCTTTTGAGTTTTCTGTTTCCCTACAAACCATTCAGTTCATAAGATATTCTGTGCTACTTTATATTCCAAAATATTGTCTTCTGAATTAGATAGATATATCCACAGGCCATTAAATTTCGCCCAAACTACGTTTTCACTGCATTCTTATGAACAAATTACATGTATGTTTGGAGAAAGTATAATTAGTTATCAAGGTCAAGAGTTTCAGATTTAAAGGAAGATCAATAAATTAACTTTGACGCAAGCTATTCAATACATTTAATGTCATTTTCATTCTTTTGTTTATTTCGTTTATTCGCATGATTTAATTAATCGCGTAAATAGATGAACTCTTCCAGTGATTAGAAGATTTCAATACAAAATCTATATGTCAATAATGTAAACTATTTCAAAATGTTTTCATGTTTAAAATTAGGATATGCATTATACCAGTTTTCGGAAATCCTTTTGTTCACGCTGTTTTAAGTATCAGAAACTGTTCATTTTTAAAACAATAAATTGCTATATCGTATTCAGTTACATCAAGTAAACTATGCAATTTTCTGAAACAATCAGTTATTTTAAATAAGAGCCTTTCACATTAATTATAAAATAATTTGGTGTAAAATGTACGGAAAAAGATATGTTTTATGTTAAGTTAAAATGTTCAGAAACTAAGGGATGTCTTACAATATAGTTAAAAATAAAATTTAAAAAAAGTGCATTATAATTTACCTCTCGGGCCAGGTGGACCTGGTAGTCCATTTTCTCCTGGATCACCTTTTGCTCCTGGAAGTCCATCAAGCCCTGGTGTTCCTGGTAATCCTCTGATACCTTGCAAGCCATCAATTCCTGGAAAACCGGGTGGTCCTGGAGGCCCTCTGGGACCGGGTGGTAATTTTAACTCTTCTGGAGGTGGCAGCTGCCCTGAAAGAGAAATATAATATTACTGAAAACGAAAATTTTAATATTTTATATTAAATTCTAAAATATGTACTGATTTCAAACCTCTAAAATGTTAATTTAAAACGTCTGTTGTACTGCCGTATAATACACTCCTCATATAATTCACCTCTAATATGCTAACTTGGCGCACGAGCGGCCGAGCGGTCAAAGCCGCTGAATGCTGGTAGTTTGGTTTGGGGTTCGAGTCCTGGCGGACGGGTTAGCCGCATGTGCGTTTTCGTAGTTTTCCCCATGTGTAGCGTGGTTACGAGCCAGTTTCTTTTAAAACCACCTCCACGGGGCATTCTTCCCTTTTCGTATAGTGCCTAAGAGCGGAGCACGTAATAATAAGTATTTTTTTTTTTAATATGCTAAATTGAAAATGACTGCTAAATTTGCGAAATGGAAACATATGGCCTTTGGTTAATTGCGACTTCTTACCATTTCTATGACAAAGAAAGTCTTCCAATCTTAAACTACAAATCGTTTTGTAAAAAAATATATCTGCATCTATAGATAAAAAAAAGGATGAAATATGTTAACTACTAAGCATCTATAGGTAATCCAGGAAACTTACCGAAATGATAAATTTGATAACATTAAGAAATTCTGATTGTTGCAAAAGAGTACTATATCACCAAATTTAGTAATATTTATATATATATATTTACTGTTTACTCACGTCGATTAAATAACTGATTTTTTTAATATTTATATATTTCGAAAAAAAAAAAAGGGCAATCGTTTGCAATTTTTTTGTTCATTGTTTTACTTTTAATAATTTCACTTCTTTTTATTGATAATTCTTTCCCAGAGTTAAAAAAAATTCGCAATACTTTTATTTTTATGAAGTTAAAGTTTATGCTGTCCTTAGACTAGTGCCTTGTTATTAGAAACTTACATATGTTTACAAGAAAAACAAACACTTTTGATGAATGTATTGAATTCACGCAATTTGCAGTTATTTAAAACTCTCGGACTGAATCCATCAGTAAATAAATTATGACGTATATGTGATAATTTAATCTGTAGGAGAAATTCGGATACTTCAACAGCGTGAAGTCGCCATGGCCGGGGATGGATATTTTGATGCGCTGCAGCTTGAATTTAGTTAAATAGACGAAGGCATAAACCACAAACTTCCAGATGTAGCCACTTCAGAACATAATTTTATTCGATTACAATTCACATCAGATTATTTTGTAGGCAAGTGATTTATCCAATCATATTTCAATACGATCATTTTTATGTGCACTGATTTAAAAGTAAAACATAGGCATCTTAGACTGAGAAGCGAAGCAACACGCAAATGTTAGCAAGATAGAAGCTAGGGAAAGGAATGACGTAATTAATTTGCGAGCGGTATTTATATCGAAGTAGATGTAATTATAGAGACAAGCTATGATTGGTTAATTTTAGTTTTAGTTACCTTTTTCAAGCAGTGTTATATGACATGGAAAGATCTCGAATTTGGGAGAAGAGATGAATTTAAGGGAGAGCACCAAATTTAGAATAGTGAATTTTGAAGTCGCCAGTTATTCTTAAAGCAACCATATACATATCCCCCTTTCAAAAGAAAGGTTGAGAGAGCAGGGTGGCAGAAAAATCATTAATGTATTAGCGAAGCAAGAGAAAGTTTATCATATGAGGAAGCATCAAGGACATAGCCTGCAGGTTTTCCTATGCCCTGTCATTATTCTTGTCCTTTCTCATATACAGATTACGTAATACTTAAACAACTAATTTACAATTATTACAACAACGATATAATTTCTTAATAAAACTAAATAATAAATTAACACAAATATAATTTTTAAAGTCCTTAAGTTGTTAAAATGCCCAATGAAAAATTTTGTATGGTCTCTTGACGAGAATAGTTCCACAAGATAGATGTTCAAATGTCTTAACAAAGTAAATGTTCAATAAAAGTCGTTCAAATTTTTGTTAATGAAAATATTTTTATTATAACACATGTTGGAAGATAACAAATACGTTATCTTACAACCTGTGTTATAATGAAATGTCCATGTTATATAACACTGCTTGAAAATGGCAACTAAAACTAAAATTAACCAATCATAGCTTGTCTCAATCAAGATATTAGCAAGGTAGAAGGTATTGAAAGTAATGACGCAATTACTTACCAGCAGTATTTTATACCGAAGTAGATGCAATTGTAGAGACAAGCTATGATTGGTTAATTTTAGTTTTAGTTGCCATTTTCAAGCAGTGTTATATAACATGGACATTTCATTATAACACAGGTTGTAAGATAACGTATTTTGTTATCTTCCAACATGTGTTATAATAAAAATATTTTCATTAACAAAAATTTGAACGACTTTTATTGAACATTTACTTTGTTAAGACATTTGAACATCTATCTTGTGGAACTATTCTCGTCAAGAGACCATACAAAATTTTTCATTGGGCATTTTAACAACTTAAGGACTTTAAAAAAAAATTATATTTGTGTTAATTTATTATTTAGTTTTATTAAGAAATTATATCGTTGTTGTAATAATTGTAAATTAATTAGTTGTTTAAGTATTACGTAATCTGTATATGAGAGAAAGGACAAGAATAATGACAGGGCATAGGAAAACCTGCAGGCTATGTCCTTGATGCTTCCTCATATGATAAAAACTTTCTCTTGCTTCGCTAATACTTAATGATTTTTCTGCCACCCTGCTCTCTCAACCTTTCTTTTGAAAAGGGGGATATGTATATGGTTGCTTTTAAGAATAACTGGCGACTTCAAAAATTCACTATTCTAAATTTGGTGCTCTCCCTTAAATTCATCTCTTCTCCCAAATTCGAGATCTTTCCATGTCATATAACACTGCTTGAAAAAGGTAACTAAAACTAAAATTAACCAATCACAGCTTGTCTCTATAATTACATCTACTTCGATATAAATACCGCTCGCAAATTAATTACGTCATTCCTTTCCCTAGCTTCTATCTTGCTAACATTTGCGTGTTGCTTCGCTTCTCAGTCTAAGATGCCTACGTCTTACTTTTAAAGTCAGTGTACATATAAATGATCGTACTGAAATATGATTGGATAAAGCCCTTGTCTACAAAATGATCTGATGTGAAATATAATGGAATAAATTTATGTTCTGAAATGGCATCATCTGGAAGTTTGTGGTTTATGCTTCCATCTATTTAACTGCGTAGACATAAAGCTGCAGCGGATCAAAATATTAATCTCCGACCATGACGACTGCAAGCTGCTAAAGTATCCGGATTCCTCTTACGCATTAAATGATCACACATATTTATCATTTTATAGACTTAGCTGCAGCAAAATAATCATTGATTTGATCATATCGTTACTGTATCTCACTGGTACTGCAAAGATTCCCATGTGAAATATGTATATTATTTCACAGAATAACATTCTCAAAATGTGAGGCAAATTCCAGTAACAGTACGATTTCCAGAATTTTCTGAATTTCTTTGGACAAAAAGAATGCATACTTTTTCTTGCATAATTGTAAAACTAATGGCAAACATTAACTCAACCCACCAGCGGTCTAACGGTAAAAGGCTTTGGAGTGCGATTTCAGGTGAACGGGCTGGCTGCATGGGTAACGAGGATACGAGGTAGTTTCTCTCAAAGACTTCCACGGGGCATCCCTCCCTTTCCGTGTAGTGCCTAATGGCGGAGCCCGTAATAAATAATAATAACAAACATTAACTCAATCTAAATATGTTGATAACAAAGTAACTCATATGATAGAAATGAAAGAAACTCTTAATTGAATAGATACATTCGAATTAAAATTTCATATGTAACCGTTCATTAAATTCTAAGTTTCCGGTCTGAGAATCGATGTCTGGGAGTTCGACAAACAATATTTTAAAATTTTGTGAAATCTCAAAATAACGCTGTTTCGTCAAATAGGATTATTTTCAAAATATTTATCTGCCTATTTGAAGCATTGTGATAGCTGACTTTTTTCTGATTATGTAGTTTTTAAAGTAGCAGATTCTTCTACACTTTTTACAGAAATATCGAAGGTTAAAAGTCGAAATACCTTCCTAGTCAGATGAAAAATCTCTCTGTTATCTTATATTGTAAAGCCGAACTTAAATTTGTCTAAGGTTGATCTATTCCTATTTTTGTCTAGATCGTAATTTCCTTCATGTCATTTACTTTTTCTGCTTGAAATAATATTTTTATGCAACTTTAATTCGCATCGTACGGCCTGATAATATTTTGATTAAGTAAAACATGGTTTTGTGACATAAAAGTTTTCCCTGTGTCCACTGTGGATAGTTAGTTCTGTAACAACTGTAGATCTAGCTCTTTGTTTGCCAGCAACAAGAATCAAAACAGTTTCTTAAATTTTACTGTGTACTTTTTTTTTTTTTTTTTTTTTTTTTTTAAGAATTTTACAATTTTGGTCGAACATCAAAATCATTTCCAGTGTGAGGATCTTCAACGCATCTCAAACGAAAATCTTTCAAATGAAAAGACGTTACACTTTTAGTGAAATATTTCTTTGGCAGTATAGAAACGCAAAGACATTACAATATAAGAATGATACATGATTAAATATTTTTTACGAACAGAAACATAAAGGGGAAAAAAAAGTTACCTGGATCTCCCTTTTCTCCAGGAAGACCAATCAAACCAGGAAATCCAGGCTCTCCTCGATCTCCCCTTTCACCTGGCGGTCCAGGAAATCCAATACCTCTGTCCCCTTTCTGTCCTGTAGGTCCAGGCAAACCTATCAATCCAGGTCGTCCTGCAGCACCAGGGAAACCTGGAGCACCCTATGGAAATTTTAAAAGATTCTTATGAAAAAACAAACAGCTACATATAATGCAGATTTCCGTTATAGCAAAATATTAAAATTGTAAAATGAAAGGAAACAGTAAAATTACAGAATAAGTTTAGCCCGTGAAATACCAAAAGGAGTGCCCAATCTAATGTAAGCAACAAAATAATCCCTATTAGCTTGTTGATATATTGAATACATAAAATTATATTACGATAATTATTATATTCCAGCAAGTGTTACATTAAGAAAGCTTATAAATGATGAAATTTTAAGTCATGTTATCTTATGTTGCTAGAAAAAAATCATCCGTCGAAATTTCGACGAAGTTCCGTATTTTCGAACAAGTAATTTTTTTCTTAATCAATAATATAACAATACATAAATTAATTTCTTTCAATTTGCATGTCAGTTACAGCCACATGCATGCAAAGAAACGAGAGAATTCAATAAGCTACAATTTACGTATGTTAAAAATAAATCAATACTGAAGTCGGTTGCCATTTTCAGTGATACATGAATGAGCCCGCAAAACAAATAATGTGATAAACAGCTGCACAACAGAGTGCAGTGAATTTTTTTAAAATTAGATTCGTTTATATGTGAAAAAAAACTGTCTTTTAACATTAGCCATGTTTTATATGTCTAGCTGGAAAATTTCTTCTAAATTAGTTTTTATTACTGCCTACTGAAATCTTCCTAAACATTTCATCGCTACACCAATTACAGTGGAGCATTGGTTCGTAGAGTTCGTAAACTTATTAGTTTCGGAATATAGTTGTTCATCTGAAATATTCGTGAACCGAAACAATTATCCCTATAGGAATTAATGCACAATGAATTAATTCATTCCCACATCCCAAATGTTTGCTTAAAAAATTAAGTCTAAATACTTGATGTAAGTTCATAATGCAAAGCTGATGAAAATAGTTAAATCTAACACATACACAATATTAACGTATGCATAGTACTTAAAACACTAAACATATAAAAAATAGAGAAGATTTGAATTTTACGGCATTTCTTATGACGGAAAGTTGACTGCGTAAAGTAGAAAACGGTGATTTGAGAATTAATAGCTGTTCCCTAAATTTATTCGATGAGATTTGTTTTTACTGTTTTATTGGGTCTGCACAAGTTTTGTTCTCAGTTCTGTCTTCTGAATAATTTCCTCCACTGGATTTTTGAGTATGCGGAGTATGGCGTTACGGCTTATTGGTTCGTATCTAGAGACATCGTTCCATCGTCATCTAAGACTTTTTTTTTTTTTTTTTTTTGTTTGGAAAACTCATTCGTTATCCAAGGCTCCACTGTCCTTGGATATTATGCTTTAATATTCTACATTTCGGCTATGCAAAATATGGAACATTTCAGTTTTAAACGAAGCTTTATAAGCTAACGAAATTATACAGGGTGGGCCAAATAAGACCTACTAATGTTAAATACGGATAACTCTTGTAATAATCATTTAATTTGATTAATTGTTTTTATATATTAAATATATTTTATGGAAATTATGTATGAAATATGACATCAGACAAATGTCCACCATTTTTCTCGATACAGAAATTGGCTCTTTTTAACGCGTTTTGCATTACACTAGGTTATATTTCTGGTTGAAGGCTCAGTATTTCGTCTCGAATATTCTGATTCAGCTGTCTAATAGTCTCTGGTTTATTAACAATTAACATACACTTTGTCCTTTAAATATCCCCATAAAAAAAAGGATTCTACTCCGCCATTGGCCACAAAAAGTTTTCAATCATTGTTCTGTAATAAGCTCCGGAAATCGTTTCCGGCGTCATAACAACTGATCGTTACTCAGCGTCATAACAACTGATCGTTGATACGAATAGAAAAACGCGATAATTTTAACGCGTTTCCATAATAAATTTCCAAGAATTTAATTATAACGTACAAAAAGAAAAAATAATTATATCAAAAAATAAAAAAGTTATTTGTGTTTAACATTGGTAGGTCTTATTTGGCCCACCCTGTATAAGTCGTGTGAATATTAGAGCTCAGATGGAGGGCGCCAGGCGTACTGTGATTGGCTGTGCCGGTTTGCCTTGAGAAATGCCAATGAGCTTTAAAGAAAATGTGTTACTGACTACGGACCCAAAATATTGCTCTATGTTTAATCGGCAAGAATATTTAATGAATTATAAACAGTAATATAGTTCGGCTGTTGTGTGCTCACCGTCTGAAAGAAAATTTTGCAGGAGAAGAATTCTGTTTCTGTTATTTCAAATCAATAAATACCACATAGTATGACAGAATTTCATTTGAAACGTTACGTTATTAAAAAGTTTTGAAAAAGATGGTAGACTTAATTAAAAAAAGAATTTAGAGAATAGGCCCTGTGTTTATAAAATAAAAATGCCTGCTGCTAAAAGAATATTTTAATCTATCAAAGACAGTTACGAAAAATGGTTATCGAGGCAATTGGTCAGAATATTGCAAAATTTCTCAAAAAGTGGTTGCAGCATAATGCCAAGCTGAAGAAAGTATTCGAACAGCTCAGTCACAAAAACGTAGGACTAGCACGAGTGGACTATCGACTTTTGCTTCTAGTTTTTCTGAATAAACCATCCATTGATATTCGTCTTCAAGTTCTTCAGACGAAGATAAAGATACTAAAGTTTCTGCTAAGAATAAAGAAATGGATTCTATAAAAATAAAATATCCATCTTTCCAAAATGAGGATGAAACTAATAGCTTTATCTCAGAAATCCTCCAAAACGGGAGTTTCAGACAAATCAACGGCCGTTACTGTCAGTGCTGCTTTAAAGGATATGGGAATTTTGATCGAAAAGGATACATCAAATGTAATTGATTGCAATAAGATTAGGAAAGAAACACGTAAAATTTCGAAATGAACTTGTGAATATAAATAATGTATTGTTCTTTATTAATTGTGCAAATGGAAATTTTATGGACACAAAGACAAGACTCGAAGTCCGATGTGCAGCCACGTTGTTGTAATGACTTCTGGATAGTTTTTATTAAAAAAAGGGAAGCTATCTAAAACCTGCACTGCATAATACTCGTAGATAATTTACAATTGGAGTTACTGTGGCCAGTGGTTTAGATAAGTACGAATTTTCAAGGCCAAAATGGCAGCAAATGATGACGTAATATGGACCTTATAATTTGTAAAATTATTCACATTAACGTAAAGCGATTCTCCCATACATAGGCTAAAAAATTAGAAAGAAAATCATTTTGGGGCTTTTTCCCGCCACCTTACCGCTCAAGTATTAGACTGTTTATAATTAAATAACAGAATAAATAATTTGAAAAAATGCTACAGATATGTAACATGTTACTGGTTTCCCATATGCGCATAAAATTCTTTCCTTTCCATGTGCGCTTCACAAGACCAGAAGAAATATGCAAACTAAAGCAGAGAAAGTATCATATCCTGTGATTCTGGTTACATATTGCAAATGCAAAAAGAAGCGAAGAGGATGCTGGTATGGAAAGTTCCATTTTTGTATTCTGCTAAATTTTTAACTTTCTCAGTACCAATAAGACATTTAGCGATTGAAAGAAGCCATTAGGAAAAACAACTCAGTTTGTTCATTCAGACGCAATCAGGTATCTTATTAGAATACATAAAAAGTGTATCTAAAAGTCAGTGCTAAATATGATCTTAGTCTGATTCAAAATGTCGATATCACTTAAAAATTCATAACCAGGCAGTGATTACGCCTTGGCCCTGGTCATAAAGTTTTAGAAGGCCAAAAATCATCTTACAGTTCCTCATAAACCTGATGTTCCGCCATGAAAACAGAATTTGCTCTTTCAGAACCTCAGAAAGGCAGCTGCACCTAGAACAGCAGACATGCTTAATAAAGCGCATTTAATGTCACTGTAGAAGGCAGAGATTGGCTGAGAGGTTCAATGTTTCAATAAGATATAATAATAGTACAATTAAATATTTGAAAAGTTAGGAAACATGTAAATCTGGGGTTAAAAAAAGGCTCATGCTGATTTCGATGATCAAATAAAGGCAGGATTAAAATTTTACATTAAACAACTTGAATCAGAAAAGCAAAAACGAATGCTATTGTATTTAAATTACGCGGGATCGAAATGCATGGTTTCATGTATTCGTAAACTTTTACTATAAATGCATTGGAGAACTATTTGGCGATTTAAAGAAGTTTGGGAAACACTCTGGCAAATAAATATGTAATCTATAGATATTATAAAGAAACTTTAAAATATTAGATCTAGAAATAATCTATAAAATATATGTTACGAATCGATCCAGTGTTAAGAATGCATAAAATATATGTAATATTATGTTATATAAATTAATTTCTTTATTTTTCATTTCATAAAACTGTTAAACATATTTTTTCCGTTTGTTGATCCTATTCACTTTGACTAGTTTTTTATTGTCTTACATTTACCTTGATAAATACGATAATTATCATTTGAAATGTATACTAAAATCATAGAACTTTATAAGATAAATAAACCAAAAACATGGTTACCTAGATTTTTATGAGGTAATTTATATTATTCTTTTTTATATACATGTGTTGAAATGCTTTGCCAATATTTAAGTAAACATCCGTTTTATTACAGGCTCGTACCTGTTAATTGCATACATAACATTTACACGAAAACACATATAAAACATATTTTAGAGTTATACCTTGTCACCGATCAAACCTGGTGGTCCTGGAGGACCCGGCAGACCGGGAGAACCTGGTAAACCATCACGGCCGGGAAAACCAGGCAGTCCTCGCGGACCCGGCTCGCCTTTGTCACCTAAAAATAAAAGCACATATATTTTGTTGTTATAATGTCACTAAGCAGAAAACTTTAAAAATTAAATTTGAAAAAAAAACCGAAAGTCTTTGGGCGTAATATAAAATCTGACAAGTCTTCATATTTTATATTACAGCCAAACTGGCGTTTCTTTCATATACAGACACATACACGTTTCGAGAGCATTTGGGCTAATGCCGCATTTTGCTAAAATATTTAAAAATGGCATATTTTTAGAATTTTTAATAGACAGTCTGGAGATAATATCTTATTCTGTACAGTTTTGCAACTGCTTGCTTTGAAATTATTTTTTTAATCAAAAATTCGTTAAAAGTTTAAAAAATATGAAATAGACAATAAAACAAATTCCAAATTCGGGGTTCCAGGTGCACATATGCGTGTGCAGGACAACAAATTTGATGATATCGTTGTACTAAGTACCGCTGTGTTTTCACAATGCAAGGAAATATACACACATTCATGTATAATCTTCATTATTTAGTTTCTTTATTTCTTTTTAGTTTCTTTATTTATTATTTAGTTTTTCCTTTCCGATAATATTTGGTGGCAAAATTTGAAAAAAAATTCGGACATCTTAAATGACTCGATGCAAAATGCAGTTTTGAGAGTTGCAGTTTCGTTTTGTTAGTCCTTCTGGGCTAACAAAAAAAATTCATGAAAACAGGTTTAATTTTCATTATTTCTAGGAACCTGTAATCAATTAACAGAAACGACTTTGATCAAAGGTAAGTAAAAACATCTTATGTTTCAAACAGTATGTACTTTAAAGCAAAAACACTAACACGACCAGCCTAATAAGATATTAGTTTTCCACCTGTCGCGAAATAAGGTGAAATTAACAAAAGAGCCTTAAGTATTTTAGGTGAGTCGTTATGTATCAAAATGTTCAACACCATACACATTTTCAATTGGAATGAAATTCAGGGATTCACATAATTCAAAGGAAAGTAAAGAATATGAAACTCAATGTTTTGTTTTCGGGAAACACTGCGCAAAAATTAATTCTTCAAATCCTTATCAAATAAGTTGGGCAATATGATATAACACTGATGGAAGGTTCATCTAAAGAGGTAAAATCGTTTCTCTGGGAAAACTATATACGCGATGTTTGGAATGAGATGAAAGTGGCAGACGCTAAAGTAGATATCATATGAATGACTGGTTACAGGAATTTCCAGTAACTCTGACGTATTATATTTAATAGATATATTTTTGTTCCGTAGTGCATCCCAGTGTTAACACTTTCACAGGTAGATGGTGCATATGTATTCAGTATCAAAATGATCAAAGGGAATGAATGACATCTATCAGACCAAATGATATACTACCAGTTATACAGAATCCAATTTTAATGACTTCTTACACGCTGTTGGCACATTCTTTGTAACCAAATAATCTTCATACATTTTCAATTTCATTCGTCCAGTTCTAAATAAAAATTTCTCATAATAAAATTCGTATAAAATTGAGAGAGGCGGCAGCCCAGCCAACGCAAAGACGGCCTCGGTAGGGACCGTTCTAAGACATCGGGTTAAAGCTAATCTCCAAGCTCTGAATACCGTCTAACTTCATCCGTAATCTAACCAGCTCCCCTGCCCTGGATCCCCAGGCTCCAATTCAAACAAGCCTTATTATGGATTAAAAATACCTTGTTTATACCCACATCTGTAAATATTTACACTGACTGTCTGTCACTTCTCCATGCGCTCTCCCGCCTCAGACAAATTCCAAGTCCTATTAATTGTCGAAATTAAGAGTCATTTAGAAACTTTGAGTTCAGATTTAAAATATTAAGCTACATTGGGTTAAAGTCCATATAGGCTTTATTGGTAATGAGAGGGCCGACAGCCTGGCCAAGCAGGCAGTATCAAATGTCAATGCAATGGATATTGAATTAACAGGCTCGAAGAAAAAATGCTGTTCGAAAAATGAAAGAGTTTTACATTAACAAATGAAAAATACAGTGGATATCTTCACCTAAAAGCAAAAGATTTATGGAACTAAATTAAAATCACGAATAAAATAAAATGTGCGAACAATATTGACATTAATCAGGTTTTTAACTGGATATAGTAGGTTTCCGCTTTATTTCAACCGATTTAATCAGCAGGAAAATAAACTGTATAATAGTTGTCAGGTTGATGGTGATGCTAGGCATTTTGTGGTTGATTGTAGTTTAACAGCCCCTATTAGACAGAGTTTTAACATTACTGATTTTAATGTAAGTGCCATTAATTTTAAAGTTTTTAAATCTTATACCATTGCTCTAATGAAGTTTATCAATGAAAATAGGGCGCTTGTAGGAGTCTTCTGTTAAAATTGAATTCTGTATTTATATGTTTTTTAGATATCTGTGGTGTTCTATGTTGTGAATTTGTGATTGTGGTTTGTGTTTTTGTTTGTTTGTTTGTAATTTTGTGTTAGATGTACTTATTTATTTTTAATTTAGTATTTTTTTTTGTTTTTTTTGTTGTTCTTTGGGGTTGGCTGGGTTGCTGGCTGCCATCGTTTGTGAGAGACGGGGCCCCTTCTTTTGAGCTATGGGGACACTGGTGTCCAGGTGGGCTGAAGGGAGCCTCCAATTCTTACAAAATTTACGCTGTTGGCACCTTTCACAATAAATCAAAGCTGGTATGGCTGCTACGCTTCAGCAGGAAACCTGTATACAAGTGATATGAAAATTATTCTACCAACATTAACACTAACGACGCTAAAATGGCATGGCATTCCTTCTTTTGGCTGGTACTAGATGACCCAGACTTCTAGCATTGATAAATCAATGCAAAGTTTACATCATACCATCCTAATTCATGGTTTTAACTAGCTCGGATTATATGTTGCAAGTAATAAATTCTCCGCAAATTTGATGCCTTAGAAAGGGTATGTTTCATTGTCTAATTATAATGATTTGGCATATCTCATCTACAGAATTATAATGATTTGGTATTTGCGATAACACTGACTAACAGAGCTCACTAACAGCATAAGTTCTAACTCACTAGGTTTATTTTATTTATTTATTTTTAAATAGACCTTTATGTGACACATGTAACTGTTTGCTTGAACAGGATTTTATCTGTATCAATACTGGGCGATCGTATTGATTGTATTATTTGACACACACGGTTAGCTAATAATTATTATTGATAAAATTTCAATTAAAAGCTAAGTTATTTATACTTAAATTTACCTATTTAAGGTAAATCAGGAAAACGTTATAAGGAAAGTTTTGCTAAATCATAATTTAAACAAGTGAGTAAAACCGCAGTAAATGAAATGCAGTAACATGAAAGTAATAAAATCAGTAACATGGAAAGAATCAGGAAAGCACCTTTATCGCCTACTAGCAGATCAGGAGGAATAACCGCTGGGGGTCCTGGGGCTCCTTTTTCTCCATCACGTCCTGGAATACCAGGGGAACCCTAGAGAGAAATAAAGCGGCAATCAATAATTTAAAATATTTTTAGAAAAAAATTATATAATAGCAGAAAGTATTGCACCGCATACTTAGAGCAAATAATAAAATGTTGAAAGTAAGGATGAATTTCTTCAGATCGTAGTTGTAGAGAAGACAACAAAAATGTAAAAAATCATCTTTTTCAATATTATATTATATATAAGTAAATAATAACATAAAATGAAACAAAACTGAAATTACCATTCTCGCGAAAATTTATATTACTCTGATGATTACTAAATAATAATGGAAAATAGGAAACATCATTAGAAACCACAAAAATTTTAATTTCTGATCTCATTAATATATCTATCATAGTCATACTTACTGCATTAATGACATTCAGAGTACTCCGAATAATTTGCATTATAAAGTTCTAGTTTATGTACGTGTCCTAGGCTACTCGAACTGTAGTGAAGAGTCTAACAACTATTCGCTGGTCTTCTTACAAGTATAAGGATGAGTCTAAAGAAGAGTTAATTCAGAGAAGTCTTATTCACTCGCAGAAATTATACAGTCGGCCCTTTCTCGAGCTCATGTACAAGCCTTCCTACCAAAACAGCTTCATTGTAGTTGCGTAAAAGAAGTATCGTAACACGTGAACAGCAAAATGTCGCGTTAACTGTAAATTACTCCAAATTTGAAGCACGAGTAATATCACGATTTCTGAGAGCAAAACATTTTAATTATTCTGAGATTCACTGTGAAATTATGGAAGTAGAGCGAAAGTATTTTAACATTCAACCATAGTCAAATAGTACCATGAGTTTGACAAGACTGCACAGATTTGATTGGTGCTAACAGGCAAGACAAGAAGGGCTATAAACGTCGATTAATGACGAACGCGCTGGAGGTTGATGAAACGATTCACAGCAATCGCTGAGTGGCAGTCTCAGAAACTTCACAAATATTCGCTGCGCAACAACAATTTCCTACCGATGAACACGTGCAAAAAGATGTTCTACGATAACTCCATAACCAAAGAACAGATTTCTCTCGATAGGGAATTGAAAGATTGGTTGAAAATTCAGACGAGTGTTCTAAGAAAGTGGGAAACTATGTTGAAAATAAATGTTATATTGTTTGTTATACTGCATTGTAAATGTGCTTTTCAATTGGGACGCTTCCTTGACTTACAATAATCAAACGTAACTTACTTTTAGATTTTTTTTATTCCCTAAATACTTGGAATTCACATAAGAATTTTGTTTAAAATTTACTTATTTCACTCCTAAACATTAAAAAGAAAAGAGTTTTACTTCATCTCCGGGTAATCCTGGAAAGCCTTGGGGTCCATCATCGCCTTTCGCTCCTGGAAATCCTGGTTGTCCAACTTCTCCTCTTAGACCTTGCAAACCTGGCAACCCATCAAGACCTCTTTCTCCTTTTTCTCCTTTTGTGCCTGGAGCGCAAGCAAAGCAACTTCCACCAGTCTCACCTGGAAAAAAGCATTTAATGTGAGAAATTTATGATATCTGAAAGTTATTTTTCAATGAATTTCTCCTAAAGGTCGTATATTTTGGTTGTCTGTTATCAAATTATCCAGCTTCCGAATCATTCATGTCCTATCGCTAAATTACTAGAAATCATAATGATGAAAAATAGAGGTGATAAAAAAGAATTGTAATGAATGTGAGTATAAAAACTATTTATAAAATTGCATTTATATTACTGCATTGCATTAACACGCTTACACTTGCTTACTTAGCCTGCAACAATTGATTGTATTATTTGTATTATTGTAATTGATTGTATTATTGTATTCATTTTCCAATAGTAAGTTTTATTTCCTTGTACGAAGTAAAAAGGAAGTATTGTAATCGCGAAAAGTTTCAGGCAGCATATTTCAACGAAAATATCCCATTTTGACCCCTTTCAAATGCAATTTAACGATGTATTTCCGTGATATCTGTATGTAAGGACAGAATAAAACACTCTTTTCCTCCAAAAAAATTATAAAACTGCTTTAAAACGAATTCTGAAGAGATTTTTTCGTGGCGTCTGTACGAACGTATGTACGTAAGTATCTCGCATAACTCAAAAACGAGTAGCCTCAGAAAGTTGAAATTTTGTATATAGGACTGCTATAACATGTAGATGTACACCTCGTATTTTGGTTGCAATCGGCCGCACCAAACGTATATATAGCCACTCTGTTACCCGGCTCAATGATCTCAGTTTCTTTACTCTTATATGTTTGTAAATTGTACATTTTTTGCTTTAAAATGATTGAATTATGTTGTTCTTATCTTCCGGTTAAGGTTTTATGCCTTTAGTAATCTGTGTTGGCAATATTTTTAGAATTATCAACAATTTTAAAGTTGTTTAAGTGCCGCTAAGCCTAATAATTTCCTTGATGGCGGCTATTGCTTGTTTAACATTTGAAACAGCAGACTCGTGGATTTGTTGCTAATCTAGAGAAACTTAACTTCGCAACAACAAAGATAACGCCTTCATTTATTATTGCCAATTAAATCATGCTTTGTGAAAAACTGTTTCTTTTTTTTGTTTTGTTTGCTTAATTTCTTTTATACATTATTCTAGCTTTATTATAGTATTTTAATAGAACATGTGGCAACGATTAGATAATTCTTTAAATGATATAAAGTTTGTGCATTCTGAGTTATAATATGAACGAAATATTCTGAGTTATAATATGAACGAAACTGTTAAGTAAACCTAGCGCCAGAGTGTCGCTATGGTAAACAAAGTGAATTTTAAAGAATGCATTTATTCTATTGTGGTTTATGCGCTGTGGGCGAAGTAGGTTTAATTCAATCTAGTAAGTTTAAATGAAATGCAAGAAAAAATGTGTATAATTTAATATTCCGTACAAGGAAGTCATGTGGTGTACAAATCAGATTTTTTTAAATAAAATCGCATGACTAGAAGAGGTTAAAATGACATATTTTTTTTCCTGCTAACTTCTGAACTAAAACCAGAAATGCAATTTTTTTTTCCAGGGTAATAGTAAGTTTAGATAATCTTCATTTTCCATTAGTAAGTTTAGATAATTTTCATCGGAGGGTAGAAGGTTGGCTTTGGAGATTGTTGGCGACATTTTGACACCAACATGTTTCTTGTTTCAATAATAAAACAAGTTACCTTTTTCATTAATTATTGCGATATAAATATTTCGTTAAATGTCGCCAACGTCAATCTTTCCTAACTGAAGATTATTGTTTCCCTTGCACTCAGATCAAGGTTACTTATGGAATTACGTATTAATCTTATTAATGAAGATACATTAAATTAATAAGCATGGAGAATAAAAAGAATCTCTAACTATTCGCTTTTTAAATGAAATGAGAAATATGTCACTATTCCTAGCAAAGTATATCCTTTTCATTCCTTCGAAATATTTTCGTTTGCTATTCATATAAATTTTGCTTTCATTTTCTTCCGTATGGAGCACTTTATACCAATAATATATAATAATATTATATTTTAGTACTAAATTATTTATCTGTTGACACAGATCGTGCCGCATTTCGTTGGCATAAAAGTAAATTTTCTTATGGAGTAAATAAGCTTATTATTCTAACTGAACCACAGGAAAAGTAGAAGCCAGGTTTCACACTTTTCTGTACCATGTTTGGCATTTTACTACACTATTTCACCTTTCTTTCTATATGTTAAAAAAGAACTTCTTAAATTTTATTTATTATTTTTGTTTATATTTATAACTTTTACTACGATCCTAGTTACTCATTGTATGGAATAATTAATAAATTTATTTATAGTTGTTATCACACGTGCAATATTAAAAAGTTAAAGTACGAATCATTATTTCATTTATGAACTTTAAATATTAATTAATATTTTTAACAGCTGTTGGATCACGTACAGTTCTTTTCTATCATATGTTAATTTTAACACAGAAATTTCCTTTTATGTGAGTTTAATTATTAATCATACATTCTATCCACTTCTTCTACCTTTGTAAATTTTATGTTTGTATAAAACATCTGTTATTAAAATAAAAATTTAAGAAATGAGAAAGTAAAGTTTTTGCTTCCATCGGGAAAGAGATTTCTTAGTTTTTAGCTGTTCGTAGATGACTGCTTTGTCTGCAAGGATACTAAAGCTGCTGATTGCTACTTCTTTTAATTTCTTCGCAATCGAAGCGCGGTGATAACAATATAAAAGTTTTAGAAATCAGGCTGAAAATAATAAATTTCCCTGTGTTTTCAGAGAGAGCCTTACTGTGCACATGGTGAAATATTTAGTACGCTAAAGATTAAGCACCTTTTATTCCTGGTACTCCAGGTAAACCTGGTCGTCCTGGAATTCCTGTAAATCCTCTTTCACCTTTTGGGCCGGGTGCACCTGGCAGACCTGGAATGCCTTCTACTGTATCACCGGGAGCACCTAGTGGATAAAAGATAATGTTAGTTATCAAATTTTATTAACGAAATTTCATATTTTCAGAAGAAACATAAATGTTTTAGTACATGGTAATCTTGTATTTGATTAAAATATAACATTATATGACATTCTAAAGATGACACAAATTAACCTTCTAACCATTCTGAACCTCTTTACCCTCACAGAACACCTGAAATAATACTCAGGTCTCGGAGAATTCTTACATATAAAAAATTGTTATTAAAGAACCCCATTAATCACCGTTTATAAGCTTCTTTATGATTGTTCCTAGTGAAATCTTAGCAGCTTCTTGCAAAACATTAAGGATCCAGCGAATGTCGAATAAGAAATGTTGCTCTAATTAAATGCGCAAAATTTGTTGCATTTTTTGCAAACGAAATGAATAACGGTAACATTAATACAAAAGAACTTTAAACTAATGCTTAAATAATTTGGAGTAACTAATTTACAGTGTAGTATACCTCGCTCTCCTTTAGGTCCGAGCTCTCCTTTCTGACCGGGCAATCCATCAAGACCAGGGCTGCCATCCAAACCTTTTGGACCTTGAATAGATAGTCCTGGACTTCCTTTCGGCCCAGGCTCACCTTTAGGCCCTGGTGCTCCAGGTAAACCATTAGCGCCGGGCAAACCTTCAAGTCCAGCTAAACCAGTATCACCCTTTTCACCTTTGAAGCCAGGTGGACCTTCTCTTCCAGGTAATCCAGGGAGTCCTGGTCCTCCAGGAGGACCTTGTGGACCTCTTGGACCAATTTCACCTATAACAAGACAATTTTAGGTTAAATTCATAGTAAATAAATCGAAAGTAATTACAATATCTTTACAGGCTAAGTGTTAAATAATAAATTCGAGTACATTAAAGGAAAATAATTATTATGCAGAAGCTTTGCATTCGTATTAAGAGCATCCAGGGTTTGAAACAAGTATGGAATGTTCTAGAGTGTACACAGCGAAAAGTATAAACTTTTAGTAGCATTCGTACTCTCAAATTGAATTATTCTCCTCCATAATTATCTAAAAATTCCTTTATGTTAAAGGAACACTTTTCTTTTTTAAATCTTTAGTAAAATTTGTAATACTGTGAAGACTGTTTTTCAATAAGTTACATCATTAAACGTTTCTACAAAGCCTCTTTAGTAATGAAAGGTTGATATTTTGCTTTAATAAAAGACGATTATTATTATTACATTCCATATATTAGAAAAACAATTTGATAGCTTAATCAAAATGTTGCAAAATTTCCACTTTTTATGCTAGATTCGCAATAATTATCTAAATATTTTTAATTTATGTTTCTCTTTCGAGGAAATATTTTTGACAGTTTCAGTTTCATATTTATTTATATATGAGAATAAAATCATCATTTAATAGAATATGATAATATATTGCCTTCCGAAAATGGGTACTTATGTAAATAGTATTAAATCATACGTTTTAAATTATTACAGCTGAAGATTTCTTTTTTATGGATACTGTAATTTTAACAAAAAAATAGGTCGCAGTTAAAGGTCAAATACTTTCATGATAAAAATATAAACGAGTTCTTTAAAATTTTTAAAACGAATCTTCCGTCTCCTAAACTGAAAATTACATGGCGATAGTTTTCATTTTATTCATTATGAATCTTTCTATGTAGCAGGAAACAATTTATTATTGTCTATTTAATAACTTGGATAGGCTGCCATATTATCAGAAAATCATATGCAGATATTTTCAAATAAGAATGACAACAATAGTAAACAATTTTACCTGGTGTTCCATCCGTTCCTGGGTACCCTTGTGGACCTGTAATACCAGGAGGTCCTTGTGGTCCTGGTGGTCCCGCTCTTCCTTCTATACCCTGCAAAACCAAGAAACAATTCAAATAAATATTTAACCGTATGCCTTGGAGCAGCTCATTACTAGAACTGAATGTAAGTTCCACAATCAGCTAAAATAAAAGAATTGTCATAACTCACGCCTGGAGGTCCTGGTGGTCCTGGTAAACCTCGTGGTCCAGGTGATCCTGGTATTCCGCTTTCTCCCTTTATTCCAGGAAAACCATCTAAGCCAGGAAGTCCATCATCTCCGCGATCACCCTATAAATATTGAATAATATTCCTACTTTTGAACAAATAAAATACATCTATCATACAAGTAATATGTGTTCATGAACAATTTTTGAAAAATATAATGACGGAGACATATATAGGAAGAGATATATATAATGACAGAGACATATAAGACGGTCCAACAAAAGGCGGAGAAAAGTACTCGAAACCGACTACAAAAGTAATTTTGGCATATTAATAAACTCTACCATTAACATAGCTGCTACATAACTCAGAAAACATATCGTTTCCCTGACTATTAAGAAAAAAGTGAACATAAAGGGGAAATTTGCTGTAACATTTCAGCGAATTGCTGTTTTATGTGACCTCCCATAATGAAAAAACCATCACCAATGTTTTCCGCATTCACACAGGAAGCGTGTTATTCTTTTCTATATTAAACTTCCAGTTGTTGAAGTTAGCAAGTCACACATTAGTCTTGTTTAATGTTTCAGTTTGCTGTCACTAATACAAACTTAACATGATAAAGCTTTGTGGAGAACCTCTTGGATAGTGTTCTATCAGAAATGAATAGCATTAAATTAATTTGAAACAGATATATTCTGAGATAATTTGTTAGGATGTGCGCGTAATATAATTACAACGCGTGGTTTCCTAATCTGCAATTGAATAACGTTATAAAAACTGCTGCAGCTTTTAATACATCATGCGTAGTTAACAGCAGATGTAATGTGTTTGGAGCGTTATAAAGCGTTTATCGATTTATCGATTTTACCGGTTAAACTTCTCAGTGTATTTCTGAAATGTATAAGATTACATTTGAAACCGCACTGTTTAAATTCTGGTCTGTTAAATTTTTATTTAATAATTTCTAATTTATTTTCATAGAAAGATTCTTTGTCAAAATTTGTTGCATCAATTTTTAATTGTATAGCTCCATTCCACTTCCTTGATGTAAGTGCTACAATATTTGGAGTACTATTTAACCAGAGGAGCTAAATTTAACAAAAATTTGCTTTGACCAGAAAACCTCTAATAGCAATATGCTAAATATTTAACCCAGTAGATTGTTTCCTTAAAGTTTAATACTAAATTCTATTTTGAAATAAATTGTGTGAACAATAACGTACCTTAAATCCTAATACACCGGGCGGTCCAGGAAAGCCATCTTTACCCTAAAAAAAAAATAATTAATGTAAAACTTTTATAAGTAACGGCGCATACGTTATTAGGATCAAAGAGGATTTTTCACAGTTGTTATAACTTTTGACAATCATGTTTTATACTAAAGCAAATCAAACACTTACTCTAGGTCCAGGATACCCAGGAAGTCCTTTTTCACCTTTCATTCCAATGTCTCCAGGAGGACCCTATTTAAATAAACAATAAATATTTAGGAAAAGAATTCTCGAAATGTCAAAAGCAATGTAAATTGACTTTTAAAATAAAAGTATTTTTTAGCGATCCCCCAAAAGATAAGTACAAAATCTTGTTTTCTTGCGTATATGTTTTCCTAGTCTAATGTAAAAGTCATGTACACATAAACTAGTTATTTTCGATGTTTCTTTTTTTAATTATTTGCATTTCTGGACGATTTAAAATTCGAAATAATAGCATTTGCCTCAACGCATCAATTCTGTCAAGCAAGAATGTTAAGTTTAATAAATGGATTTTGTTTTAATCCTTCTTTTTAACTTACCCTCACTCTCGAAATACGAAGATTTAATTAGCATTTGATAACGCAAGCAGTAAGTTAATTTAATTCAGATTGTAGCAAATTATCATATACTGAACATCTATAGCTGGGCCTACTACTACGTGCATGTAATTAGATTCGTTAATATTAATCTGCGCGCGTTAAAATTTTATATTTTAACTCAGTTTATGTTACTCATTTATGAGCCCAATGAACACTTAATCGTTTTTAAATGCTTCTATTTTGTGTCTATGCATTAAAAATTAGTGAAGCTTAGCTTCGACAATAGCTCGAAAAGAGAGAGAGAGAAGCAAAATTTATTTACTTTATTCAGTTAAGCGAGATGTGGCTGCTACTTAAAAAGGCTTTCAAGGTGAAGACCTAAGAAGATTTTATAATTGCATACTGACACTTCATTACGTTATAAAGTTTGCGTGAATATTTTTTGGGGGAAATTTATGGAATAATTGTTAAAACTTGTTGTTTCTGTGTATTTATTTTAATTATTTCTCGATAGTATTTTATTATAATTTTGTGAATGTATTTCTATAAATTTGTGGCTAACAACTGTACTTTTTAGTATTAACTGGTTTATTAGTTATAGTATATGTATATACACGTCGGAAATTTGTATAAACAGCACACGCAAAACCAGAAATATAGGCTGTTAAATACTATCTGTGCTGGACGATAAAATTGCCATTAAGGAAATGATATTTGGCAATTTCTGCCCAAATTTGGCACTGTTTGAAATTTTTTTTTCCAAAAGGAGTTTTTATAAACAAAGGTTCAGTTTGATACCGTTCATTTCTTTCAGCATCTGCTTAGTGATACTATATAAGAACACTTAGTCTTCAGTTTGAGTCCAAATGTTCTGAGCTTTTAGCTTTTGCTCAAGCAGAACATCTACAATTCTTTGCAGTCTGAATTCTAACCTGAAATTATTCAACATCAAAAGAAATATACTATATATTCGTATGATCAAATATGCCAGATTTGATTTTGTTTTAATGAGGATTATAGTATTATTTCTCGGTACAACTGATTCTGTATTTCACTGTATTTTTGAATTAACTAGCTATTACAACAGAAATTCAAGTTGCACTGTTCATCCGTCCTACGTATTCAGTAGATATATAAAGAAACGCCATGCATGTGACACTATTTTAAATATGGCAGATGATATTTTTGCGATAAGTTTTATTAAATGGCAATAATAATAATAAAATATCTAAAGCATAATTTTATATACAAATGTTAGACGATAAGATTTTATATTCTTTCTTCCTTTTTATATTTGATAACAATTCACAGACTGAAAATGTTTCATTATTTTAGTGCGCTAAAGTGATGAGTAAATCGTCTGCGCCCCAATAAAGAAACTCAACAGAACTGCTATCGTGTAAAGATTCTGAAATATTTTCAAAAATACAGACTCACCATCACACCAGCTATGCCATCGAATCCTCTGTCTCCTCTTTCTCCGGATTCTCCCTTAGAAAACAAATGGTTTATAAGAATTTATTCCCATAATGTTTTTAAATTAAAATAGTCTAAATATGAAATAAGCTTTTTATATTGTAAACAAGTTTCAGTTGATGCTTTAATATGGGTAACATTTATTTAAAAATTTATCTTACTATTAAATTATTAATTATTATTATTAGTCCAAAGGGGCTTTGTTCCTGAAGAACTAATGTTTTCGTTTTGCGATTTTGCGTTGAATCACTATAAATGTCCGTTTTACTTCTCAAACTGTTGCCACCCAAAGTTAGAGTCCTGCATTATATTTTAAGAAATTAAATAATGAAAAATATGCATAAATATATGTATATTTCTCGCATTGTGATAAAACAACGGTACATACAGCCATCGAATTTTGAATGACGTAATCCTCCTACGAATATGGGCATGTGGAAGACCAAATTTGAAATATGGAATTTATTTTATTATCGATTTCATATTTTCTAAAACTTTAACGAATTTTTGAGTAACAAACTCAACGATTTAAAAGCGAGCAATGGCAACACTGTACGTGAAAAAAAAAAAAAGACCTTTTTATCTCCAGCGTGCGGAACTGTGTATCGGAAATTCTAAAGATAGCTAGCTCACTTTAAAATTATTTTGCGATATTGCTATTGAACTGAATTTTATGGTTTAAGTGCAGAGAACATGATATTTAATAAAAAAGGTAACACGCAAAAAGTTAAAAAAACGCCCCTTTGGACATAATTTAAAATCTGGAAACTTTCCGATTTTTTTTATTATTATTTAAAATTTCTGAGAATTTATATACTTTAAAAAAACTAAAGATTGTAATAAGAGATAAGTGACAGGATGAAAAAAAAGGAATATTCATTGAAGTTTTGTAAATCTACTGCTGTAAGAGCTAATACTAATGCAAGCATGCTATAAAGATGTTTTATATTAAGTAGTATTATATGAACAGTTTGAAGGTTTTATAAAGTTAACTTTTATTTTTAAGAGAAAAATTCTTAATTCCGAGGTTATGTGAAGGGAGACGTCGTAAAATAAGGTATGGCAATACTACAGAAATACCAATTCTTCATGCTGAGACCAGTATAGTCTCATAAAAAGCAGTCTAATATTAACCTTCTCATCGTTACGGGCTTAAAATTTCGTATTACATTTATGACTTTCTTATTCATTACACATGAAAATTTATACCAGCTTTTAATTTACCCGATTTCGGGTTAAATGCATAGTGGGAGAAAACGAATCAAGATACAAAATGAGAGAGTTATTTTTTAATTATAACTAAGAAAATGCAATTTATTCATGACATTTTGAAGAACTTTAAATTTCAGAGCTAAACCCGTAACGCTCAGATGAAAAAGCTTAAAATTTACTCACGTTATGCTGTTTGCCGTTGCTTATTATTAGTCTCTTTAGATTTAGTTCTTCAGGCTGTTCTTTTATTACATTTAGTCTCGTATTAGTTGGTAAACAGATTACGAGTGTTCGCACACAGGCACGTATTTAGAGGTAATTTAAAAAGACACGCATTTCATAATAGATTTTTCTAATATTACTATCCGTTTTCTATTTCATTAATTCCACATTCCTGGCAGTATGCAGTGTTAGTAGCGTTCAAGAATAGAGGCATCTCATCTTATAGTTTCAATAAGCTAAATCGGCTTAATGCATGGTGGCTCCGTGTTTCTTCCCATATACAACGTAAAAGTGGAGCAATTTTCTTCAGAAAGCCTGGGATTCACAGAAGATACACCTGGGAAAGGTGTATCTTCTGTGAGGAATGCGATGCATTTATATTAGTCCTTCTCTGTTTTGCACATGATATGTGATGCACAGAACCGATCTAAATGTTGTATGTTTATTCTTCATACATAATACAGACTCGTTAAAATTTTAAATATCTAAATTTCTTTCAAGGTCTGAAATTTTAACATTCTTTCAACTAAAATGTAATAGTCTGAATGTGTTTTCTTCTATTGTTATTACCGAAGAACCAAAGATATGGCTGTGTTAAGTACATTAAATAATAGATCAATGCATAGTTAAAAAGGATCTATTTAAAAAATTACTCTTCATTTATTATTTATTAAAATTGTTTATAAAAATACTTATTTGGATAACAATTTTAAATGCATAATTTAAAACTTTTTAATTGGTTAATTTATTATGGGAAGGTAATCAAAGGTTATTTGCAAAGAATAGGTAAGCCTCCATGAACGATTGTTTAACAGAAAATCGGTCATATTCATAATACTAACAGAAAGAAACCACAAATACCCCATGCAGTCAGCTCCAGCTTAGGCGGGAAACATACGCAGGAGAAATTGTCAGTGTTCGGCGGTCTTATCTTAGTGTTCGGCGATCTTATATCTTATGTAATGGAAGAGTATAATGTACAAATAAATTGAATATTATAAATCACATAATAATAAAGTGTTCTGTAACATGCAGTAACATATAAATCATAAACACATAATGAACTCTGTCTACTAGAACAAAGTATGTTTTTAGATCGTAGCTATTAGCGCAGTTGCTAAACTGCAAGGATAACAGCGCACCATATACACTTTATAACAAAAATTCGACGCACCAAGAAGGATCATCCGATTGCTTTGAAATTTCGCATGCATAAATGTTTTTACCAAATATGCAAATGATTAAAATTTGGTGTCCAATGAATAGTGCGATCTCCAGCGCATTGGAACTGCGCATCTAGCATATGTATATAAGGAGCTGTTCTTGAACTGTTGTTAAAAATTTTTGTTGCTTTGCAATTTAGTATACCTTTCAACGACTTAAAGAAATGCCTCGCCGCAGGAGTCGAGCTCATTACGAGCAACTGTCAGAGTTTGAAAGAGATCGTATCATTGAATTGAAAAACTCAGGTTGGGCAAATCGGAGAAGCGCTCGTCATATGAGTCGAAGCGATGCGGCGATTAGAAGATGCTGGCAAAAATGGGTGGACAATGACAGATTTCATAGCCTCCATGAACGATTGTTTAACAGAAAATCGGAAAAGGCCACAATACATCGGAAGGACAGAGTGATTGTCAGATCAGCTGTCACAGCGCCTGATTCATCGCTATCAACCATCAGACGTGCGACCCGCACACAAGTCTCCACCATGGCCATTCACAGACGGCTGATAGAGCGAAATCGACTCTCGTACTGACCGTTACGCCACCTTCCACTCATGCCTGCGCATTGTCGAGCCAGATTACAGTGGTGCTTGCCTCGATCAGGTTGGAATGATGCTGACTGCGGAAGTATAGTCTTTAGCGACGAATCCCGCTTTCAACTGTGTCATGACGATCATCGAAGACATCCCTTGAGACGCCCAGATCAGCGTGCCGATCCTGCTTTCACTTTTGCACGCCACACAGGCCCTCAACCAGGAGTTATGTTCTGGGGTGCCATTTCCTTTGATAGCCGAACCCCTTTGGTTGTCATTAGAAGCACACTTACAGCACAGCGGTACGTCGACGATATTCTGAGACCTGTTTTGCTACCGTTCCCTTTGCAGTACCCTGGCCTAATTTTTCAGCAAGATAATGCCAGACCACATACGGTAGGTGTTGCTATGAGCTGTCTTAAAACTTGTCAAAACACTGCCTTGGCCAGCCCGATCGTCAGATATCTCTCTTCCATCGAGCATGTCTGGGATATGATGGGAAGGCGACTGCATCTACCAGGGAATGTTGATGACCCAGCCCAACAATGGGAGCAAACTTGCAAGAAATACCGCAGGAGACAATCCGAGAGCTTTATCAGTCTATGCCACGCCGTGTGGCAGCATGCATCCAGGCTAGAGGTGGGTCAATACCTTATTGAGCTCGTTACTTTGTAACTATGTAACTCGGAAATAAATCATTAAATTGTTCTGAATTTTAATCATTTTCTATTCTGTACACATTCTTCCTATCCACCAATTTTTATCTCCATCGGACAACTCTTTCTTGGTGAGTGGATTTTTTTTATTATACACAAAACATATAAAATTTTCATTTCTTATGTTCTGTACTTCATTTGTGACTCACATGTATTTTGGCGCTTTTAGACTTCAAAATCTTATGAAGAATTCTGAAATGCCACACACTTTGACTAAGCAAGAAAATGCAAATGGAAAGTATGGTTAATTTTTGCAAAAATAGCTATATATGCAATGCTTTCCATGGGACATCTTAATTTTTCTGCCAGAAACTGCCAGATCTATAATATAATTTTAATACAATAGTCCCCTAATTTAATTCAAACGCTACACAGGAATTAACAAAAAGATTTTCAATTCTATTAAGTTAAACTGTCCTACGCGGCAGCGAAAAGTAACAGAGAATTGTGGTGAGTCCTTAATTACAACCTAGAGTCCAAAATTACATTGGTTACCTTCTGTAACCATAAAAAAACGCTAATTTCATACGAAACAAAAGCAAAAGTTTAATCATACATATTTTAAGTAGTTTCCCTTGATTTCCATACCTTGGGTCAATAAAATGAGTACCAAGTTCTCTTGGGGACTAAACATTGAGGGTCTTGCGACAAGCTGACCACTTGTTCAGGGCATATGCTTACGTATCCCGGGGCCCACGGTCAAGAAAGCAGATTTCGGGGCACTGCAGGCCTTGTCCCTTTAGGGCTGTTTGCGCTACTGAGTTTAGTTTTAGTTTTTTTAGTTTTATTTTAAAAAGTTAACAAAATAAAAGCAACCTGATAGATGCAAAAGGATAAAAAAAGAAGCTCACATGTTACTAATTGTTAAAAAAATTAAAACATTCTTCATCAAGCAACTAAAATATATTTATATGCTGTTTAATGTGCTAACAAAATATATTAAAGTGCTTCCAGGTTTAACTTACCTTTTGACCTTTTTCCCCTCGCGGACCAGGTAAGCCAACTGTAACTCCTTTCTTTTCCAAGAAGTAGCCATCGCAAGCTCCAGGCGGTCCTGGTGGGCCAATCAAACCACGATCTCCCTAGAAACAGATAACAATGTACTCATATTTTTATTACAGATGTTACAGTAAAATACTTTTCAAAATCACGTTTATAATATAATAAACTTACATACACCATTAGAATTATTTTGAAACAGATGACGTGATAAATGTGCAATGCCCTTCCAGCAACTCGAACTCCGGACTACCGATTGCTACCCGGACGTGATTTCCAAATTACATTACGAATTGCGACGATTAGGGCGCAAGAATATTACTAGAATACTTACTAGAAGAATATATAGTAACTACAAACTTACTAGAAGAATATAGTAAAAATTGTTCAGATATAATGCTAGCCCATAATGAATTTGTTATAGGTAAGAGAATTATTGATTTTTATATATTGCCTGTCGCCGATTTCTATTAATCACAATTTTTGAAATGGTTCCTTTTTTTTAACACCATTATATGGACCCTGTTATTCACCATCAAAGTCAGTTTGGTTATCTTTCTCAAATTCGACACACGCAATCTCCAGTCAAGTCTAGCTTAAATGATTTTGTTTGCTAGTATCAAAAGTCAGTCTGCATTATTGGCATCAAAATTAAAAGGCTGGAACTTCTTAAGGGCACAGTGTATAAATTTCACCTCTGGCAAAAAGAGTAAATTTCCAAACCAGTATTTTTCAAAAAGGATGATGTTATGCCCTATATTAAATCACTGCTCAGAAGGTTTGAGGTATCAGCACAATGTTGAGGCTTTTCATAGACTCACACAAAACAAATTTCAAAGAGACCTTCTTCATAGTGGAAATGACTATTTGCCAGTGTCACTTCATACTTCGCACATGAAGGAAACATATGAAAATATGAAACATTTGCTAGGTAGCATACATTATACGAGATTTATTGCAAATATGCACTGATTTCCAAAAATTAAGGAAAAATCACAAAAATAGCGATAACTCGTTGAAAGGTGAACTAAACCGTATAAAATTTGAAAACTCATTCAAAAGTAAGCCAGTCCGTATAAAATTTGAATATGTTGTCAAACAAAAGTTGATGAGCAAAACTGCAATATGCAAATTAGTGGCGCTACAATTAGAATACATCATCTATGAGAAGTATAAAATTGCGTGTTTGAGATCAAGCCTGCAAATTTCGCGGTCATACTAAGATAAGAAATGTGAGATAGCTAATTGGTAACACTGACCTCTAGGTATCATTTTGCTCGAAGAACTCCATTGGAGAGCTACTGGGAAACTAGAGGCAGGACAAAGTCAGACAGAAGTAGCCAGATGGCTAAATGTGAGTCCCTCTGTAGTTCATAGACTTTGGCAACAGTATCTAACCACAGATTCAGCAATCAGGAGGTTCATCCAAGAACAGCCAACCACTACGACGATCGCCGATGACCGATATTTGTTGTTATGCGCTTGAAGGAATAGAACCGCATCTCCGACTCACCCCAGATCCTCCCTTTCTGCAGCCACCAGAAGTTGGTGGCAACGTCAACTGTGCGTAAAAGGTTTCACGAAGGAGGGCTTCATCTATGTTATTTTGAGCCGCCTATATTAATTTCATGCCGCCCAGGCGGTATAGTGGCTAAGGGAGCTTACTGCAATACCAAAGGACCCGGGTTCGAATCTTGAAGAAGGCATTGTTGTAATTGTCCGCCCCTTTGCCTTAATAGGAAGTAACGACAGCCCACCTATCAGGAACTTAAACAATAAAGTGGGTACTACTTCCGGCCTTAGTAGTGGCCAAGCTTAAGTCGAAGTGCCCACCAATGGAAAAAACATTTTTACGCAGTGGATCCATTAGTACATAGATTAGTATATTTTATGCCGTGAAAAATATCCTCTGAATAAAGTAAATGAGAAGTATATTAAGTATTTATTATTGACTTTATCTTTTGCCAAGAATAAATAATCAGTAAGAAGATTTGTAAATGTACAAAGAGTAGCTCTTTTTAAAATAATTCGTCTTTTGAGTACAACCATTTTACCTCAAGAAATTTTCCACTAAATTAATGCATCTGTTGTGCATTTTATTCATTTAAATCTAATATATCTGAGTACTGTATTTCATTACTATAACGTAGTTAATTTCATGATGCAGCATGTAAAACAAAAATTAAACTTTTAACCAAAATTTACAATGCAGGAAAAATTTTATGAGTATTCACAGCACTTCTGATTTAGGGTAAAACTAAGATTATGCTTATTAATCACAAATGTAGCCCTAAAATATCACGAAAGTTCTTGTACTGTTATATCATAGGATGCGATTAAATCATTTACTGAAAGTGGATCATCAACTGACAGTTCTTTCAAGCTAAAATATGTAACTTCTCAAATAAGTTAATGTGCAACTAGTAATTTATAATGAGAACAAAATATAGTGTTCTTATTCATTGCCAATAACTGTCAAATGTAAAAGTAAAAATTCTTTGCAAATGCAATTAATTAAAAAGTATCTTAATGCATTTACTTATTTAATTATCAAAGAATTGCGAATAACGTAATTTTATATGTGACCAAATGTATATATGTATATACATAAACTGAGTTTAGATCATCGAAATTATGTTACAGACTAGAATGTTTAATTTTAAATTGTTTTGATTCCTAGTTTGCTTTCAAACGGAACAGTTATAGTTTACTTCCAGTTATTTTGTATCTCAAAAATTTTCAGTACTTACTGGTTCTCCTTTTAATCCTTGGAAACCGACGCCCATATTTCCCTTTTCTCCCGGTGATCCTCGAGTTCCTTTCGGGCCCTGAAAAAAGTAAATGAAAATACTAAGTTATGTGAATCTACAGTTATAAACTCAGTAGATACACACATACATGGGCATCCATAATGTGACATGCATGTGTGAGATACAGAATACGAAAGATAAAATTTAAACTTAATTTTTTTAAAAATCATCCTTACTAATGAAGGGCTTCGCGTAGCACCAACGAACCAGTTAACCTAACCAGTATCAGGAAATTATGAATTAACTCTTGCGCTTTAATTTGGTAATGTTTTCAAATTTTGAAAATGAGTTAATTGGTCTAAAACTAAAATGATCGCACACTAGAAACTAAAAAACTGTTAAAACGTGATGTAAGACAACATGTATTATTATGCTATACTGGTGATTAAATTCTATCATAGAGCAAAAAATCGGACGGAGATTGTGACATTACAGGAGGCTGACAGGGATCCTAACCACACTACAATAACGTTTTCAGTTTGGCTGGAAAATTATCTAAAATTTGAAGAAATTTTTAACATTCTAGAAAAAAGAAGTTAAAATTTCAAGCCAAAGTTTATAGCTTTAACACAGATTATAATATGGTTCTGTTAAATGAAAGCTAAGTAGCGAATGTCCTATTTCATCTGAGTGGTTAAAACTAGCTCTATAAATGAAAATTAAAAGCGAAGCTATAGTAAAACGACAGTGAAATTTCTTGATTCTTCCTAGTTTCTACGGCCGTGATCAGGGGGTCACCCACGATTTATCGCAAGTAAAGGAGAAAAACCCAGTTGGTCTGTCTCTTATAACAGTGATCGCCAACCGATGGTCCACGGACCATTGATAGTCCGTGATAACTTTTTGCTGGTCCGCAGAAAAATTGGGACATTATTTATATTTTTATGAAGATTCAGTTTTAAAAATGGCGAGTAACAAAACCTATTATGGAATATGGATTATACTTTTTTTTTTTAATTTTTAGCTGCTACTTTCAGCGAAATTCCTTCTGAATTTAGCGACTTTTTATGGTGTATCTAGCGAAATTTGAAAGTAAGAGTTGGCATCCATGGATATGCTGCAGTTATTAATATTAGCGCGAACCGGAATTCTCTTTCCTTTTGAATTACAAACATATGCTATTGTAGTCGTTAATAACAGTTTTTCTCCGTGTCAATAGGCAACTTGATGGATTTTTGTGGATGGAACTTGATGGAAACAAGAATGCAGATGGTTCATCCGCATTCTTGTTTATAATTGCATCACTGAAAGTTTCCGTTTATGTTTTGTCTAACTGTTGATGGATTGCGCCATTGCTGAGTAAGCGATGATTATTATGTTTACAATAATTAAAAACTGGCGGTATAACACTATCAGTTTGTTAACATTGCTTTGCATTTGCGGATTTGTTCCTGCTTTTCGTGAAGTTTCTTTTCAGTGATATGGAAATGTGAAGCTTTCTGTACAAGAAGATTAGATTTTTGTACTTTTCATGTAATTTTTCAATGTGAACGAAATACATATAGTTAGCTGATTATTACTGTATAAATGTATTTACCTTTTTTTTTCTAATTCATATTAGTAGTCTGCCAAATATAAAATTATATATGTAGTGGTCCGTGAAGTTGCAAGGGTTGACGACCGCAGTCTTATAAGGTCCATGAGTTCCTGATATTGACAGTGGTCCTGCCCACACCCAGGATCCTTGTGTTTTTACACAGGATCACACCTTGTAAGACCGAGTACCCAAAAGCGACCACATTTAGGATCCGCATAATACAGTCAATTTGTTTATCAGTTTTCCGCAGAACTTACAGGGAAAACTCGTGTTGAACGAAACTGTTCTGTGATGACAGATAAGAATATGTTATTGATTCATTCTCTGCTGTAAATCTTAAGCACATTAATAATGACTATTAAAATGAGAATGAGTTAATATTAATAGTAGTTGCATGATAATTTCTAGAAGTCATTTCTAGCATTACATTACTTATTTTTTGCTAATCGCATTATACAAAATGTGGTACCTTGATCTATAGCTATCAAAGAATTCATTTTAATCTGAGTGACCTAAATGCGTATTAAATCCTTTTATGAAATGGAAATTAGACTTACCGGAACTCCTGGAGGTCCCGGATCTCCCTTGGGGCCCGGCTTTCCATCTGCTCCAGGTGGTCCCTGTGAAAATTTATTATGATAAATCTATTACAATTACATTTTCACATTAACAAAATAATTGCATGAGTTCAAATATTACTGATAAAAATATATTACTTTTAAAATCACCTAATATGCAATTTCAGAATTAATATTATTAGTTACTATGTGTAATACAAACATTTTGTAGCGGTAAAAAGAAACTTTTTTAAAAAAAAAAGTGCTCGTGAATATGTCGTACAACTAATTTCAGTAGAAAGGTGACAAAAGAGACGAATGCACTCAATGGTTAGCATAGAACGGAAAGTAATTGTTTATAATATCAAAAGGGAAACAAGTATAAATGAAAAAACATAATTAACAATATTTTTAATAATTCTCAATAAATCGAACTACAGGTTGAAATTATTTCAGATGCTCATATTTTCTCTTTGAAAAAGCAAAGAATATGAGCTTTCAGGCAATGAATCTGAGCTTGTCACTATTTAAAAAGAACAGAGAAGAATACTTTTACAGAATGCCTCTACAGCTTAAGAAACAACTTACGTTTTTAAGTCCATTTATTACGGTGACTTAAATAAAGTTAATCTATCTTTACATCAGAGATGCTTGATCAGTCTTCAGCTATCTTACAACTAAATATAAAAAAATCTGATGCGGACACCACGTAACTTCTTTATACAGATATTAAATTACACGCATTTTTCGCTGCATTTCATTTTCCTCGAAATTCATTAGAAATATATTTCTCATTCAATTAATTCAGTTCTCACTTCGAGGCAAGGCAAAAATACATAAAACATCAAAAAATCTTCAATAAAAATTGAAAAATATAGAAAAGAATAAAACACCAGATACTGCTAAAACAATTAAAAAAACAATTTTTACAATTAAAATTAGAGTTTCTAAGCAAAACAACAAGCCATTCGGCCAGCAGGCAAGAAGGCAGATTTTTCGGTGCACAAAAATTGAAGGTTTACTTTTAGTCCCACTCGGCAAAAAGACACTGAAGGTGCAGAAACTGACTTAATTCACTATTCTGCTAAGGTTAAAATGTAAACAAATATGTCTGCTATGGTGAAAAAAAAATTAGGCTTAGCCGTACCAAAACAACTTTTCAATTGTTGATAATTCTGCGACTATTGCACGCAGATCAACTAAAGGCATAAAAACTTAACCCGAACATAAGAACATAGTTCAATCATTTAGAAATCAGAAAATGCGTAATTTATCAACATTAAGAATGAAAACGACTGAGCTCACGCAGTCGAGTAATAGAGTGGGTACATGTAATATATATACAGGGTGTTTCATAGATCATGGGACAAACTTGGAGGGGTGGTGAAGCGTATTTAAAACATGCATTTTTTGTATAAAAATGTAGGGTCTAAAGTGACGGGTTAAGGCAGGAACGCAAAAAACCGACACGAGAGGAAAATGTGTTTATGTACAAAATCAACGCAAAGTGCTTCTTTGCAGCAATACAGTATTCACAATAAATGTTAAAAAAAGGGAACACTAACAGTTATAGGAACTACAGTTGTGATTGGTTGGCAATGCAGAGGTAGAGGGCGGTAGTGAGCCGGAGAAGCCACGATCCGATGCATCAGAGGATCATTCGCAACTCTGATGTCGAGCGTCATGGGTGAGTTTACGTACAGGGAAAAATTTGACATGCATCTCATATAGGGTGCTGCTGATGGGAATGGCAGAGCAGCGCTACGGTTGTACCAGGAACGGTTTCCGAACAGGCGTATGCTGAAGCACACAATGTTCGAGAGGTTGCATCTTGAACATTGTGCATGAATCACCTCAGACAAGTACAAGAGCTATTGCACGTCGTCTGCAGCTGAGTCATTCCACCGTTTGAAGAGTATTGAATGAAAATGGTTTGCACCCATACCATTTGCAGAGATTCCAAACCTTGTCAGAGACAGATTACCCTCTTCGGGTTCATTTTAGTCATTTTTTCTTGCAGCAATCTGCGGCGCAGACGGATTTTCCATAGGATGTGCTATTCACGGACGAAGCAAGTTTCAAACAGGACGGCATCTTCAATAGCCACAACATGCACGTGTGGGCAACTTATAATCCACACGGTACACGTCCATATGCATTCCAAACCTACTTTTCCGTGAACATGTGGTCGGGTATTGTTAACGACTACCTCATAGGCCCATACCTCTTACCTGCACGTACAAATGGCTTATGTTATATTTTTCTGAAAGAGGTGCTACCGGAATTGCTGCAGGATGTTCCGGCTGTCATTCGTGATCGCATGTGGTTCCAGCATGATGGTGCATCAGCCCATAACCACGTGCGGGTCCGGAATTACTTGGATTGGCCGTGGTGGACCCATTCGATGGCCACCCCGTTCGCCAGATTTATCCAGCTTGGATTATTTTATGGGTCCATCTGAAGAGCATCATTTACGAGACTTCCGTTGAATCACTGGAGGACCTCGTTGCACGACTATCCATTGCGGCTGCAAGCGTGCGCGAAATGCCTGTCGTTTTTCAAAATGTTCGTCAATCCCTTCTGCGACGTTACTAAGCATGTATTACTGCTGATGGTCGCAATTTTGAACATTTATTGTGAATACTATATTGCTACAAAGAAGCATTTTGCCTTGATTTTGTACATAAACACATTTTCCTCTCGTATCGTGTTTTTGCGTTCCTGCCTAAACCCGTCACTTTAGACCCTACATTCCTATACAAAAAATACATGTTTTAGTACGCTCCACCACCCCTCCAAGTTTGTCCCATGATCTATGAAACACCCTGTATATATATACATAAGTTTGGTGCGGCCGATTGCAACCAAATAGGAAGGTGCACAACTACATGTTACAGCAGACTTATACAAAATTTTAACGCTCTGAAGCTACACGTTTTTGAGTTACGCGAGATACATACATACATACATACGTAAGTACGTACACATGTACGTAAGTACGTACGTACAGACGTCAGGAAAAGATATCTACTGAATCCATTTTAAATCAATTTTATAAGCCGTTGAGGGGGAAAAAAGAGTCCTTTATTCTGTCCTAAAGAAGGTATTGCTGATAGGATAAACTTACTCGGGATCTTTTATATATGAATATGTCCATCCGCATAAAATTGGTGAAAATATGGTTCATTAGACTATATTATATGACAATAACCTTCCAAGGTCTTATAATGATGTTTTCCGGCTCCATGTAGCACAATTGTTTGATGTCAGGGTGACAACAATACTCATGTTAACCTATCAGTTGCTAAACTTCATTGAATGTACTAGTTTGCTCCGTAGAGTATATTGATCTATGGGTTGAGGAACGTCAACGTTGAAGTGAGATGTAAATATAATGTAATATTTCCCCCTTCTTTGAGTGATTAGCATCATTAGCAGGCGCAGAGAATTTCCTTTTGGCATTATCAGCGAACGCGCATTCTTTCCAACGTCTTTGCTATTACACACATGAAAATCTAAAAAGAAATCTAAAATCTAAAAAGTCATCTGTCAGATAACAGATGACCTTTATTCCTTTTGATATCTTCGATTCTGTGGTTTTAACAGTGATAAATGAATGATCGCTAGCAATAGCCATGGCAGTTGGAGCAGCTAGAATCTTAAACTAATTTGTATCTAAAGTTTTGTCACTGGAGTTTGTATAGAAAAATAGTAAGAAAATAATAAAACATACTTACTGAGATTTGAATTTACACCGTTTGATGGTTGCTGAGAGACAGCTATATTTTGCATAACAAATAACGGGCATTGTACCAAGAAATGAGGCATATTAAATCTACAACAGGGTAGCTATAGTATTTTTTATTAAATTCCCATAGTATAGATTTCGGACCAAAAAATAAGAGGATAGCAAAAGAAGGGGAGGTTCGTACAGTGCATGAGGTTGTTGTTGTTTTTGTTGTTACTAATCTCCATGCCTAGGAATATACTAGACGAGGTCCACGAGTCCATTCACCTTTAGAAAATCAAAAACAAGCTTAGGAGACCCGTAAAGGTCCACAAGAGTTAACTCCAGGCACTCAAGGATATGTGCCGGTGATGCGGGTGCATTGTGATGCTTAGAACAAATTGGGTGCATCTTGACACCACTCTCAAAAGTAAGTCCCCTCAAGTGTCCACTGAAGAATCGGGAAAGTGTTGTCTGAACACATCTTTCGCAATCCATAACAAGGGATCTTCCAGGACAATCAGCTTGATACCAGGGATAACTCGGGGAAACGAGCCAAATCTGCCTGTCAGCATGTCTTCTAATGGAATGCAGTTAAGATATGTCAGTGAATTGATAATTGGCAAATGTTCTTCAAAAGCCTCCCTCGCCAGAATATCTGCCATGAGTGAATGAGGTAATCGTAAGAAACACAAACCTCCATATTAATGGTAAGACCTTACAGAATTAATAGGGAAGTATGGGTTTTTTAAGCTTCAGTACATGCTCTTCATCAGTTTAGCATGTTCTCCACAAGATTATTCAGAAGCGTTGTTGGGATACTTTCCCAATCCACTTCCAAAGAACTCTGAAGTTTCTGCTTATTCTGTAGTAAGGTTGCCTGTGTGCTATTCGTTCCTAAATCAATACTTGAATGACCACTGTCCCCTCTTATAACATTTTTACAAAATGAATTTCCATTTGTTTCTTAGCAGCTTCCAAGCAGTGTGTAAGGCTTTCCAAAGGACTCATTAAAAGTAACTATAGAAACCTTTGAAAGCGTAACATCACTCAGAATATTTGCATTTAAGAAAGCAATATGCATATTATCAAACATTAAAAAACGTATTACCTTTAGTCTTACTTTTGATTTATATACTATGAGAAAATATCGCTCTTTGGTAAAAACTATAAAAAAGAAGTTACGGTTTATTTCTTTTTTATATTAAATCAAACAACAAAAATTTCCAATCCATCTTTGCCTTCAGCCTTTAAAGAAATTATGTTTTAGTTCTGGTTTCACCAACAGATGGCGCCACTTTCTTATTCTTGTCCAGGCCTTTTTATCTTATCTAATCATTATTTCTTATCTTGTTCATTTGCGGTTTTGCAGCTGAGGATTGTGGTTCGGTAAAACCATCGAAACTAGTCCTGTGAAAATTTTGAAAATATAACGCTGATTTTTGTTGTTTGACTTCTAAATTAGTATTTGTTCGGCGTGTTATTGTGTTTTAATTCCTTTTTATAGTTTAATTTTATGTATAAATTTATTTATTAAAAATTTTATTATATTAAAATACATACCGGCGTACCAGGTGCTCCGTCTCTACCGAGCTCACCCTGAAATAACATGAAGTTAATGAATAAAAAATACGAATTAACAAAAATGAAATGTTACGTTAAAATTTGAAATTATTAAATATTATGTAAAAATGAAACTTTTAAATTTGAATGTTAAATTAAACAAGAATAAAGAAATCAAACCATAATTTAGAAAGTAATATAAGCTTAGGATAAATTCAACACTATTACATTTATTTTATTCAATACTAAATCTTGTTATATTTATTTTCTTAATTATTTTATTTAGTTGTTTAATGAAATGGAATTATTTTCTATAAAAAGTTAATATTTTCCATCACGCCAGTATTGCATTTTACTGTAATGAAAAATGAATGATGATAAAATGCCGGCTGTTTAATATATTGCTGATTAACAATTTGGAACTTAAGTATTCTATTGTACTTTCTATCTACGACCAATTACGAACTCTTGTATTTTGTTAGGAACTTTTTATGAGTTTACAATTATGACCTATTAACATACCACATACTTTGATCTACTGACTAAGAGTCATTATTTTTGAACTATCCGAAGTTTATTTTACAGATAAACTCTGAACAGTATGATAAACTATAATTTATTTAAATTTTAGAAACTTCAATTTTTTTATATATCTAAACTTTTTATTAGAACTACCTGAACTACGTATATTAACTATTTGAACTATATACACGAACATTTTGAAATATGAACTATATTTACCATGAACTATTTGAACTCTATATTTGCAAAATCTGTATATTTGAACTATTTATATGAATTATATAAACATATTAGTACTTTACTTACAGACTTTGAGCTATAGATTTTTTACTATATCTGTGGATTATGGATTGTGGATTTTGAATATAAATTTTGAACTATGAACTACGGAATTTGAACTATAGATTTAATACATATATTTCGTACTATATTACATATAAACTTCATATCATATCGATACGTTTTGTAAACTACTCTTCCTTACTACTGTTTCTTTTCGTCGTATATTATGTTCAAAATTCCGTACATATATCAAGGAATAATGTCATACTATATTACGTTTATGTTTAAAAATTTTGTATTATATTCAAAATTCTGTACATTTATTATTCTGTTGTTTTATACATTATGCTCCAAATTTTTGTATTACATGCCAAACTATGTATCATTCCAAATTATGTATCCATTCCAAATTATGTATATAATTTGTTAATATCAATAAACGGCTGGGGTCACGTAGTGAGGAGACGGCGCTAAACCGATTAACAAAATGGTAAAGGTGTGGTGCCCGTCTTCCCCATTCCTAAACCTAAGTATTCTATTATCAGATTAATCAACGCATAGTATGGAATTTTATCATATTTCGGAAGAATAACTTAACTGTCACTTAATACGTAATGAAGATATATAATCTTAGTTAGATCTAATTAAAGAAAATTGAACTGAAGATTTAAGCCCATAATAATTCATACTGAAATAAACGACAGATATAGACAGTAGTCCGTTGAACAGCGCAGAAAATAGCAGTTTTTAACAAACAAAAACGATAACAAGGCTTTGAAAACTCCTCATACAGGTTTAGCTTCTAGCGGTTTCTGATTATGTAAGTAGTATATTCCATTTATTTTATTCGCATCATAGTTATAATTACAATACTGTACATACAGCTACGAGGGAAATTTTTCCGTAATTCATATCTTGTGAAATTTGCATTACCTTGCTTGATAAATTAAAAAAAATCTTTACCAAAATATTTTTAAATTGTCTTACAAAGGCAAAATTTTCAGCTGAATGCATTTTTCTAACATGCAACTTGTATTATCTATCGAACACATTATGAATTATTGTGATTAGAAAAGCTAATTCATAAAGTGTGTATTCATAAAGCTAGTGTATTCATAAAGTAAGTATTCCATATGTGAGCAGAGCCGGATTTAGACTTGATAAGATGGATATTTGAGGTATGGGCCCTTTATAAGCCCAGATATTACATGTCACTTCCAAATTTTGGGAGCCCCCAAGAAAGTGGGGGCCCTAAGCTACAGCTTGTGTAGCTTATACGTAAATCCTGCACTGTTTGTGAGTTGCTCCAAGAAAACCTGGTAATAGTGAACTCACCAGAAACGCATTTTTTAATTTTCGATGAACATACCTGAAATGGATTTGAAAACAATAATACTCTGCTAAACCTCACAAACTTTTCATCAGTATCAATTGACCTGTTTTGTACTAATATTGGACAGCCAGCGAACTGTGCCGTGACACTACGGCAATATTGTATGAACTCTCTTGGTGAGAGCCTTTTTCTTTCACCAGAACACAACAAGGCGTACAGACACTCCTAAGTTCCATGACCTGTTTAAAATTTTGCAATTCTCTATAATAACGTCGCAGGCATTTCTGCACACAAACAGTGCGATTTTTTATTCCTTTTAATCACATGATTGTTGACATAGGTTCTTCAGTTTGGAGCACAATTTGCCAAGCTCCTCATCGGAAGCAGCTTGCGTCATTTGGAGTGTAATGAAATTCCTTTCTATTCATAAAAGTCCTCATAAGCTCTGAAGATTGAGTGATGGATTGTTTATAATACCATTAAATTTACCGTGAAACAGGGGTTATTTTTGACAGCGTAATCCGCGGAAGTTTCGCTTTTGAGAAACTTTACTCAGCATTGTTTTTTGGTATGTGCGTTTACAAACCAGGTAGTCTTATTTTGATGAAGAACTCGCAAGATGTTGAATTAAATAGGCTGACTAAAAGAAAAATGACCGACTATTTTTATATGTATGTCGCGACTGCTCCTAGTACATACATTTATACAAAACGTTCTAATTAAACGAATACAGGTTAAATGAAAGAAATTATTTTAATTTAGGGTTAATATTTTTAAGCCTAAATAATTGAAGAATTCATCGCAAGTAGTTAAACGCAGGCAGTAAATGAATTACTACTAAATGAATTAACTCAAGAAGCTGATGAAAATTTTAAGTGGCAGCATCTATTTAGTTTAGCCATAAAGCGCATGCTAATAACCTATAAGAAACACTGTACTTTCAAGATTTTCAAGAATATATACTTTTTAAACATTCCAGTAACTCCAAGTTCCAAGTTACACTAATGCCGAAATTATCAAGCATTCTGCTTGATGTGTTCCGGCTATCATCAGATGTTTCCTCTTTGGGCGCTGAAAAGAGAATAAGTTCGAAGTGTGAGTCCAGAAGGGCAAAAGCTAATGGCGAAGGGGCGTGACCAGTTGTCACGTGGGCTGCAAGCTGACTTATCATTGGTTACGTGTCTTCTGAGAAATACCTGGCTAAAATTGCAATTAAATTAAATTATCCGTCTGGTGTAATTATCCATGAATTTGGGAGTCCGGATTTCGTTCCTGATGTGTAATTGAGTTTTCATCAATTAATTTCTTGCACAGAAAAGGAATTCCAGATTCCTTAATGAAGGTGACCAACATACTTAGTTGTTGGAACATTTGTTTGGCCTCTGTCATTATTTTCATAGCTTCCGGAGCGAGTCCCGTAGTTAATGCCTGAGCATATGATTTATTCATCACTATACGTTCATTGAACGTTTTAGTTTTGGGAGTCACTTTCTGCTGTGGAAATTTCTCAGATCTTCTACAGTTGGTTGTGTGTCCAACTTGCAAACAGTTGGCACATTTCGGAGGTTCAGATTTATCCTCTGGACAATTGAAAGCTTTGTGCGCCTCAGCGCAACGAACACAACGCGGCTCGATTCCAGTAACTTTCATCAAAAACAATATAAAAAGGTACGACAACCGGTGGGAAAATTTACTAAAAATATGAAAAATTAACATTATTCAGAATATTAATTGATGTTTAGCTTGGAATAATTTTTAGCACACTAATATTAACAGATCCTATCAATGCCTACCTCATTAGCAAATGACAATGAAAAATATTAATAAATGAACAAATGAATCACAGCAAAATTGCACAAGCAATTACTTTAATTAGTAAGCAAATCGGTGTTCTACAGACAAATGCAAAATCACAATTCTGTAGCACTAACGCAGTAAAAATTTGGTCTCCAAAAAAGAAAAAAATATATGGCAAGATGCACCAGATATTTAAGGATATTAAACTCTGCAACCATCAGAAAGTAAGCTTTCTTATAAAATTTCTGCATAAGAAGCATGCAATTGTTGACGTTTTCATTTTAAAAACACAATAATATAACACAATCTTAAACCAATTTTATTATGAAAGGCAAATTATAAATTTTGCGGAAGCAGCTGCAATAAAATCCAATAAAATTACTTTCTGTCCTTTTATACCAGGTGGTCCAATAGCAGGTTCTCCCTTTTCACCTTTTACACCAGGTGGTCCAGGAAAACCACGAGGTCCAGGATCCCCAGGATAACCATCCGCTCCAGGTTCACCCTAAAACATAAGAGAAATATAAATTATGAAATTCAGTACTCTAAAATTTAATTTAGAAAGAAGGCATATTTCAGGAAGTAATATTTACCATAAGGAAAATAAATTCCGGTCATCTTCAATTAATTTAAAATTTGTTTAATTATTATATTTATTCATCACATTTATGGAAAAAAAGTATTTAGAACTAAATGCACCAAACAAATACTATACCTTAGTTCCATTGCATCCGTCTAAGCCTGGTGGACCCCTAGGACCCATATTTCCAGGAAGTCCCTGAAAACCAAATCGTCGTCGTTAAATTAATGAGTCTTTGAATGAACAAGATTCAGATTCAGAAGTTTCCAAAAGTTATTAAATAGCAACGAACCAACTGCATGGATTGCATAAATAAATCTGGAGATACTCATATCCGACTGATATAGCACGGCTTTTGTACAATAAAAAATTAATATATAACCGAAGACGATAAAAGTCTCTGCGTTAGTTAATATTAAATTAATTAATTATCACTATATGCTACAAGAAAGAAATGGCACATGCTTCAGTAAAATAGGTAATTTATAATTAACTAAAAGTATTTCTAACTTTTCAACGAGTATAAATCATAATGCAGAACTTTATTTTATTTTAATTAAATAATTATTTTATATTGCTCTTATTTATGCACTCCTCTCCCTATTATGAGTCTCGGGTTCTTTAGGTAAATGTATAAAGTAATTAATTCACTTTTAAAATCAACGCAGCTAAAGAAAGGCTACGACGCTACTAGCCAACTTGTTCTACAGAGTAGAAGCAGTGTTCCCATAGGACAGCAGCTCTGTAGAATAAATAAATAAACAAATTTGATAAACACGGTTTGTTTTCTCGGCACGTTTATTAGGCTTTGAATTAGGAAAATATTTAATCATGGAATTTAGCATAAGGATGAATTGTACTAAATATTATTTTTCTTATTTGCGTTGCATATTGCCATTGTCATCATCGGTTTGTTCCTTACAGTTTGACTCAAATAAATGTCTTCAATTACTTGGTAATAGTTGTGTGTTCTTGCTGTTTCTCTTATCACCTAATGGAAAATAACTGAGTTTTAATAATTGAAAATCATCATATAACATTGTCTTAAATAATATAATCATCAGGTAACATTGTCCAGAGTCATTTCTGAAATTCGTATGTGTACCTAATATCTCCTGTTGTAACTTATCCATTGCTTGCCTCAATTAAACAATATTAGTTATTTCTAAAGAATACTAATTTGATAGATATACAAAAACAATACTTACAGGAATGCCATTCACTCCGGGAAAGCCAGGAACTCCCATTTTACCCTAAAATTAGAAGAAACTGATTTGAAGGGAAATAAAGAATAACTACGAAGAAAAGTTAATATGAACTACTTTTTAGAAAATCTTGAAATTCGATTTCGTTGAAGTTCAACGTACCCTGTCACCCTTTGGCCCTCTCGGTCCAGAAACGCCATGGCTTCCTTTTTCACCTTTTTCACCAGGCAAACCTTCTGGGCCTTCGAATCCTCTTTTTCCAGGTACGCCAGGAGGTCCAGGTGGTCCCGGAACACCCTAAACAATATTACAATATTCAGTAGTTAGTTTTGGAAAATAAATTCACTTGGTTAAAGACATTATTACCACAATTCAAAATTAAAGTTAGATCTTTCCATGAATCAATTTAATTTTAAACGTATCTTCATAGTTCTTAAGCTTTAGGTTCTATAGACGCCTGTAAACAATAGATATATAATGTTTAAATTAGAGAAAAATATTAACAATGTTAATAAAAACAGGCCATTAAGTATATTTTGCCAAGACATTGCGCTTAGGAACAATTAAAGATCATGAACATGAAATTTAAAAAGATTTAAAAAAAAAAAAAAAAAAAAAAAAAAAAAAAAAAAAACTTCAGTGGAATTACAACTTTCTGAAAAAGTGATCAAAGTACAGAAAGGCAAGATAAGAATAACCATTTGTTACGAAGATAAGTTTATCAAGAAAATCATATTAATCATCGGCTATTAGGAAGTTGTTGACCTGTATTATTTGTCTTAAAGAAACCTATAAAAAAGAAATAACTTAAGAAAATCAACAAGATGGCTTTGTTATGTAAACACCACGGAGCAACTATGTATTTGCAATAAATATAATGAATTTAACGACATGACATTATACCAACTAATGAAGATGGATTACACTCGGATTACATTGATCTTATTTCGCAAAATTATTGAAGATATTCTTTAAAATTTTTCTCAGGTAACTGAATTTTTTTATAAACCCATGCAGCTTAAATAAAATTACAATGCACATTTAATAACGCTTATGGTGCAGTAACAAATAGTGTTTGATAATATTTGATACACCAAAGTTATTTCTGATAAATGAAGAGGAATGAATCTAGGAATTATGATTAATCATTCAGAAACAGAGCATGCGAGTAGCATTGTAATTTTAGCATAATTTTTAATTTTCATATATCTTGCAGTAATTCTCAAAAGCAACAGTAAGAGAAATGAGATCATGCTCCAATTTCATTTCTTTCCTTTTTGTGCGAACGCATTTGAAGAATATTGATTAATTAAATAGTTAGAATTACAAATAGCAAAGAAATCGTTCATCAGGAGAGATAATTTTTTAAATAATGTTGTAACCATTAAGATATAAATAACATACTATTTCACTCTGCTGAATTATCCTTGCCCCACCCCCCCGCAAAAAAAATTACAAAAAAGTTTCGATTTTTCGTGCTGCAGATTATCTATGACCATTCCCACATGAAAGAGTTCCCTGATTAGCACCAAAGGAAGATGAGTAGCTCGTGACATATCAGAAGAAATTGAAGATTTTTAATTAACTGAATTTTACTACTAAGATTTTGTAACGGGATTAAGAGCTTAACACTAACTTAAAGTTGAAAAACCTGATTCCGAGTATAAATATGCAGTAATGAGACAACAGCATGGGACTTCGTTGAAAGTACATTTGATATTAAAAAGGGTTTGAAAGTATAACTGAAAGGAACATTACACATATATGGAGAAAGGCAAGTAGGATGAAGCTACACAAATTTATAAGTCCAATCCAAGACATTTTTATTGCAATTTCTGAAGAGAAGCCAACAGCACAGTGTGAAAAAGAAAATAAATATGATGGTAAATCAAGCTTAAAATGCTAGCAAAGCAAAACTACAGTCAGAATATTGATGATTGAAAGATATATTATGATTAGCAACGATTCCTCGATTTCCCATGTAACGTTTCCTCTTCTGTTCTACAAAGTAAAATAATATTAACGATATTAACCTAAACAGTTTATACAGAATAGATTTCTTCGTTTTATTTCACATCAGAATTAACTGAAATAAAAATTATATATAAGTTAAGCAGAACAAAAAACATGCACATTGAAGCAAAAATATTTAGAAGAGAAGGTACAATTTTTAATGTTATTAATTGATTAATTGTTATACATTTCTTGAAATTATAAAATGATTGGGCATTTTCTATTTTTTCCTTCCTTTCCTTGGTGATCTATAAAAACTTACGGAATGTTATGGAATAAAAGTTTAAAACTATCCATTTTACTCATCGTGCAAAAAGACAGAAAAATACAATTTTTAATAGGAAAATTTTATTACGTAATAATTAGAAAAGTATGCGGAATTTATCTACCCTTGATCCCTTTTCACCTATACATTTGCATCCGCTTCCTTCGCAGCCAGCACAAGGTCTTGCAGGTTCTTCGGGTCTTTCATAATTCCTAGGTGGATATTGATTGTACTGATACTGTTGCTAAGGGAGAAAAATACAACATTTTCATAAACGAAAATAAATTAAATAAAAAGTTCACAAATATTAAAACTAGCAATATAAATGGTAAGTTTTCCTCAGATTCAGAATGGCAACCCTCATTTAAAAACTTCGAACTTAAATTTAAAAAACGAAAACTATAAAAAAAAATTACCTCGTGATATAGTTAAGAATTTTGTATCTAAATAATTTCAATGAAATCGTTGTATGTGTAAAAAAATAATAAAAAAATCGTTGTATTTTTCTGTAAAATGTAACATGAAATGCTTGAAAGAAACGATGCTCTGCCGGCAAAGTAAGAATACAGGGAAAAGTCTATTTAACATTAAGTAAAGTGCTATTTCGCTAAATTAGCGAGATATCGGCAACTTGGCGACTCTTTTGGCGATTAATTTTGTAGCAAAATCGTTAAAAGTCGCCAAGCTTGGTGACAATTTGGAGACATTTTAGTAGCTGTAATGGGTATCATAATTGAATAATGTAACGCTATCGTAATTTAATAATGTGAATATATAACTGCAATGGGTACGCGTAATTGAATATCTGTAATTGATCCTCTATGCAACTGTAACAGTATCCGGCCCTCATATGCCTTTCAGTAATTTCCAGAAGTATTAGAAATTTCTCGGCTGCCGGGGGAAAACTATATGAGACCGGAGAGAACATTAGTTTCTCAGTTGTTACTTGTTAGTTCAGCGCGGTTCGGAGTATTGAGATATCTCCGTGTTAGCTTCGCTCTTCAGATGCACTTTGCATTGCGTTGTGTTTAACGGCCTTAGTTATGTGTAACTACTGATTGTACTCTGTGATACCATGAAGATCTGTACGAATATTTTTGTGGAAAATTCCAGAAATGTGAAATGCTTCTTTTGGTAAAGTAAATTTTATCAAACTGTTATCGGTTCTGCGTGCATTCAATATATGGCGAACCCATACGCACGCAAAAATACTTATGTTCAAAACATAATGAAAATGATATTTAATTAGCATACAATGAACTGCATTAAAACATAATAAGCGCCGTAATATTAGGAGGACTCGAGATATGAAATTAGAGCTCAGAAGAATTAGATGTTTAATAAATGCAGAAACTCGTCAAATTAGGGAAAACTCGACCTTTAAACTGACTACTTAAGTTTGAGAGTTGATAAACGTTGGTTCTACATGCATACAGAGCTTTATAAATTTTGCACAAAGGGATTTTGCACAAAGATTTAGATGTAATTTTTTTATAAAATCATTAATGTGCCTAATTCTGAATTATATTATAAAAATTTGAAATATGAATAAACAAAATTCATAGAATTTGATATTCATTCATTCATAGAAAACAAAATCCAATTAAAAATGCATCTAAGTGCTTTAATTCGTATTTTATTATATAATTTTATAATTAGCTGATTATTTAGTACGTAACTTAGCTCCCAGTTCTTCAAAATACAATCAGATAATCATAAACATACTTGCATAAAAATAATTTTAAAAAAATCATATAAAGCAAAATTTCAAGTTTCAAAACTATATTGATAGCTTTGACTCTACCAGAAAATTTCTGATGAATTAATTTATCAAAATTGGGAAAAATAGGAAAGTTATGCAAATTTTTTTAGTTGAAACAAACATATTGTTACGAGGCATCAGAATGCGTAGCATTCTTCGGAAAAAAAAAAAAAAAAATAGGGTTATAGGCAAGTCCATTTAACACTGACGTAAATGGCCATCTCGCCAAAGCGCCAAGCTGGTGATGGTTTGGCGACTAATTTTTATTGCCAAATTTGGCGAGAAATTTACAAAATGTCCTAACCCTAAGTAAGCATTATCTGTATCGCGCTCTATGTAACTGTAACTGTGTATGCTTTCGAGAAATTGAAGGTAATGGAAATTTCCCTGAGGATGGGGCAAACTATAAAAGTACGGAAAAAGCAGTTTTCAGTTGATGCACCTTTTTAGCCTATTCTACATGGGACTCTCGTACAGACTTATTTATTCTCAGGCGCCTTTAGAGGCACAATCTTCCAGCCAAAACGCATCGACTCGATAATTTCGCAAATGACGGTAGTTGGAGTTTTCAGTTTAGTTCAGAGTATTGAGAAATTGCAGTACGAGCTTACGTATTTGAAGGTCTTTGCATTGCTTTATGTTCAGTGTTCTTAGTACTGTGTTTCTTCGAAAATATTAATGTCTTAATTAATATATTGGTCTTAATTAATGTTTCAGGTCTTATATTAATGTTTGCTGCAAAAGATACGGTAGGGCTTATTTTTAAGGAAAGTCTTATTTTTGATGCACAATAATTAACGTTTGTTCATATTCAAGAAACATATTTCTTCAGGCTCAGGAAATAAATTTATTGAGGTTCACATTTGTTTCAAAAACATTTAAAAATGAAAAAAATCGTTCAGTGCAATACAGACGTGTTGCCGTCTTCTTCTGGAATGTCGTCATAAAGCTCCAATTCCGGCCTGAATGTTTTGCGACTTCATTTCCTCTAAGACTATTGGCCACTCAAGTTGAGCAATACAGCTTTCCTCATATGAACTCTTCTAGTCCATGTAGCCTGCTCGTAAGGCATTGGCAATACAGCTGTCCGTTATTCTATTCCACGCATTCTTTACCCAAGTAACGATTTCTTGTAGCTTAGGCTTCATTAATTTTTCTCGTAGATTTCTCTCAATTCTGCTGTTTTCAATGCAATCATTGATTTCCGTTCTCAAATAGTCTTTAAATGTCTTTTTTATTCCAATATCAAGATTTTGGAGGGATGCAGTCATTCCTGCGGAAATCTTCCTTTCATCAATTCTTCTTTCTGCTAGGAAGTTCTTCATGCGATGAGTGCTAGCAGAATCCCACTTTAGTATACCTCTTTGGACATTTCCGCAAAACAAGTAAAAATAACATGGACCCACTTTCTTCTTGCTGCTTTTGTGCACCAAGCGTTTTCAGTTTCAAGAACATAAATACCTGAAATGCGTTGTACACGAACATGTTTACTCTTTCTTACCATTAGAGATTTAGAGGGAAGCTTTCTTTCCATCGATATGAATTGCCAAAATAACATGCAAAGCGTTCATCTTCGCAACCAATAGGGGGAATGTAAATCGCAGAAGCGTCTCTCTGATCAATGGTAGCTTGAGACTCTTCACCCATTAACTCTGCAGTTTCATCCATAGCTATCAATCATGTTCGATAGTTGGTACTCAGAAAAGTAGATGCATAAACGAAACACTAGAATATAAATGCACGTTTAATCACTTCAATATTTTTCAATTCGAATAGTGCTGTCGATCTTTTAAGAGACGGTTCATATCGCTGAAGGAAGTCATCCACCCAGTATTATGATGCTTTGGAGTCGTCTGACGATATATCTAGCTGTGCTGCTATTGCAAAAGCAAATGCTTGAAAATCAGCCCAGCGAATAACCGCGCACTTTGTTCATTTCTCAGCATTCCATTCACAGATGATTGTTCCAATTCAGGAAATAATATTGCTGACCTTATCTACACTTACGCTTCCTGGCATTTTCCTCGTCGATCTGCTGACTGATGTTACTCTACTCTGATCGCCACTGTCGGACCATTCGTAGATCCAATTTCTTTTTGCAGAAATCTGTGATATTTTTATCCCTGGAGTCTTCGGCAATTTCTTTCTTGTACTTCACGGAATAGCTCTTTCTTTTTTGCACTCACTTTATCTGAGCATCAAAATTTATTATCAATCACTCGACGTATTGAATACTGAAGATTCGAATTTGTCACAACCGTTTGTTTCAAATGTTTGTTGTCCGTCTATTTCAAATGTGCATGTGTGTTGCATCTGCACTTCGTCATTCGGCAATATGGCTTATGAACGTCTGGCTTATAATCTTAAATAGAACTTATTTTAGGGGTAAGACTTATGTTAGGAGTACCGTGAAAAATCACGCTAGGGCTTATTTTTTGATAAGTCACATTTTTTGGGAAACGTGGTAGTTTGAAGTGGTAACCACTGATTGTGCTATTTGATACCAAAAAGAGCTGTACGAGTATTACTTTTGGGCAAAAAGTTCCAGATCTGTAAAGTGTAGGTTTTTTTTTTTTTTTTTTTTTTGAAAAATAAATTTTATTAAGCTTTATCGGTTTTGTGTGCATTCAATCCATTACGAACCCGTGTCCGTAAAAGAATTGTGATATAGAAATCATGATTGAGACACAGAAATGGAAAGCCATACTTTTCTATGTTATTGATTTAAATCGCTAGAAAAATTAGCATCATTTATAAAAAATACAAAATTCTTTAATAAAGAATGTTGAATGTTTTTCATTCTTTGTTTACTAATTGAATTACTTTAGTAAACAGCAGCTTTGAGAATTAATAGTTAGAAAACCGTTTCAAATAAAAAAAAAAGGGTTAAAATTAGCAGTTCTTCCGCCATCAGCTATCTGACTTGTACTCCTTTCTACTGTCATCAGTGCAATCAATAAACCTACTCGTCACCTTTCAAGGAAAGTGAAGGGGTTCTCTTTATCAATATGTTTATTTGGGGCAGTTGAGAGATTTATCTTCAACAACGTTAAAGGTAAACTGTCGAAAGAAACGATTAACTTGAGATCTCATATCGTCTATCCATAATTCAACACCTCCCGTCTCCTAATCTTGCGCTCTTAGTTGATAAAATCTAGATAATAAGCTCTAAATATATAGAGAATTAATTCATGATATTTAAAAGTATTAAATTAGTAAACTGGATTATTTAAAAAAAGAAAGCGAGTATGTGCAATATAAATTGTCTTCAATAATTTGAAAATCTAAAAAACGAGGTTTCATTCAAATCTATTAAAATTCAGTGAACTGAGTATCGAAGATTTTTTTCTTACTTATACTTATTTTTTATTACTTATACTTCTTACTTATTTTTTCTTACTTTCTTACTTAGCTGGAAGCAAGACTGCCCAGTAATCGAAGGCATAAATGAATGAAAATTTCAAATATTTCTTAAAGATAGAAAAGGATTATATTTGTTGTCGCTAAACCATGGAAAACTGTTTCATTTTTCAAATTACACAGATAATCCGAAAATTACCTAGATAATCTGCACATTACCTACTAGACACTCGTTAAAGTGAAAATAAGATCTTTGATGGAATAACAGCAATGTTTCTGTGCGCTTAAAATAGCCGCACTTTAAATTGTTGATCGGGCAAGGTTTCAGAAAATGTTACTGCAGCTCTAAATGTACCACAAATAGGTGTGCTTGTCGCAAAATCCAGGCGCTATGTAATGCAAAGTTGTAGAAACATTAGGTATTTTTAGAAGCAGGCAACATGAAAAATAAGCAACGCCTTCGCTGGTAATCGAACCACGGATCTCTGAAATACGCGCCCAGCTTGCAGACCACCACACAACGAAGGCATGCCAAGAAGGCAGGAGAAATAACTTATATACTCCCCCTTGTAAAGGGCGACTGGGGTTTTAGGGAACCCAATCGCCAAATCCTGGGTGTGGAGAATCATCATCCACCACCCTTTTAGTTCGGGCGCCACTGTAGAGACATTACATATTTTTTGGAAACAGGAGTCATGAAAAATAAGCAACGCCTTCGCCGGGAATCGAACCACGGACCTCTGGAATACGCGCCCAGCGTGCAGATCACCACAACACGAAGGCATGCCAAGAAGGCGGTAGAAATACTTTATAAAGTGTCACCAATTTTTAGGTTGCGCAAATTAGTGAGCATAATTTTATCAGATATTTTGCAGATTCACTTCCTTAATTGTAATAATATTTTAAACCGTCTTATTCTTTGTATTATAGTTCTTTTATTGACTGATGATTGATTCTGTTAACTAATATTTTTCAGATATCGAAAAATAAAAAGTAAAATTATCTTAATTTAAGGGTATAGAAACGTTGCTATTGCTCCAGTAAGGTCTTATTTTCAGTTTAACGAACGCCTAGTAGGCAATGTGAAGATTAACGGGTGCCTAGTAGATAATGTTCAAAGTGGAGGGAGCGGGAAAGGAAATGAGAAAAACAAACTTTTGAACTTTAACTATACGGAAGCCGTTAATGTGCACAGTAACTAGGAGAAATGCAAAAAACTCTTGCCCCTTAACGCAGAAAATCAGTTAATCTGCAGATTAGTTAGGTAATGTGCACGTTAACGACGTTCGCACTTTATCGGAAACATTAGATTTTCGTTTCTTCTCATCTGTTAGCTAGAATGATTACAACTAATTAAAATCCAAAATAAAACTTCCACAATAAACTAAAATTAACTTCTCAATTTAACGATAACTCACAAATTTTTCAGTAACACATTTCCTAACTCTTACGAGCAGACAAATGGTTCCCGTTCAGATCAAGACAAATAGGAGGATACAATATTAGCAAAGCCTAGCTCATACTTTAGCTCCTCCTAAAACAACCGTTCGCGAAGAAATGTATGCACGCAGAAATTTGCCGGAAAGCTAAATTTGCATGAAAAAATTTGAACAGAGTGGCGGTCAGCCTACGCTGCCAAATGCTTTCTGACTAAGTTTACAAGCGAACATGAAGAACAAAGCTTAGGGGGGGAAAAATCATCCTCTAGCAGAAATGTGTATAAAAGTATTTCCTTTTAACATTGCATATGAAGAAAATCATGGGAATCGAATACAAAATGGGGATTATCAGTGGTGGCCACTGATTGGTTTTTATTATTATTATTATTATTATTATTATTATTATTATTATTATTATTATTATTATTATCATTTCTCAAACATTTCGATACTTGACTCATTTGAATTAGACGAAATCATTTTACAGCTATTTCACTCTCATTTCGCATTTTTTTCATTCTATTAAAAAATCTATTTGCTAAAATTTTAATATATATATATATATCATAAATTACAGAGTTTATCAATAAATAAAAATTACCTTTTAAAAACAAATCACAGGCACAAAATGAAAACTATGTTTCGTCTTTCTTTTAAAATAATATAAATCCTTGAAACTTTTACTATATATGAGCAATTTTAAAAATACATAAAATTAACTGCATAGATTAAAAGAAAATAATTTGTGAAATTACGCACAAAAAATAAGGCAAAACAGTATTAAAAATGTTTTCGCAAACATAAAAGATCCTCCACTAGATAACGATTTTCACTTTGAGAGCTCCTACATTAAATTACAGCAGTAATTGGAGGAATATTATTTGTTTTCTGTCGTATAACTTTATTATTCTTATCGCGTACATTATATGCAAATGAACTAGAATGAAAAAGCTAATGCAGAATATTTATTTTTAATATCAGCTAAAATTGATTAAATTAATTTTTACTAAAACCCTCTAATTAAATATATAACTACAGTTAACGATTAGATAGTAAATTTAAGACACCATATCCACACATCCACATTTCAGAAAGTTTAATGTATTGCTTCCTGATAGTCACATTCACGTAACTTTTGTGTGTATTAATGTAACAAAATATTTAATAAAAAAAAATCTGAAAGGTTTCAGATTTTAAATTACGTCCAAAGGGGCCCTTTTTTTTAATGTTTTGTGTGTTGTCTTTATTTATTAAATATCATATTCTACGTACTCCAACTATAAAATTCAGTTCAACAGCAATATTGCAAAATAATTTTTAAATGAGCATATCTTTAAAATTTTCGATACACAGTTCCGCGCGCTGGAGATATATATATGTATTTTGTGCAGTGTTCCCGTTGCTCGCTTTGAAATCGTTGAGTTTGTTAATAAAAAACTCGTTGAAGTGTTACTAAATATGAAATCGATAATAAAACAGATTTCAAATTCAAATTAGGGCCTTCAATATGTCCATATTCTATGGGAGATTACGTTATTCAAATTTTGATGGCTCTAGGTACCGTTGTTTTATCACAGTGCGAGAAATATACATACATCCATGCAGATTTTTCATTATTTAATTTCTTTAAATATAATACAGGGCTCTAATATTTGGTGGCAATAATTTGAAAAATAAAATAAAATTTGAAAATTGATTCGCCGTTTATAGTTTTCATCGCAAAATGCCAAAACAAAATTAATAGTCCTTCAGGGTAACGTGCCCCTTTGGACTAATTAATTTTTCCCTCAACATAATGCACTAGGTATATAATTTTTTTAATTACAAAAAGTCGCATTTTTTTAGATTTAAATATAAGTGAATTGTGAA